GCTGCCGCATAAAAGTGTGGATGGGGTGGGTCTGAACCAGCCCGATCTGCTGTGAATTCTACTCTGAAACAAGCCTTGGATGGGCTTGGGACACTGCTGTTTTTCCTCTTGGGAGATGTACTAGCCTTAGGACTTGGGGCAAATGCAGAAATGGTGCAGGAGATTCCGGTCCCTGAAGCAGAAATCCCAATGGCACTCAGTCCTGCCCCGTGACACCAATATAAGCTGGGGAAAGACTGACCTTCCAGGTGTGGTGAAAATGGTTTCCACTCCCTTTTGCTTCATCTTAAGCCATTTGCTTTGAGGGTGAGCAAAACTGTCTTGACGGGATCTCTTCAGAACTTGCAGTGCTTCAGTGTCCTTGTTTGCATGACACAACAAGCCACGGTGCGTATCTATCCATGGCGGGTTCTTGAGCCATCTGAACCCAGATTGCCTCCTGCCGGGTGGCTGGTTGTTTTCCATGGGATGTTCTAGGGGCTGCTCAACCTGCAGTGGGTTCTCACATCATCCAAGCCTGGATGAATAATCCCGCCGTATATTGAGGGAAGTGGCAAACTGTCAGGTCGGAGGAAAATCCTTCCCATATTCCCCAGTCTTGCTCCGCCTAAGTCCTTCAGGGTTTTGTTTAAAATCCTACTTCTGATAGCCGTTGGAAACAACTGGCAGCATAAAGTTGGGGTTCATTTGTCCACCTTCCCAAGAACCTGGAGTCTTGGAAATGAGTAGAAAAGTTGGGGGTCATTGCTACCTATTAGGTAGCATAGTCAGAACTCTGGCATCTTGGTGTAAAGAGGGGAAAGGTCAACTTGATAGCTCGACCTTTGGCAACTGCCCTGCCAAAAACCCAGTTTGAAGCTTCTCTGGATCAGTGCCTGGGCTGTGTACCTGCTGCAGTTCAGCACACACACCTTCGACCCATCCAGGACATTGCCCAGGTGATCCTTCACCTTTCTGGACCTGCAGAGACTACACTTCTCTGTAGTTGCACAAGTCCAGGTTTTTAAAAATCCAGTCATAAAATGTACTGGGCCACAGCTTTTGTGTCCTGTTCTTTTTTAAAAAGGTGGTTAGCCAGTGATAGGGAGCACTGGGAGTTGGGACCACATCGCGCCAGTGCGTAAAAATCAGTCGTAGGCAGCAGTCCATTTCAGGGAGCCAGCGACTCAAAGGGCCGATGCTTGCCTTTTATAGTTCTTCATGGCATGAGTCGGCATATGGGAAGAATCCAATTGGAGGTGGAGAGCAGTCAGAGACTCGGGCAAGGCTCCCTCGACTCGGCCTGCATCATGGCAAGCAGATCCAGCATCAGAGGAGGCCTTGCCAGCAGTCGAACCCCATTTGCTGCGCAGGAAGCTGCCCCCTTCTGACCCCCCGGCAGGAACTGTTTGGGCTGCTGCACCAGGTGCGGAAGAAGGTCGGCCGTGTGGGGCTCACCAGGATTAGAGTCCCGTGCAACCGGTAGCAGCGGGACTCTTCTGTGCCACATGCAGCCGCTGTCTGGGCAGCTGCACCCGATGCGGAAGAAGGTTGCTGGTCGTGCAGCCTTTGTTCCACACGTGTTTGTGGGCTTCCTCTCCATAAACCAGGCTAGGCACAAAAGGAAGTCCCCCCGTGCCAGGGGGAGGGATTTCTGTAGGGTCCCTCCCAATCCTAGGGGTGAGATTCGGGTTCTTGACGGATTGCCCATGCCCTTCGGCCAGTGAGGTCTTCCCAGTGCTACGCCTGCTTGAGGAACGTCCATTCCATGTCTTGGAGAGAACATTGCTACATCTGACGCTGATTCTGACGAAGAATTGTCCTCAGCCAAGCACCTTGTTCTACTTTCCCAGCAATTATAAGCAGTTAGTTTTCTTTCCATTGAGTGGCTGTTGTATTACTTCAGTTTTAGTTTTTAGAATTCCCTTTTGCTATATTGTGCTCATTTTCTATAAATATATTTCTGTTGTACTGCTCCCTTGGGAATATTTTTGGTGGTGCTTTTGTTCTCTTTTGGAAGTGGACTGTAATTAAGCTAAATATGGAAACTTGTTTAGGAATTACACATAATCTTCTTTTTAAAGTACCCAATTCCAAGTTCTGGGAGAGCAGGGTGGGGCATTGCATTAGGAACCTGCTCCAGGTAATGAAACAAGCCATCAATTACACAACTCAGCTTTATCTGGCTCACACTGTTGTACAAATAGATTGGGCTGCCTCTAGGCTACCTTGAGATCTTTGGAGGAGGGGTGGAATGCAAATGTGATCAGTATTCTAGCAAAACCTCAACACTTTTCAATAAAAATTAACCTGCTGGATGAGGTGAAAGGTCCAACTTGTACTCACAGAGGTCAGCAAGACTCTTCTAGGAAGCCTCTGGCAGGACATGAACAGAGAGCTCTAGGAAAGACGTAATCAAAAGACCTTGGAGTCAAATCAGTTGGGATCAACTAAGGCAATGGTGGCGAACCTATGGCACACGGGCCACATGATTTTGATGGCTGGAAAGTGTTGAGAATGGGCAGAAAAGATGAGCTGTGCAGAGAAAGATCCTCAAGGAAGGGTTTTTCAAAATCGCCCTCTTTTCAATGTAACTTTACCCCTCTATTAGGGTTACGGGTGTGCACCAGGGTAGGGTTAGGGTTAGGAAAATGAGGTGTCCTGGCATGATTTTGATGACTGCGATGTGTTGAGAATGGGCAGAGAAGATGAGATGTGCAGAGAAAGCTCCTCAAGGAAGACTTTTTCAAAATCGCCCTCTTTTCAATGTAACTTTACCCCTCTTTTAGGGTTAGGGCTGTGAGCCAGGGTAGGGGTAGGAAAACGAGGTGTTCTGGCATGATTTTGGTGGCTGGAATGTGTTGAGAATGGGCAGAAAAGATGAGCTGTGCAGAGAAAGCTCCTCAAGGAATGCTTTTACAAAATCGGCATTTTTAGTGTAATTTCACCCCTCTATTAGGGTTAGGGGTGTGCACCAGGGTAGAGTTAGGGTTAGGAATATGAGGTGTCCTTGCATGATTTTGATGGCTGCAATGTGTTTAGAATGGGCAGAAAAGGTGAGCTGTGCAGAGACAGCTGCTCAAGGAAGGCTTTTTCAAAATTGCCCTCTTTTCAATGGAACTTTACCCGTCTGTTAGGGTTAGGGTTTGCGCCAGGATAGGGTTAAGGTTAGGAAAATGAGGTGTCCTGGCATGATTTTGGTGGTTGAAATGTGGAGAGAATGGGCAGAAAAGATGAGCTGTGCAGAGAAAGCTCCTCAAGGAATGCTTTTACAAAGTCCCCCTTTCAATGTTATTTTGCCCCTCTATTATGGTTGAGGGTGTGCACCAGGGTGGGCTGCGCCATTGGTGGCAAACCTCTGGCATGCCTGCCGCAGCAGCCACTCCGAGTCCTCTCTGTTGGCATTCTTGCCATGTCGCCGCAGCATCACCCCAGCAGCCGTGCATCCAATAACTGCTTATACTGGGGCTGTGGGCATGGTCAGAATGGTGTAGCGGCACCGGGCGATGACGTTATGAGGCACGAGTGATTCGCCATAACTTGTCTGAGCTCTTGCATGGACGGTCAGTGCACTGCCAATTTTATACACACACACACACACATATTTATATATGTTTGTGTTTGTGTGTGATTTCTTCGACTATCTGTGAGTCCTTTTTTCTAAACTAAACCCTCACTTTTCAGGTTTTATTGCAGTGTTGGCACTTAGTGATGTGTTTTGGTTGCAGTTTGGGCACTCGGTCTCTAAAGGTTTCCCCTTCAGTGATCTAAGGACCTTGCAATTCTGTCCTATGCACAGTGCAGGAATCTTGCAGCTACAGCAGCCCTTGCAAGATGGCTCTCTGGACTCGGCTTAAGCAGTACTGGGCGGTGGGGGGGGAGCCCCTTACTTCCCTCTGCAGCCTCAGCCATTGTGGAACAGCTATTCCTGCCGTGACGCTGCTTCCGGCAGTTGGCCCAAATCTGTTTCCTTCATTCCAGTCCTACCTACTGGAACATGAATGAGCAAGCAACAAGGAGTACCTTCTGTGTTGGGTGGGCAGAAGGCAAATTGCGATCTACCAGTGGATAGCCAGGAGATTTTCGGTAAATCAGAGTAGTAGCTACAGCAGAAAGTATCTTCCCCCCACCCCTAAATTAGTCAAGAAATCCTGTGCAGGTACATGTTTGGTGTAGGGGAAGACAAAGGAGCAGATGAGTGTGTGAAAGGATATGGGTGTCAGCTCCAAGATCTGTATGGAAACAACCACCTGAACTTAGCACGCGCCCAAAGTCACCTTTTTCCACAAATCTGCCTCTCCCTTCTTGAGCTACTCTTTTGCACCTGGTTGTGGTGAGGGAACATCCGCCTAAAATAGGCTCATTCCAGGTATTCGTGGCAGCCCTCTGCTGGTGTTACATCTTCCCTTCTCAGGCTGAACCTGCACCCAGGTTTTTCCGTTGTTCATTAGATAGCAGTCTTGATTTTCAGACCCTCCATTCCCTTTCTGATAGGAAACCTCCCCAGATTGGTGCCAATTCCCAGTTGTGTCCACTAGATTAACGCGAAAGCCATGCCCTTGAAGCTGCAAATTGCCCATTTTGCAGTGACCCAGCTGGGGCCCGATAGACATAATTGATCCATCTTACAAAAAGTGCCTATTTTATAGTGCACTTGTGTCTTTGCGCAAGGTGATTCCCCACCACTTTCACCTGCCCACCAGCTGGCTAATAGTTCCCCAGCTTTCATGCCGTTCTTTCCCATTGCAAAAGCTCAAAATGCCCTTTTCTAAGGCTAAGTTTGTGGCAGTAAGTACTTCAATGAAAAGATGCGGGCATATTTGGCCCCACCCTCTTGCCTTTGGCCCTGCCCCTTTGTCTTTGGCCACACCCACTGCTGGAATGTGAGCTTCTCAGAAAGTGAGCCGCAGGCTGAAAGCTATTCCACCCCACTGCTGTATGTTTTTGCAAGATTTTTGGAAGCTGACCCACTGGCAAATTGTTGTAACTTCCTTATCGACACAGACCTCTTCTTTCTGCAGATTGTCACCCATTGTGTGCACAGTGTGTAGCTGATCTGCAGGGAACAGGGGGTCTCTGCTTGGAGTGCCAAAATCCGCGTCACTTGCTCCTGAGAGATCACTGTGAGCCTGAGTGTCCTGAGGGATACCACAAGCATCACGGAGCATGTCAAAGTGAGTAATGTCTGGAAAGGAGAAGAAATACAGAGCTCTGCGCGGGTCTGCTGATTTCCCGTCAGATGAATAACGCTTCCCTCGCGCTCGTGGAAGTTGTCATGACAAGATTACTTGGACGAACATGAGAGCAGTCCTGGCGGAAAGTCCCCAGGCACAAGCCAGTCCTGCATTCTGTTTCCTAGAGATGCCTGTGGGAGGTCTGAACAGGTTCTTCAGCTCCACTGTGCCGGCATTCTTGTATTTTCCCTTTTTTGCCCTACCCACCCATGGCATGTGGCCCCCAAGAACATCTCCAAAGTGGAATGTGGCCCTCGGACCGACACCCCTTTTGTAGCAGGTTTCAGAGCTCTCTCTCTTCGTTCCGCCTTCCTCTCCAGGATGTCACCCTTCCTGCAGGGCCTGCAGTGGGAGAGGCCCATCGTCCTGCACTTCCTGTGACTCCAGCCTAGTCCTTTCTCACACGGGCACCTGCACCTCGGCATGTTCCGTCGGATTTTACAGGGATGAGAACCTGCGTTGCTCACGTATGTATTCCCTTGGTGTGCAGCCAATTGCAAGCCCTGTGCCCGGATACATGCACAGTTTGTCCACGTACTTTCTCTGTAATTGTACAGGCTGGACTGGGTGGAAGGGAGACTGGGATCTGTTGGCAGGGGGATTCTAGTATGTCAAGCAGAGATGTGCAAGGAATCCACCCGGTGGGGGGAAGCTTTGTCCCCTGGACTCCAGGTTGCCTTGCAGTGGCCCAGCGACTGAGATCCCGGCAAGCGTGGCCAGTGTTTGTGGGGCCCTCATGAGGAATCCAGCCCCATATGGTGCACAAACAGCACCTCTCCCAAAGGAGAAGGCTGCTTGTGTGGGGCTCACCAGGAAGGCAGCCCCAGTAACCGCTGGGTGAGCAACGTCCCTCTTCTGGAGCAGTTTCCAGTTGTGCAGCCAGAGCTCTGCGGGCATTTATGGACTTCCGCTTGGGTTGTCTCGCTTTGGGAGACTGGGCCAAGCGCAAGAGCAAGACCACGGATGCTTGGGGGTTGGGTGCTGAGAGGCTTCCTCCCAGCCTTAAAGTCAAGTCCCTGTCTTTCGGTTGTTTGGTGAGAGGAGCAACAGCAACTTCTTTTCCACACTCCAGAATTAGGGTGTTAAAATAGCAGAGCTTCGCCAGCTCAAATTTAGAGTTGTGTTTGTAGACCAGGCATGGGGGACCTCGGGCTGATGGGCCACATCTGGCCTGCTTGAGGCTCCCGTGCAGCCCGCTCAGATTGTCCAGATGGCCACTCCCCTTTCTCCAGCCACCCATCCCTCACTGTTCTTGTTGACAGCTTACTCCCCCTGCCAGCTAACCCTCGTTCTGGGCCTCTGGACGTGCAGAGGGACCCCGGTTTTCCGTACGTAAAGCGTTACCCAAACCCAAACACTCAGGTATGAATCCCTATACATTTAGACAGCACACAGAAAGGTTGCAGTTGGGTTTTCGAACAGCCTAGGTTATTTCCAGTCCTCTGGAATGAAAACTGGGACCCAGGTTTTCCTAACCCTATCCTGAAGCCAACCCTGACCCTGACACTCAGGCATACTCCCTATGCATTCAGACAACATTCCCAAAGACAGCCCTCGGGGTATTCTGGTTGCCTTCTCACCCTGCTTGTTTAAGTGGGGGAGTCTTTGACTAACCCTGACCCTAACCTGCAGTTTATTCCACACTCTAACAGCAAGATATGATTCATTTTGATACAGACTGCATGCAGAAAGGCCACTCACCCTTTTACCCTGTCAAGGCGAGTTTCAGGTTCTGGAACATTGATTTTCTTAACCCTCTCTTGTGTCCTGAAGCTTCACCTAAAACCTAACGCTTGTGCTAGCAGCTGTTTGCCTTGGTGGAATTTCCACCACGCTCCATCAAGGCATAAAGTATGGTCTGTCCAGCAAGCGCAGTTTTTCGGTTGTTGGACAGACCAGACTTTCAGCATCTTAAAACCTCTGATGAAATTTGCACAAAATGGCACCTGAAAACTGTGGTTGCGGCATGATTTGTGCAGACGCTTCAACAGACATGTTGGGGTGGGGGACCTCACTGGTGCCTTCCAAGCCATCCCCTCTCCTCTTTGCCTCATGCATGCAGATGCTACAAGTTCCCCCTATTAATATTATTTGTTTAATTTTTATACCGCCCAGCAGCTGAATCTCCCTGGGCAGTTTGCAAAGCACATTAAAAAACAAGAAACGATACCATGTATTAAAAGACATATTAAAACATCATTAAAACTTTACGATACAAAATGTAAAACCACATGTTAAACAGGTTATATCTATAACAACTTCAAGAAGAAGGAATGAAGAAAAGAAGAAAGAAAGACATTCAGACATGTATAACATGTCTGTTTAAGAAGCTGCTTGAATGCGCTGCAGTAGAGGGTGGTTTTTATCTGGAACTGAAAAGATAATAAGGTTGGTGCCAGGCAGACCTCAGCAGGCGCTTGTTCCATAACTAGGGGGCTGCCACTGAAAAGGCCCTTCAGGTTTTTGCCACCAACATATCTCAGTGTTGCTTAGCTGAAATGGTGTAACATGGCAGCTGTGGAAGGGCTGCTGCAAAGCTTGTAGAGCCATTGCTGACGATGGGAGGGGAAAAAAAGGATGATGGGAGAAAAGAAGAAAAGGGATGACCACTAGAACACTTAGCAGTGATAGAGGTCCAGAGGAACCTGTCTTACTGCGTGGAGTGAGCACCTGTGTTGCACAAGATGGGATTAAGACAGGTACAAACCCATCAGTTGAGACCAGGATTCCCAGGGAAGGAGAGGAAAGAAATCCAAATAAAATAAATTTTTGAACATTGGCCTCAAAACGATCAATGAAACCTCAATCCAGATTATCGGGTATATAATTTCCTTGTATTCTAGTCTGGAAAATGTATAATTGTAAGGGACTTCACAAGGGGCTCGCATTAAAGCCAACGGCTGCATACAGCATCCTAAGAAGTGCACTGCAGAAGCAGCTCTGTCTTGCGCGGTGTTATTTTGCCGTTTCCCCATTTCGTTTTGAATCATCTGTCATTGGGACAGTCTGAGGTTTCCAAATGTAGCACAGCACACGTGTAATTATCCATTTCTTCACTCGGTTAATCCTCTCATCTTTTTAGATATGTCGCAAATGTTAGTTAATTAAGCCTCATGACACCCCTCTGGGATTGATAACATGAGTCACTTGCTGGAGCAGAGAACTTAGGATGTAAGAGGCTTTTAGGCTGTGGATCGGAAGGAAGGGCAGCATCTCCGTGCTAAAGCGTTGTGTGCTCTTGACGGCGAAAGCAGCTCGATTTTTGGAGTGTCCAGGCGTGGACGCCCTGTTGGGTCCACATGGGAAACCGGTGGGTGCAGACAATATAGCGTAGGCCATCTTGAACGAGCAACCCCTTGTTTACGTTCTGATGGGATGTCGCACTTAGGAAGTTGAACTCCGCAGATCGCTTTGGAGAGAAAGGACAGGAAAGAAGAGCGGCAGGACGACCAAAGCCTCTTCAGAGCAGAACATGTAGCCCTGTTGCTGAACTATCTGTTTGCCTGACTATTATGAGAAGGAAGAAACCAGTTCCCAAGGCTCCTTGACCCAGAAGTGTGCATGTGAGATGAAAGCTTCTGGGTAGCCTCTCCCTGTCTCTTGTTGTTGGGTTTCCTTTGTATAATCACAGTAGCTCAGCAGCTAAGAGTCGGGGTGCCAAACCACGGAAGGCAACACCCCATTCCCCACCACTGCCGATCTTTTGCCGGTTTTCTGGCTTTGGTGCAGCCTCCCCCCACTGGAAAACGTTGGAGTGCCTTTCCTAAGGCTCAGTTATTTGTTGGAAGACCTTTATGCTACAATAAGCTGGTATTTGGGGGTTTGGGCCCAGCCAATTTTGTCTTCGCTCCACCCACCCAAGCGGCCCCCAGAGCTTCTCCGGAATGGAATTCAGCCCTTGGGCTGAAAGAGCGTCTGCACCCCAGTTATGCAGAACATTTCTAAGTGACTTCTCTCAAACTGATGTATTTTTAAGGGGAAGCCATGGTTTTCTGGGATTGTGGGGAGCTGTGGTCTAACCCTTGTATCCCAGGGAGCGCCTTACTCCATAGATCCCTGCCCGCAGTTTAAGATCGTCAGTGGAGGCCCTCCCACAGGTTCCTCCCGCCAGGGATGCTAAGGGAGAGGTGGCAAAGAGCAGGGCCTTTTCTTTGGTGGCACCCCAATTCTGGAACGCATTGCCACTGGAGATGCACCAGGCACGTACTTCATTGACTTTTAGGCACCTGACAAAAAGCCCCTTTTTCAACACACCTATGGCACTACTTAAACTATTTACATGACAGCACTGGTTTTAATTTAATGTTTTGTTTCTATGTACACAATGTGTTTTATATGGTCTGTTTATTACAATATTTCATTTGCATCATTTTATTAATTTTTATTCATATTTTATTGTAATGGCTTCCCCGAGAGTGTTATGTTAACAAGAGGCTTTTATACAAATTGAATGAATGAAGGAAGGAAGGACGGACGGACGGACGGACGGACGGACGGATGAAAGAAAGAAAGCCCATCCTGAGGGCAGCAGTTTGGAGTGGGCTGATCTAGCCCTTCATCTCGGAAAAACAACCATCATCCCTCATGAGAATTTTCATTGTTCCCTCCAGCTTGCCCCAGCCCGTGCCTGAGCTGCGATTCAGGAACCAGTTGTACTTCCTGCAAAGACCCGTCCCAAGTGCTGCTCTTTGGGGAATGTCAGTATGACAGCTGTGCTCCTCAGTACTACCTCGATTTTTCTACCAAGACCTGCAAAGGTGAAAGAAATGCATACATGTTTTCCTGTGCTGGATAGCAGTCCTAGTTCAAGCAGCATTGATGCCTTCCCTGGTGGTCCTTGTTTTCCTTTCCCCCTGTTCACTTTCTACCCTCCCATCCCCCCCCCCCCGTCCCGCCCCCCCCCCACTGTCATCTGCTGACACAGACTTCAGCTCCCAGTGGAGAGCCAGATTATTGCAAATCCTTCCCTGACAAATGAGGGAGTGGGTAAGCCATCAAACCTCCAAGGGTCAAGATTTGCAATTTGTTACTGGTTTTGTAGAACGAGCTCAGCTCTCCAAATCCTCCCCCCGCATCTTTATCATGAATATAAGATTGAGTATATTTGCTGGAATTTTCTCAGATTTATAAATATTGCAGGGGTCAATATGCATATTTCAAGAGAGTTCTTGAAAGTCATACTCTTCCAGAGGACACTGTATCTTCTCTCTGGCATGTTTCCAGAGAGAAGAATGGACCCGAGGATAATAATTTAAACATGCCCCTTTCAGTCCTTTACCAAGCTACATCATACATACCAACCTCATTAGAGATTTATGTCCATCTTTTTCAAAGCGTTTGCCATATCATTAGCTATCCTGAGACAACTGCTTTGCTGGTCTTCTTTTCTAACCATCGGTAGGATAGTCCAGGGTTAGAACAAGTTGAAAATAAGATACAGAACTCCCTGATTTATTTATTTTATTTCTATTCCACCCAATAGCCCGAAGGCTGTCTGGATGGTTCACCAAGTTAAAAGAACATGTAACAAAAAACAAAAACAAAATATAACAATCAAACAACAAAACAATAACCGCAGATAAGACGGCAACAATAGGCCCACGGCAAACACAATCAAATCGGTCCAGAGGTACAGAAGCAGTACAAGATAAAAAACAGTATAAAAGTTGAGGATATAAGTTAACTATTAAAATACTGGACAAATCATACTGGTGGCTGTTGCTGTTATGTGCCATCAAGTCATCTCTGACTTACGGTGACCCTGTGAATAAATGCCTTCCAGGGTGGCCCATCCTTGGCAGCCTTGCTCTTGTTAAAACAAGCCTATGGCTTCCTTTATTGCTCTCGAACCATCTCATATTTGGTATTCCCCTTCTTCCACCTTCAACAGAAGGCTCTTCAATGGAGCCTTAAAGAATAGAAAAGAAATTCTCAGACCTTGCACCCAGAAGGAGTTTACTGGACTGTTTCTGTCCTGCTGTATCTGGTAACATCTGCTGGATCTGGTTTTAAAGTGATGGAATCTGAGCTGACATTTCGTGTAGTTGGGAGGGCTGGTTTTGGTAGATGGCACTGGCAGTCAGATTAAGAGAGGCGCTTTGTGGCAAATGATTCCTGCTTCATCTGTAGCATTCAGAGCTGCTTCCCATTAAGATTTCTACCATAGTCTTGTGTCTCATGGGACATGTGGACTAGAAGCATGTTGACAGCCTTCTGCATATCAAATGAATTGAAATGTTATGGCAGAGACCAGAGAGGCTACTGTAATCTGCAATTCCTTCTCAACCTGGCATCTTCCAGACACGTTTGACCCTGGGGATGATAGACACTGTAGTTCAGCACATCTGGAGTATGCTAGGCTGAAGTCAGTTGTCTTACTTCACTGCAGCTGTTTCCACCCACTCAAGCATCTCTTGTTCAGAAGTTGGAGGATGGCTGCAGCTTCTTCCGACCTTACGCAGCCGTGTCCAGACTCACCTTGAGTCTGACACCTGGTGCGATGGCGAATGATGCTTCCCTTCTCTTTTGCAACCACCATTCCTCTTGAGCTTGCAGTGGGAGCAAAAGATGCAGGATTCCCTCTTCTCCTTTTTAGTCCTCTCCAGATCTCTGGAGTAGTTGCTTGGGACAGCGTCTGTCCCTAGGACTGTACCATGTTTCTTTGGGGTCTTGGTGGAGCTTGCTTTATCTTGCATCCGCTTTTCCCAGCTCAGCAGATCTGTCTCCTCCTGCCATCCGTTCCTGTCTCCACATGTTCTGCCATGCTTGGAACAACCACTTCCTTTCTGTGGGTCTACACAGTCTCCTTTCTCCTCCTTTTTCAAGTCCTTCCCCCAAGGTGTGGCTTCAGTGCTTTCCAGAGCAGCCCAAGCAGTGGTGTCGTGGGAGCCGGGCTCTGAGGAATGCAGCTCTGGTTCCTTTTCTTGACGGGGGCAGCTGACATATTCTGTTACCCCACCAACCGTCCCTGTTCCCTCTGCCCCTTGCTGCAGTCTGCGTGGCAGGTGGGCAGAGGAACGGAACAATATGCCGTTGGTGGCAAAGTTGTAATGCAAGGTAGTTTGGGATGCCTGGTCTTGAAAGGGAAACTAGGAACAAACATTTTATCAAATGCAGTGGAGGAGGCTGTCTCAGGTGCCTTGCAAGAGGAAAAAAGCGGGATATCCATGTAACGACAAGCACCATCATATCATAAGATCTCCTGCAATCAATCAAGACTGCTAGAATTGGTTTCTCCTATGGATCAAGCATCTCTTCAGTTTTTACCCCTCCTCAGGGGTGGACTGTAGGTTTCCATGGTGATCCCTGCACCTGGAAACTTAGCACTACATCACAGCTGCCAAGTTTCACCTTACCTGCCTGTCCATTAACATTTCTCTCCCTCCTGTCCTGTTTCTGCTTCTCCATCATCAGTATCCCACCCCGGTCTTCACCCACCTTGTAGACAGCAAGCCCCCTCAGCAGGGTCAGTGCCCCTTCCTCGTCCTGTGCAGCTCCTGCTGCCCTATTAGTGCTAAATAAATGCTCCACACAGTCCTTTCCTGTCCCTTGGACAGTCATTACGCGCTTCTCCCAGGAGGAATCCTCCGGCTGCTGGAGCAGCGGGCCCGGTGAGGAGCGTCTCTGCCTCCCTGTTATTAACTTGGCGACCTCTCTCTTCTGAAATTCATTCTGACTGTGGGGCAATGTCACCTCTATCGTCAGTTCAGCCTGCTTAATTAGCAGTGCTTGTGGGAACCCCCTGAAGGCTCGGCGAGGGGGGAGAGGAGATCTGTGGCTGAACAGTGGCGGAGCACACCGGCGAGCGATGTGCGCTCGTTCTTGGTGTGGGCCGGCAACAGCTGCGAGCGCCGAGAGGGACCAGCGGTTGTGGCGGCTCGGCTTGCCCATGGAAGAGCAGCCCCCCATGCCTTGGTTGAGCATCACTGGGAAATGTTACACTCCAGAGAAGGACTGGTGTTATTCTAAGGAGATCCCTGCAGGCGGTTCCTTTCTCCAATTAGGCTCCTCCGCCGCCCGGCTCTGCCCTTCACTGTCTCTGCACCGTGCGATGGGTTACAGTGGGTGTCGGGCAAGCACCAAGGTGTCCCGTCTTTCCTTTCCCATTTGCTTAGAGTGTGACTGGAGCTGCAATGCCTGCAGTGGCCCCCAGAGCACCGACTGCCTGCAGTGCATGGAGGGATACGTTCTCCAAGACGGCGCCTGTGTGGAAGGATGCCCAGCAGGTTTCTACCATGACTCCGACACATGTCAAAGTAAGTCTCCTCTCTTGGCAAGGACGCACTTCCCTAGGCAACTACTAATGGGGACAATTGAGGGAAGTGGAGCAATTTTAGACCCGTAGAGTTGGAAGGGGCCGTGAAGGCCATCTAGTCCAGCTCCCTGCTGTTGCAGGGCGGGCGCCCACGTTGCACCGTCCCACCATCTTTTTTGGAATCTGTTCAGTTCCCTGGGCCCACCTCCCTGGACTGCTTTCTGCTTTGGCACAGCCATTAGTCAGAGTTCCTGGTAAGGTCACCAGGGATTCGCGTGGCACCCCCAGGAATCGAGCCCCACCTAAAATCCTTTGTTTGCGCTGCTGCACGTGACTTGGAAGAAGGCTGCCGGGACGAGAGCCCCTGCAGCGGCTCACCCTGGTCATTCCCCACTGGCTTATGGGTATGCAGTTGCGGAACTCACCATCCCATCTGCACGGTGTAGGAAGCCATTCTGTAGTGAGCGGAGGCACACCATGCATGACACCTTTCCCCCGGAGGTGTGGACTGTGCCTGCCACCTGGCCCAGTCAGGGACGCTGAGAGTTGTCCATTGAAACACCTGGATGGCGTGAGGCCGTAGAAGGCCGGTGCACACCCAGCCAGGCCGGCACAGTGGCTAGACGGTTCAGCTTAGGTGTGAGCAAGCCAGGGACAAATCCTTGCCCAGCTATGCTGCCGGCATACCTGTCCATCAAGGCAACACGCAGGGTCACCTTTGCAAAGCTGGAAAGGCATGGGCCTGCAGCCAGGTGGATGACCACATGTGGGGAGCAGGGGTTTGGAGACGATGGTCTCGTAGGTCCCTTCCAACTCCCCTTCCCTTCCCTTCCCATCCCATCCCATCCCACCTTAGTCACTCCAGTGTTTCTCTGCCAGTTCCCCACCACTGAGAATGGACGTAACTGCTGCGTGTCTGTTGCCTGGAGCCCTTTGAAGTCGGGGTGTGATCAAAACCTGAGATGGGCAGAGCGTGTGGGGAGGTACGGGCTGCCTGTTCATGCCTGGCGAAATGCATTTCTAAGAGGCTTACCTGTGGCATTGCAGGGTGTGATGACGACCGCTGCCTCCAGTGTCATGGCCCTGGCGAATGTGCTTGCTGTGAAGCCCCGTTCCTCCTCTTGGGATCACAGTGCGTCCGGACCTGCGGGAAGCGATACTACGCCGATCACGGAGAGCTAAAATGCTCCGGTGAATACATCTGGGGTGGGCTTCCCCGGCCTTTTTGGTGGGCGGGCACATGTCGAATTTGGGGACGGTGTGTTTGAATGCTCCCACAAAGTAGCTTTCATTCGGGGGAGGGGCTTGCTCACTCATAAAACCATGCCATGGTGAGCATGAGCAGCCGCTAAACACCCATGTTCCCCAAGGCAAATGGGTGGGACTAAAAGAAACATAACTTGCCCAAGAACTGCAGGAATGTAAGTGTAACTCTCCAAAAACTCTTAGGAAATAAAATTCAGGAAGGAAGTTAATTCCCACACTGGGTTTCCACACCAGTGTCCATGAGTATAATGGTGCCTCCAGTTACCATGTTTGAGATCCCAGAATTAGAAGATTAACCCTTAAGCACACATTAGCAGCTTCAGCAAGAAAGGGGAAAGAGTTTATCTCCCATCTGGCAGTGCAGAATTCAAAAGACAGGATTGACATCTGAGTCCAACTGTTGGGATAAAAATTAGCAGTGCCAGTTAACATGCTGTGTGCAAGGAAACGAAATCTGCTCATGGCATCATGGAAAGAACGGTGATAGAACTCATGACCCCAGATTCATTTGGCATTGTACTCTGCTGCTTTCTGGCAGATCAGTATGATAGCTCAGTGCTAAAGCGTATGCTTCATTATGGCTTGCAGGTCCAATCCCTGGAGGGGACAGTGTGGTACAATTGTTACAGACTGAGGAGATCTGGGTTCTGATCCCCATTCAGCCATGGAGCCCACTGGAAAACTGAGCGAGTGTCAGACTGGCCTACCTCACAGGGTTGTTGTGCAGAGAAAATGGAGAGAAGGTGGTTTATGACACTGCTTTGTGTTCCATGCTGAAAAAAGCCAGATATAAAAATAATTAAAAATAAAAAATACTATGTAATTACATATCTAGGAGCTGTTCCTTCCTGCAGCAGATTATATTGGACTCCAAGGAATGCAGGTTGGATGTAGCATAATGGATTGTTCAGTTCCACCCCCGGCTCCAAAATAGATCCATGCTTCACCTTTCTCTGAACTTGCTTTAAATCCTTGTTCCCTTTCATGCAACCTTTCCAAGTCTTCCCAAACTTTAGCTGTGAAAGCAGTGCATGGAAGAACGTCATTGCTCTTTGCTTTTTGGAATGATCACTTTGGAATGGTACGGTGCTGCGGCATGCTGTTATTTCCAGGCCTTTTCTTCTGCCTGAACTTGCATAGGATTATACCTTAACTATGCCAGCCTTCGTGAACCCGGAGCCGTTCAGATGTTGCGTGGTAGCTTGCATCCGGCCATGCAGCGGAAGGTGATGGGAGCTGCAGGCGGATGCACCTGGAAGGCACCCGTTTGGCAAACTGAACCAGGGCACTGCTGTTCCTATTACCCAACACGCTTTTTGTTGCAACGTGGCCCGTTCCGCGTGTGCTGGTTTTTTAGCACTGCAGTCACTCGGTGGGCTGGCTCCGGAGAGCAAGGCACCCTGGGTTGCTTCCCTGCGTGCTAACCCGCGACGGCGCTGGCAGGCAGCCGGGCTCTGCGAGGCTTGTCATGGCTCGCTTCCAAGCTGTCCCTCCCGCCTGCTCCTTGCATGCATCCCGGCGGCTTTGTGGCCTAACTCCGGCGAAGCCCGCTGTGCTGAGGTTCTCTCCCCGTCTCTCTTGCCTTGTAAAAGCGCCTGCGTTGACATAAACATGCCATTTCTTCAGAGAGGAGCATGTGGGTTTTACCTTACCTTTGGCGGCTGTGGGTTTTATTTGTTTTCATTCTCTAACACTCAGAAAAAAGCCTTCTTGATTGCTCCTCATAACCTGTTCTTCTGAATAATACAGCCATGCGTGTGGGGGGTGTGATTGAATTACCTCTGGCTGAGTGTGCCCAGCTTCAATTTAGGGCTGTGGCAATTTGGGGCAGGAATCTTGTTTGAAGGTGTTCAGCAAGAGCAGCAACAGATGGAAAGCCCTTCCTGTTTGCAGGCTGAAATGGAGATGTTGTTCTTTTTTAAGTCTTCCTCAGGGAGAGGGGGAAACGCAGTGTGAAAACGGGTGAGGAAACTTTAACCCCCCCCTCCTGAAATGCCGTGGTCCTGGACTGGGGGTGCAAATGCGTACTCAGAGGTAAAAATCAACCGTGCAAAGCTGTGCTGACTCCGCTCTCAAGGGGTGTGATGTCAAAGCGCTGAGGAAGGCCGGACGGCACGGCGAGGTGCGGTCAGGTTTTCAGAGCCTCTGTAACAAGCCATGGAAAACCAGCTCGGCTGGGTTTGGACGTTGGGGCAAGTTGCCCTGGAAACAAACCACGCCAAGCAACCCAGGAACAAGCCATGGGTTCTCAGGGTGGCTTGTGCATAGAAAATGAGCCACCCCATGGAAACCTCCTGTGATTATCCCCCATGGTGGTTTGTTGGGTTCTGTCAACCAGGTCAGTGTATAGAACTGGGAAGCTGTCTCGAGACAAAGGAACGCCTGAGACGTAATCAGGTGTGAGCTGGAATGTCATATGTTGCAAATGGTCCAGGAACTTCAGCTGATCCAAAACAGGGCAGCAAGACTGTTGGTAAGGACTGGTTCCCAAGAACATATGCCAGTCCTTCCAGCTGTGCTGGCCACTGGTTGAAGCCCAGACATGATTCAGAACCCTAAATGGCTTGGGGCCAGGTTATCTGCAGGACCACCTTTTCCCTTGTACCTTCCCAGACCCTCAAATCATCTTTGTGGGCCCTTCTCTGGGTTCCTCTTCCAAAGGAAGTGAGTCAGGTGACTACCAGGAGAAGGGCCTTTTCGGTTGTGGCACTCCAATTTTGGAATGAGCTCCCTAAAGAGGTGCACCTGGTGCATACTTTATGCTCTTTTCAGTGTCACATGAAGGCTTTTTTATTTTCCCAGTATTTTAACAGTTTAACTCTTTAGCCTGGTTTTTAAATATTACATTCTGTTCTGTACGGCTGCAATGCATCTGTGCTGATTCAATAGCAATTGCAAATATAGTTCCTTTGCTTTTAACTCATTGTGTTTGTCTTTTTAAACATTTGTTTAATTTTGACTTCTCAGAGAGCCAGGGCTATTGGGCATCATGCAAATGAAATAAATAAAGGTGTGTCTGTGCATGTATACATTGCTATCCACAGGCAGAGGAATGCATGCATGTGCCCCAAAATGGAAGGGACCATAGGCAGCTACAACACACCGTGTCAGACCCCTGGTTCTTCTAGCCCAGTTTTGCTGACATGGATGGCGGAGAGATGCTTCAGCCCCACCGGGATGGTGGGATTCAACCTGGGATCTTCAGGCACACATGCAAAGCATAAGCTGAGCCCCCTCCCTTCACATAGAGAAGGAACTCCGTTTCTTGCCGTTGTCCCACATGCTCAGAACAAGGATGGTAAAATGGGCTCTGGAAGTTGATGGAGCTGCCTCGTTTCCGAAGACTAGGCAGTGCCACTGGTAGCGGCACTTGATCTTTCTTAAAGGGCGCTGCACCTTTTCTTTTTCATGCTAGCTTGCCCCAAGAGATGCTTGGAATGCGATGGAGCAGGTCGGTGCCAGGTTTGCGACTCCACCACCTTTCTGCATGAAGATCATTGTGCCTCCAGCTGCGGCCGTGGCTTCTTCGGTGACCTCCAGAGCAGGGAGTGTATAGGTGAGTATCCTCTCAGATGCTTTGTACCTGGCCAACAGGTTACTGCAGCCTTCAAATATTTGAGCTATGTCTGCCATTCCCAACAGCTGCTGCCAGCAGAGCCAGATACCAGGAATGATGGAAGTTGGAGTCTAAAGCAACTGGAGGGAAAGGCTGGGATACTGTCTATCCCACCCAGTTTCCTATTTTTACATCAGAGGAGTAAGGAATTATCAAAGCCCCTTGGGATTCTTAGGGAAAAGGTGGGATATAAATGCAGTGGGAGAGTGAAGTGCCTCCTGGTTTGTGAGAAGGGCCAGGGCAGGAGGTTTAGGTGTATCTTGACCCAAAATCTCACCTGGTTTAACAGATAATCTCCATTCCTTTCATCAGCCCCATGGAACCGTGGGAACTGCAGTTCTGTGTGCATGGAGGGCTGAGAACCTCTGGCAAAATGCTCAGCACTCCCACAAACTACAGTTCCCAGGATTCTTTCAGGGGAAGCCCTTCCTGCTAAGCCCTTCTAAATGCTGGGGCTCATCTAGACTATGGGCATGTATTGGCTTTATAGCTTTCAGACTGCCATGGTTTTCCCCATCTCCCAAAGCATCACAGATAGTGTAAAGTATCAGATAGTGAGAGCTGTCTTTGGAGGTAGCTAGCTTGCTGGCTGGGCACACATAACATGCAAACACTCCAGGAGTGGCACCTTCCCCAGTGCTCTTGGAATGCAACTTGGGAGCTGCCATCTTTGCTCCCTTCTTGACATTTGAGGGTAGCTGCTGCCACAACCCTGCATTCATTCTGCACAGGGAGAGGCCAGGTTGGAACGGGGAGGTCTGGGAAGCAGCTGTGCCACAAAGGCACATGTGTTCCTGGGAAAGCAACCCCATCGACCAGCTGCTTACTAAAATCCCTGCATGCTTCATAAGCACCGAGGATGTGAGTCTGTCTGTCCAGATTTCTGTCATCACCCATTGCACCCGGAGCATGAATTCTGGCCACCGGAAATCGGGCATGCACAGCAGGGCAACTCCAGAAGTGTGCACCTAAGGGCTATTTTGTTTTTGAAACATATTAATTAATGTGAATGCGGTTGGAACCTGCAGTAATATCTTCAGCCACTAGGGATAGACTTCCCTAACCAGCGGGTAGCGTTGCAATCCATACGGTTTGAAAGAACCCACTCATAGGCTGGCGGTCACACACACGCCCCCACCGCCTCGGGAATGGGCCGAGCTAATCCCTCCCCCGGAGACTATCAGGGACCCGCCCGGGGGTGCCAGCCGGCATTCTGTCACTCCGATGGGCAGGCACAACACGTTCAGCTCTGGCCACTGTGCCAGCTGGCTCAAAGGCTCTGCCCTGTCAAACCTGGGGCCAATCCAAACCTCACAAGGCTGGGTCTGTTGCTAGTTAATAAAAAAATAAGGTGGGTCTCCTCCTGCATTAACTTTGGCTTCATTTTGTTTTAGCCATCACACGGGGTCCCGTTCTGAGGGCAAATGGCACACTCTGGGTAGGAATTGGTGGGGCCGTGCCGCTCAGCTTTTCCTTCATGGAGGTGCAGGGCCCTGGGGGCACCGGAAAAGAACTGCTGTTTCACGTGGCCAGCCTTCCCACCAATGGCAGAATCGTGGCTGTGGCAAATGGGCAGCAGTCGGAGCTGAGGAAGGACGACCATTTCACGGGGCAGGACGTGTCGGAGCAAAGAGTTCTTTTTGTGCACGATAAGGAAAAGCCCAGGTGACGAGTTGTTTCTTTCCATCTCCTCTTGCTTTGAACACCAGATGCTGTCGGAAGGTTCTGGCCGACCGCTAGGCCAAGCTCTTTCCACCTTTTCTGTACATAACCCAGTTGCCAATTCATTTAAAACAGACGTGTTGCAGAAATGAGGAAAAGAGCAGGGCCATCCAGGGAATCCTGGCAGGCTGGACTGAGATCTCAGGTAGATGGAATTTGGCCCACAGGCCTAAAGTTTGACATTGCAGATTTAAACCAGTCAAAAAACTAAAGTGATGCCACCAAACGTATCTGATCAGGGCAGTATTTGTTCTGCACTTTTGCAGTCACGCAAAACTGGTATTGTCTTGGTCCTGAATTCGGCATCCGGAGAATCTTAGTTTTCATTAAAGATGAGATGTTTCTAGTCCTCAAGTCTATTTTTTGTGAGTGCAAAGAATTGGCTTGAAAATGTGTGAATGATTCCTGATGGAAGCTCAAAATGTGTACCGCTCTGAAGGTGGTGAAACAGTCCCATCGTTGTCTGAGAGCAGTAAGGATAATATTTTCTCTCCTCCTGTGGATTCTGGTCAAAAAGATTTAGTGGGTTTTTGAACTACTAAGAAAATGGGCTGCTCTTCTGTGCATTCTTGCTGAACTGGATCGATCAAAATGCCTATCAATATGCTTGTATTATACACATTCTGTATTCTCGTCCATAAGTGTCGTGTGTCTTAATAATGTTCTTTTGGTTGTTCCTTTTCAAACAGGAATGGCCACATTTCTCTAAAGATCAGCTATCAACAGTACTTCTCTGAACCAGAAAAATTCCCCATTCAGGCCTTATCAACACAGGTAGTACAAAGGACAGCTTTGAATTCTATCTATTTTTCAAAAGCCTGAAAGGGAAAATGTGTCTTAGCCTTCTATATTCTTGGACTTTCCTACCTGCGAGGCTCAATATTGTTTTCCTTTTCTCCAGGCTCAGTTTCAGGCTTCCCGAGCAAGCCTCTTCCTTTCTCAGTGGAGGAGAAATGGCAGACTGTTCTTAGCCAGTCCTTTGCAACAGCCTTGCCACTATCCTCCCAATGGGAAGGCCTTATAACACTGGGGTTCCACTCTGATAAACAACAGGGCAAAGCAGGGGTCTTGAGACCCTGCCTCCCATCTCAGGTCTACCAGGTGTACCCCAGGGAAAGCTGCCAACAGCTGCTGGACAACAGCTGCCAAAAAGAGCCCCACTGCGCTGTGGGGATCTGTCACTGGGCCCTGTTGCCACTTCCCACCCTCCCTCCTCCTCTCGGTGCATAAACACCGCTGCTTGAGCAGGAGGTGCCTTCCCCTCAGGCCTGTCCCTGGGTAGGGGAGAAGTTTGCTCCCTCCTGCATTTCCTTGGCCCAGGGACGCCCCACCAAGTGGGGGTGAGGGGGTAGGTGGACATGTCTGCAAGGGGCTCTTTTTCCCCTTCACTGTGGAGCCCTCCAGGCAAAAGCGGGGGACAAGGGGGAGGCAGGGCCATTCATGAAGGGCAACCCTGCCTGTCCCTCTCACCGAGGACAGCTTCTGGGTTTTGGCTTGCAATGGCTTGCTGGGTCGTCCGGCTTCAGATGACACAACAAGCCATGGGAGTTTTACTAAACAGCACAACAAGCCATGGCTTCTTTGGGTGACTCATAAATTCCCACGGGTGGCATATAGGCCGCCTGCCAGGAAGCACAGGGATGGGGCTCGGGAGACACGCAAAACTCTCCTGCCCTTCATGGCTTGACATGCCTTGGGAACTTATGTTACTTCTGACATACTAAGCCAAAGAAAGGCCTGCCTGGCTCTTGAAGGGAGGCCTTGAACTTTTGTCTCCTGCTGTCCATCTGAAGAGGCTGATACATAGGACTGGAGGAAGCACTTTGAATCCTCTGTTATGTGCCATTTAGACTTTAAATAGCTTACTTTAAGTTTTCATAAGTTGGGATAATAATTAGCATGGCTCTTCCCCTCTAATGCCAGCAGTGGTGTAGTAGAATCAGGGCTCACAGGAATGCAGCACTGAAATTTCCTTAGTGGGAGGAAAGCTGATGTTACCTGCCACCTCCTCTGAATTTCCTGTTGCCTCTCAGCTTCACCGCAATTCTCACAATGACTGGGAGAACATGGATTTTCCCAGGAACAATGCTTTGTTCCCTGTTGTCCTGAAAAGCATTTTGCAGTGGCTTGATCTTTAATGGGCCATTAAGACTCATGGCTCTGTAAGAGACCTGCTCCTGGCAGAGATGAGAAGTACTAGAACTGGTTTGATGGATACCACACACTCAGCACTTTGATGGGAAATGCTGAAACAGACCCATGTTCCCTGAATGAAATATAGCCGTCTTAAGCAGCAGAAAGTGGGTTACCCACTTCATCTTTATTATTACCCGTATTTGCATACTGCTCCATATCTGGACAGATTCCAGAGCATTGAGCAAAACAAAGCAAAAACAGGTAAAAGGATTAGAACAAAATATTAAAAAGGGGAATCTTAAAACTGTGGGTGGGCAGCAAGCAAGGCTTCCTTCCAAGGAAGGCTTCCTGGAACAAGAGATGCCTTCAGTAGTTGCCAGAAAGAACATAGTGCTGGTGTCTGTCCAACATCCCACATTCCACAGAAATGGGGGTTTTCTCCTGGTGGACTCCAGCTGGGCTAGAGGTCTCTGTGACACCACCAGGAGAAAGTCCTCCAGTGACTAGGCAGGTTGAAAAGGGAGAAGGAGCTCTCTCAGGCGCATCACATCCCCAGGTCCTTCTCAGGCTCCCATCACTCCTTCCATCATTTCCTTTCTGTTTGCACCAGCAGAACTGGGTTTATTCCAAAGAAGCTGGTCCGTTCTGACATGCACACACTCTGGCTATAAGGGTCAGCACAGAAATAAATAAAATGTGGACCCTTTTCCATCAGTTGTCAAATGTGCACAGGCTGCAAAACTGAGCTGCTGTTGATAAAACCACAATTTGGGGTTTCACTTTAAAGCAGAGAATATACCTGGGTGCCATCAGATGAACCAGATGCTGCCTTTCCATTTCAGGCCCCCTATGTGGTGCGGAACGAAGCCCTGCTTGTTAACAGGGGGGACGCCGGGGCCATAAGCAAGCTCTTCCTTGATATTCAAGACAACGATAATCCCCAGGATGTGGTGGTGACGGTATTGGATCCGCCACATCATGGGCAGCTAGCCAGGCTTCCTGGGAGCTTGCCGTCGGGGATGCCTGCCTTCCGCCTGGATGACTTTTCTAGCGGGCTTGTGCGTTACATCCACGACGGATCCAGCAGTTCGGAAGACGCGGTGGTTCTGCAAGCAAGCGATGGCTACCACGTGCAGAATATACTTTTCCACATCAGGATTGCTCCGAAGGTCAGTGCCAGCTGTGCACCTGCATGATAGACCTGCCGTGGAATCCTGTGTGCATTTACTCAGAAGTAAACCCTATTCATTTCAGTGGGACTTGCTTCCACGTAACTATGCATAAGGGCAGTTTTAAACCATTCGGTAGCATTCCTGTCCTTGGGGAATTCTGGGACCTGGCACTCTGTCTGTGATGGGGTTTCTGCCAGAGTATTTTCAGCTTCCTTGCCAGACTACATTTCCCAGAATGCTAGGGGTAAAGAGACATGGCAGTTAGCCCATACCCAAAAGTCTGAATCACCTGTTCTAAGGTTTAGTTACTGCCAATGCGAGCTTTCGTTTCTGGGGTTTGTTTTATGGCCCTTTGTATTGCCATCTGCCTTGGAGACCTTTCTGAGGACTGAACATTGGTACCAAAATATCTTGTTGAAGAAACAAAATTCAGCGACTCGGAGCTCCCCAGTGAGACATGGTATGGCCTTGGGGCATTTCTCTTCCACAGCACCCACCACCAGCTATCTCCAGGACCCCGTTTTATTATTTTGGAACATGCACAAGAGTCCCGAATGCTTCCCTGAGGGTTTTTCTAGTTGTGTTGAATTTGCCATGCAGGCAGACAACAGCCGAGCATTTCCCAGGACTTATTTTTGCAATTCAAATAGTATCCTATGGAGAGAAGGGGATATACTGCATACCCAGCTGGTATCGGTCTGTTGTAACTTGTTGGCTGAACTTTGTGGTTTGTGAGGGTAAAAAAAGACAAGGTCTAGCTTAGCTTTCATTGCCTGCCAAACCTCAAAGCTTGAGAGCTCTTGCACATGGCATTGGCATGCCTTGTTCTCCCTCTGTCTCTTGTAAAGCACTTGGCATACAGTACGGAGAGGTTCGCCTTCAATTTGGGCATGGCGGGACACTGGCATTTCTTTAGTTAATATTTATTTAAAGTCTTTTTATCTTGTTCCTCAGCCAAAGAGGTTTTCAGAGCAGCTTACGTGCAGTCAGTCAGACAAGGCAGTCCCCACCCGCAGGCTTGCAGTCGAAAAGAATGACATGATACAGATGGAAAAGGGGATGGGCTGGAAAGGGGGGCGATTGTTGTCTCCTTGCTGCAGTGCTGATGGAATGGCTCCAATTCCCTTCTGAGAACCTCACGTTCTGGAGACATTCGCTTCTCCTGCAGTGGTTAGCCAGAATAAGCTTTGGCAGCTCCCTGGAATCCTAGAATCAGTGGTACCCTGCCCCTGAACATGGAGGTTCTATTTTTAAGTGTCAGGGTTAATAGCCACTGAACTATTTTGTCTAATCCTTCTTTTAAAAACCACCTAAACCTTTGAAAGAGAATTTCATGTCTTTGCCATTCACATGAAGAGGTGAATCCTCCTGTTTGTCCTCAGCTTGCTGATTAATTTATTGGTCTATTTTATACCTCCCAATCAACTGTATTGAGTGTGAATTTCTAGTGTTTTGAGAGTCAGAGGGAAATTGATGTCTTCCTGTGCACACTTTCCCCATTATTCATAATTTTGTAAACCCTGATCAGGTTCCCCATTAAGCATCCGCCAAACCTTTGCTCTGCATTCACAGTTCTAAACTGAAGAGCCAACATTCTTTGTAGGAGAGATCCTCCAACCTTCTTCTTTCTTGCCATTTCCTGGATCTTCTCAAGATCTTTCCTTTTTTTCAGAAGAGGTGACCAAAACTGCGCACAGCATTACATCGTTATCATGATGGAGCAATGTTCTTCTTCATGCCCCTTTAAAAGAAAACATTCCCAGCATTGAATTTGTTGTTATTTGGTTTCATTGTGCCAGGCTTAAAAAAAGAGAGAGATTAAAGGAAGGTTCTTCCAAATATGGGTTCATTCAGGCCGATCCAAAGTAATTCAAAGACTACGCTACTTCAGGGTATCCTTGAGAAGAGAATGGTCCCTGCATCCTTCCTTTCTTTAGTATACTTCTTTATGGTTTGATGTTCAGTGACTCTGCAGTGGATTCGCAAAGGAAATGGAACCCACCTTTCTCCTAAGGTCCTCGATGCTCCCGATTTGTATGTTGTATCATACAAGGCTGCATTGCAAGGACATCCTGGCATTTCCTTTGACCCCTTCCAGAGAGCCTCGATCGTGTATTATGGGTCTGAGCGTGAAGACTCCACAAGAGGAAGCAAGTGATAGAGGTGGATTCTAAAAAAAAGCGCTGGCAGCATAATCCCCCCACTTCTGTTGATCCTGCAGGTTTTGTAACAAGCAATGATGAAGGTGAATCGCTGAATATAATTTGCTTTATTAGCCAATTTCACACTCCCTTGTCTCATTATTTTGTAAATCCCAGTTTGCAACAGTTTGCAAAAGACTGCAAGGGAAGCTGCCAGTACGAGAGACATGGACGCCCCTGGAGGATTTAGTGCGAGGTGGGGCTGGCAGGAACCCCGTCTCTGCCTTAGCCTAATTATCACCTTTCTACAATAGCCTTGGGAGACAAACCAGATGCCAGCTTTCTTTCTGGAGAAACGGTGTCTAGACAGAGATAAAAGGGTTCTTTCTTCTTGCCACCCCACGCTCCACCCCAAAAGCTGTTACAGATGCTGGAATAACCCTGGCTGGGGGGCTTTTTCCCCTACCTAAACTCCTAATTTGAGAACAAGAGGCGTATTAGAACAAACAACCACCCTCTTGCATGCCTTATGTCCCTGATCTGAAATGATGTTTGCAGAGTTTCTGCAAAATTGGTTTAAAGAATAATGTGCTTTAAAAACAGACGTTCAAAGTATATAAACACGGTATAATTGAGGCAGTAACAAAAAGCATCAATGGAACGGAGAGAATGCTTACATCGTGTCAGGTATGTTCTGGCACATGCAGAGAATATGCTGTGCTGTTTGACTGAGGAGGCGAATCAGTTGCTAACAATCTCCGCTTTCATGATCTGAACAAACCCAGTCTTGGCTTTAAACCATTCTGCAGCCTTGGGATATGCTGAGTTCCTTCTCTTGAGGGAACAAGCATGTATTATTATGCATAATATTACTAATCTCAGTTTCATGTCTATGCCACCCAATAGCCAAAGCTCTCTGCGTGGTTTTCAGCAGTTCGTAAACACAATAGCTTGCCATTTCCCTTCCACCTGCAGTCAAACAGTATAAACTGGCAAAGTACCTCTGAGCATGTGCAGGGTGCTTCCATGCTGAAGGGAACCTTTCTTAGTATCTCAGAGGAATATCAAGGAATGCTGCCACAGAGGCTTGCATCCCCTGCCACTGTCGGCTTTTCTGTGCAGGCACCAGATGGTTGACTGGCCGGCCCATCCTGGTGTTGGCCAGAAGTTTTGGACTCCCATGCCCATTAGGACCATCCGGCACAGCCCCTGGTCAGCAAAGTTGTGCTCCAGATTATCTGGCAGGCTCCAGTTGGGGAAAGTGTTGCGGAGATCCATTGGCCTGGGCAGTGGCTCCGCTGACTGGACCAGCTCCGAGCATGTCCCAACCTGGGTTCACATGTCCAGACAGCACCGTGCTGGGCTGTTGCACATAGTGGGTTCTTGTGCTGTGTGAATCTAGAGCAATCGCCACAGGGCAGCTTGTTTGAGGGCAACAAGCCACCCTGCCAGCCCAGGGGTTGTTCTAGGGGTTGTTGTACTCAGAACACACTGTTGTATCATCCCAACCTAGGCAAGTGACCCTGTCATGGGTACCAGAAATCAGGTAGTGAGCCATATACAGTCTCATGTCCCTGTTAAAAACCATCCATTGACCTGTTATGACCACCTTTTAAGGGAACACAGGGCAGAAGAAGCTGAGCAATGGAGGAACCAGACTCAGGTTGTAATCTTGTGCCCACTTTTCTGGGAGCCTCACCCCACTATACAGAATGTACCTCCAAATCAACACACATGGGCTTTATGCCGTACAAGTCCATCTGCATTACAGAGTTTTAGATCCGTTTCGTACCAGTTCAGCTGCTGTGGTTTCTGTGTTTAACAAAAGTGCTGGAATTCTCTTTTAAAGATCTGTAGACTCATGCGCCCAACTCCAGCCGAGTAGTAGGAGAAAGGGAAGGACTGTTAAATTTCTTGAAATGTAGTGAAGTATTACTTGTGGCCAGCATCCAACAGAATATGCAGGAATTAGTGTGCAATCTTTCCATGGGTTGTTGCAGATTCTTGCCTTATTTACATAGCATTTATGTTATCTTGGCAGGAGGTTCTGATACTGGCCATGGAAGCTATATTTTTTTATTATATCCATAGGGACCCTGGCTTGCCTGACACCAAACCTCAAACACAGCCCTTAATCAAACTGGCTCATGATAACAGGTCACTTAAAGGAAATATGTGGAGGGGAAGAAAAACAAACTCTTTCTGCAGAATTCCTTCTAAAGTGTTGAATTAAGGCATCAAAGGCTAAGAAGGAGGAAGGCAGCAAGAGGGAGGGGAAAGTTTTTCCTTTCATTCGTTTAGAAGGAAAGAGCACGGACTTTTTACAGAGGAAGATGTAGCCCCTTGGAGACTGTGAAAGAAGGAATAATGGAGTCCTGCGTGACTGGGGAGCAGGGGCTTTTGTGTGCAGCATGGTCTACCCTTACCCTGGGAGGGGGAACCAGCACCCCTCCCAAAGAACTTGGCCTACAACTTTTATCATACTCAACCAATGTTATACTGGCTGGAGCTGATGGGAACTGGAGTCCAGCAACACTTGGAGGACTTTAGGCCGTGTCTGTTGACTCCCTTTCAGCCCAGTGATCAGCATCTTTGTTTCTTGTGCTCAAATCTGAGCGAATTGTAATTTCCCAGAGCTTCTGGACCCTCCCTTAATATGTGAGTCCATCCATAACTGTTTGTAGAATAGATAGAAAGTTTTAAAATGTATTTTATGTCCAGGGGAGCTTATTCCAAATTGGACGCCTTGAAAGACCCAAGCAGTCTGTGTCACACAGGGGCTGAGAAATACCTTCAGGCTAAGAGTGTTGAGCTGCTTCCAGTCTGAAGGCCAAATTCTGTTTTGGAAGAACTCTCAGGCAGGTTACAGGGATGGGTGCAACCAAAGGTGAAAGCACTAAGGTATCAAAGAGACTTTGTACATTGTGCAAAACATATTGTACATTAAAACTTTTATTGCCAGAATTCAGCCTTAGGGGCATCTCAGCCTTTTAGAATCAAGGCAAGGCAACCTGTCACAATGAGGAAGGCGCCAAACAATTGATCATCAGGAAAGGGGCAGAGCCGGAGGGAGTGGAAGAGAACATCTGGAGAACTGGGTTCAGCTCTTGGTTGGGAGCCAGATGTGGCTTGCAGGCCTGAGGTTGCATGCCTCCGCTTGAACCCCCCACCCCGCTTGAAGTCCCTTCCAAAGACAGGGCCCTTTCTTTTTCATAGGCAGAAACTCTGCCAACATCGGGAGCTAGCTCTCCCCCTTCTCTCTTTCAAAACAACAGAATATTCTTTGGCAAAAGCTCTTTATTTCCAAGGGACATCCAGCAAACTATAGCCAGCAAAGAAAGAGTCCCAGAGCATGCACAGAGTGGTTTGTTGAACCCAGGCTAGAAACTATTTCTAAGACCCCTCCTCTTGAGTAACCTTGGACCCCATCCCTCTGGGGGGCCCTCGTGGTTGTAAGCAGCCCCTCCAGTTGGCTAGCCCCACGTTATGGGGTTCAGGATCACACAGACGCGACTGGCTCCCGGGGCACCTGTTCCATGCCCCCTCCCAGCAGTTGCAGACTGTGACAGTTCTCAGGGACCACCTGGACACGGCGGCCCTGAGAGAAGCTCTCCCAGCCCTTCCATCTCAATATATGCAGGGGCTATTTCCAAGGCTCATCCTCCGTGTCCGAAGAGTCTGTGCCACCCTGGCCCTGAAACACACCAAGAACACTGCCTCTTTCATTCCCCACAGCAAAAGAGCAAGAAACCCCAGTGTATAAACAATAAGAACTTTCAGAGAGAATATAAGGGGGAGCCAATCTGGGAGTGGGGACGCTTCCTTGACTTAGGAAGTTTTCACATTCCTTGGAGAATTTCTTGATTAATGAGCAAACCTGGTTTTGGTCCTGTATTTTTCCAGGGCATCAAAATACATCAGGCATTTCTGTATACTTTTGGAATTTCTACCTGCACTCTTGCCGTATTCGTTCTGATAAACTCCTTTTGAGGAAGGCAGATCCCTGTGAAATGCCTGTTACCTCACTTGGGCGCATGGAGGGCTTTTAACCAAGAGAGCATTTTGGTGCGATTTTAAGGCAGACGGCCCATGGTTAACGAGCGCATTGGACCACTGCCCCCCTCCCAGAAGCACTTGCCCAGCCCCCCCCTCCAGGTGTGTCAAACTGCAGGAATAATAGGTGTTGTCGTCCAAGAGTCATGGGAAAGGCCGCCTAAAAGAAATCCTTAAGATGCTTTCGCTGAAAATATTGGCCTTCTCCAGTAATTCAGTGTGCAGTGGAAGAGCTGTCATGATAATAATGAACAGGGGTGTGTGCGTTCGTGGATTCACCTGGATCACTCGTGCACAGAAAATGCAACTGCTGATTAAGATTTGCTCTTCCGTGCTCCTTTCCCCCATCATGTCAGTGGCAGGGAGCCAAGAGAAAGCGATGGTGCTGTTAGGTCTGGCGTACCGGAAAGGCTCACGGCTACGGAGGCTACACAAATCTCCCAGCTGCATTTGAACATTTGTCCTCAGCTCCATGAATCTCCACAGAGATCCTGGCTTGGCCGAGTTTCCCACCGCATCTTGGCCAGGGAGCCCTGGCTTAGTCACTCAGCATCAAGCCACAGTTCCTTTGTCTGAATGTAACAGTTGCTACCCACCCTTCCATCCCCTCGGGTCAAGGGAGATGCAGACTGGCTCCCAAAACCCTGGATGAAATGTTCGGAACATCTTTCTTTAGATAAGATGCAGCTAGGATTCATTCGTTCATGCTTTCCAGAATCATTGAGATAGTTGTCAGTGTTGGAGTGGCAGAACCTGGTGGCCAGCCGGGCTGGCTGTTCCGGAGAGGTGTGAGCATCCAAACTCACACCTCTCCTTTGGTGTTCATGCCCGCCTCAGAGTTGTGCTGATTGTGTTGTATTTTATGTACTCTTTCCCCCACGTCTTTGCCTAGTATGGGAAGGCACAGTCTTCAACTACTTGTTCTGGGTGTAGACCCACCTTGTTTCTTTCAGAATCTCTTCTTTTGTTATCAAAGGACATCACCTTTCCCATAAAAAGTATAAAACCTTCATGTTACCTGTGAGCAGCATCCCCAAATTTCTGAATTTGGGCTTTTCTTACTTGGTATCTTCTCTCCTGTGTGTTTCCCCAATCCAAGGTATTTACTTGCATTTTGATTACGTTCTGTGATCAGCTTAGTTACTATAGTTAAAAGGACACCCTCAGGTTTTACTGTTGGTAAATGTACACAGAATGCAGTTAATTGGATAAAAGCCAGACTTTTAATTGAATGAAAAGTTGTATACTTTAATTGGGATTTGGTGGCACGATGCAAAATGTCCAGTCTCCATAAGCCAAAAAGCCTATCTGCCCCATTCTTATTCCCCTTAAAGCAGACCAGTGAAATTATAGATCCATTGCAGATGGTACCAGGGGAATACCACACAGCGCTTCTCCCACACATGCACAAAATGTGGTTCTACACTTCCGCTGCAGTGTGAAAAGTGTCAGATACGAAGCAGACAGCTGCATGTGGACGTAACATTGGTGGAGTGGTGGAGAAATATGGAGAAGCATTTCCTTGTCAACAGAAAGAACTAAACTGCTCCAGTTACTGGATACCAAATGTTCTTTGCAGCACATCCCACAAGGACTCAGTTGCGTTCTCCAAAGCCCTGGGGAACAGCACACACACACACCTAAGTTGGTACAGGATTGTCCCTTCCAAAAGTAAAAAGTGGAGAGAAATAGTTCCACCATGGTGTGATAGCAATCACACAAGATAATGGAAAGTGACCTTTCCATAATGTAGGTGGTTTCTGAGTATGGACTGAGTGAGGATTGGTGGCAGGCCTAGAGCAATGTAGGTGAGAATTCGAGGGATTGGAGGCAGAGATGTAATCAGAAGAGGGGCTGATGAATGAATGGCTCAGACTGAGAAACCTGGCCTGAAGTTGATGTTTTATACAGCCAGCTGGGCCCCCATTGGTCCCTCAAGTCACATGGTTCTAGCCAGACTGAAGAGCTACCACCTTGGCTCTTGGCAGCAGGTGCTGGTGCCAGAGGTAGTTCCTCAGTTTGAGAAACATCCCAGTGGTGCTTTGATTCTGCAAATGCCTTTCAAGATGTTGAGGAAGAATACTCTGAGATGAGAAGTCAGCCGGCTCATGTTTTCAGTTTAGCATCTAGTGCTTGATAAAATGGAAACACCCAGCCTTATCCTCACATCAAAATGTGTTTCCCCTCAGTCAGCAGTGATGGAACCTGTGATGACTTTCCTGGCCCTTGATCCCCTGTCCAGGTGCACGAGGGCCCGCGAATGGCTGCCAGCTCTATGGTGTGGGTCCCCCAGGGCGGAATGCTCCAGATCAGCAACAGGATTCTGCAAACTGAGATCCCTGGTGTCAGTGATGCTGCCGTCATCTATACAATTAGAGATCGGCCACGCTATGGTAAGTAGGGAGGTGCGGCTCCTCTCTGGAGGTTTTGGTAGTCTTGCTCTAACTTTGGTAGGCTCTAACTCCCACAGCCAGTTTTGCTCAAGTGGGAGCTCACAGCATTTGCTCCAAATGTTGCTTTAGACAAACTTAGGGTGTGACTTAGAGAAGTATAGCAGGGACCTGAGAAATATTCACCCATCTGTCGTAATCACTCTTCTGGGTTGGAAATAATGTAGAGACCTGACTCCTCACACAGGAGGACTCCTCTGTAGCCTCAAGGTCCTGGGTGAGACCTGGGGAGTGAGGAGGACTTAGGGTGGCTTTGGGAAGTGGATTGGGCCCTCTGAGGTACAGGTTGGATGGGCAGCTCTAATAGACACGTATCAGAGGTTGCTCAAGCTTGGCTTTGCCCCTCAACCCAGGAATATCCCACCCAGCCAAGGACGCTTAAGGTGTCGCTGAGGACCACAACGTTCGGGGAGAGGCACTGCGCGGCCTGTCCTTGCTGTTCTCTCCTGTGCCCCCTTTTGCGGCCACAGTGTGAGCTGTGTCTCCCCACCCCGTTCTGTGCGACTGGGGCAGCTCCGTGTGAACACACCTGGCGGGAGATGTGCGAAGGTGCCCACCTGTCTTGTCAGCCTTTCCGTGTGAGAACCCAGGTGCCAGAATGTGCTCTCCCTCTCCAGTCCTGCGAATAAGAGCACAATCCTGCTCTGACATTTCCAGTGGGATCCGTTTGCAAAAGCTCCTGTGCTGGCTTCCACAGTCAGCTGAAGATTGACCTTTCGGGGGTGTAGAATTCAAAGCCCGAACTCAGAGGAGGCAGTCGGCCTTGTGGGCACCTGGAGTCCTTTGGCTTCAGCTGGGCCGCAGGACAAGAGAGCACGTGAGACGAAGCAGAGTGCAATTTTGTTTATGCCTTGACTTAGTTTATTTGTATACCATCTTACAGAAAAATGTCTTACAAGGCGTTTTATACTAATTTATTTAATGAACTTTTCCTAATAGTACTTTTAAAAGTTAACACTTCAGATGAGGCACGCAGGGAAGCAGTGATAACATAAAACAACAAACAGACCAGTAATCAGTAACCAGTAACAACATATAGCAATTACGGATCACTAACCAGTAACAACATATAGCAATTACAACATAACCAGTTACGGGCCAGTAGCCAGAATTCGCAACATATAGCAACATCAACAATAACAGCAGTGCAAATGACGCCCTTAAGATTGTGAAAATGTGCCAGTAAAGCAATGCTTTTCAATGCTTGTAAGGACTGGGCCAGCCAAAATCCTGGCCAGCCAAAATCCTCAGTCCCAAATCCTGTGGAGCAGAGGACCGCACAGATGGGCCTTTTCCCTTGCATCCTTCAGGCTCGTTACTTTCACAGGTTGGAGGACAAGCTGAGTTGTAGAAGCAGAGTTCAGTGTAGTCCTTCAGTAGTCCTTCAGTAGTGTGGTCTCAACCCATTTAGGCCTTTGAAAGTCAATATCAGCATCTTAAACAGAGTCCTGAAACACACTGACAAGCCTTGTAAATCATACAATTCCAACTTTCTGGCTCCCACCAGTATTTAGGGAACTGCACTTTCCACTCGATGACATTTCCAAACTATCTGTAAGAACTGACAGTGCATTTCAGTAGTCCAGGTGGAAGTCTTCAGTACACAGGTAGCTAAGGTGAGGTCTGTCACTGCTCAGCTTAAGTACAAGGAATGTCAGAGGCCCGGGATCCGAGAGCGACTATACCAGGCCTGTCCAGTCCATGGGCCTCCCTCTGCCTGCCAGTCATGGGGGCAGGATATTCTGTGCCCCCTTCCTTTCAGCCAGTCGAAATGAGCTAAGTGCACAGTAGCTTTCAGCTTCAGACCTCAAGGTGCCCAGTTAAACTCCCAGCTCAATATTGACTTACGGAACTCCTTTCTTCTAGCCATATGTATTATTTGTAGCGAGCAAGATGCTTTTTCAGCACAGCGGCTGACACTTCACAGAGAGAGCTCATGTATAAAACGAGCGCTGTTAAATTGTCTTCTGTACAGTCTATGGGGGTCCCTCTACTAATTAGTATGAATGGGAAGCATTTGTGTAGGAGAGCAATCTTATCCTCAGGGGTTCTTATTTTCCCACAGCCTGTCCTCTTTCTGAAGTTATAATACCTCTCCTTGTATCATCCCAATTATCTCTTTGGCAACTAATTAATGACACGAAGTTATTGCCGCAGGACAGGAATACACAGATGAAACCCCCTGAACCTAGAAGTTACCAGAAATTTCTAGTGTTCTGTGGTACGGTCTGTCTAGGACGTAAATAAAGAAACCTTAGGGAACTACAGAAAGCAGGGATAAATATCATAAAAGATGTGCACATTCTTAATTCACATTTTTTCGTAGATTTTGGGAGTTCTTCGGGCAAGGACAAGTTCAATCAGCTACGAAACAGGAGATAAATGGCTGTTCTTCATGTTTCCATACCACCCGTCCCCACTCAAGCTGGGGGTGGTGTTTGTCAGTGTGGATCACCCCATGCTATTGTCACAACAGTCTTTTGAGGTAGATGATTTTGCAGTTGTTGCCTGGCACCACACTTCAGAGAGGATGTAGACAAACTGGGGGGGGGGGAGTTCAGAGGAGAGTGGTAAAGATGATCAGGGGTCTGGAAACAAAGCCCTGTGAGGAGAGATTGAAAGAACTGGGCATTTTTAGCCTGGAGGCGAGAAGACTGAGGGGAAACTTGGATAGCACTCTTCAAAGAAGTGAAGGACTGTCACAAAGAGGAAGGGCAGTATCTCTTCTCCGTTTTCCCAGACTGCAGGACACAGAATAATGAGCTTAAATTGCATGAAGCCTGATTCTGGCTGGACTCCAGGGAAAACTTCCTGATTGTTAGAGTAATGCAACAGTGGAGCCAGTGACCTAGGGAAGTTGCGGGCGCTCCCACAACGGGGACGTCTAAGATGCAGCTGGACAGCCATGGGTTAGAGCTGCTTTTACTTGGAGTCCTGCATTGAACAGAGGGTTGGAATCGATGGTCTTCTTGGTCCGTTCTCACCCTTCTGAGCTCACCAGATAAGATCATCGAGTAGAGATCTGAGCTTGCGTAACTCCGTAAAGGCCCCAAAAGGGACCGATTCATGAACCTGCGTGACGTTGCTACGGACCAGTGGGGCATTCAGCATCAGCTCCCACAAAACGGGGGTCAGTGGATGGGCTACCAGGTGCCTGAGGAGTAGCAGAGTGGCAGAAGGGGAGCCGTGTATAAACACCTGTAACCTCAGTCGCTTTGAAGTCCCAGCACCTCCTGCTGCCCTGCCTTCTTCTGTCTCAAATTACAAAACCGAGCAGGGCTGGGAAAGACATGGCACCTCCACAACAGAAGTGCGGCCTGGAATTCAAAGCCTACCCTGCACCTCAGCAAACCATTACGGAGACTGGGAAGTACCCAGTTTAAAGCTAAGTATGCCCCCTTTGAGTCTCAGTGGCTTGCCAGCACATTTCAGGGAAAAACGCTCAGTGTTTCGCCACTGCATTGCTGAATTTCAAGCTGTATCTGAGACCCAAGGTGTCTCCTGGAGGGCACTTGGCAGTGGAAAAGTGCCGAGATGTTTCTGGATTTTTAAGGCTAATTATATAATTTTGTTTATGTTGTAAGCCTCCCCGAGGCTTTTTGTGGATGGGGCAGCATAGAAATGGTTTGTTTAAATGGATGGATGGATGGACCCCTGGACCAGCTGAAGTTGCCCACACAAATTCATCCATCACCTCCTTGGGGCAGTTCCCCGAGCCTCCAAATCAGAGCAGTCCAAGAACAGATTACCTAAGCTTTCATCCTTTCCTACAGCCTAATTTGGAGATGAGGAGGAGCAGACATTCTTGCTGTTGATGTGATAAGATAGACCGCTGTACTTTGATGTACTGCAGGTGGTGGAGAGTTCTGCCCACAGATCTAAATCTACCTTCTGTCCACCCCTGAGCTGAGCCCTGGTGATTTTACTATGAATTCAGTGTAGGTAAAAATCTGGAAACAGCTCTAAGTAGATACCGTGTAATTACTGCTGGCCAGGGGTCTTTGCTAGTGTTTTTTGCATCACTAATTCCAGCTAAATTTAGCCAACTTAGCATAAAAGCTGGAAAGAGAGCTATGGAAGGAGATTTATCAATTGCGTGCCATATTGGCTTGGTCCGTGGGTTTATTTAATTGAGACATATGTGCTTTAAATAATGCAGCAGCTAGATATTAAATAGACATCACACAATCCCCAGTGGGACTCAATCTGTCAGTAGCCCAGACCCAGATGGCAAGACTAGGGAATCCAAACTGTCACCATAATAGAATCTGTTACTCTAGTGTCAGAATAGATTACAGCCTAGAGGACAACTCTAGGCAGCAGTGTTAATATTAAATCCCAATATTATTGTCATCTTGATAGGATTTCTGTTGAGAGTTGTCCAAATGTCTGTAATAATGCCAGAAGAGTGCAGCTTTTCCACAGCTTTTGAGTGGCTTTGTGTTTTTCCTCAAGAGCTCCAGCGTCCCCTTTCCATGCTGCATGAATGCAAAGGAAAATGAGGTTGCTCCACTCTGCATCCCAAATAGGACCTTCCACTCTGGCAGTTTACAGAGTACCTTTATTATATTGTCACCAACAGCAGCCCACAACAAAGGGCTGTTTCTGTGCAGGGCTGAGGAGAATGCACAGATAATCTAACACATTATGTGGGTCTTGCTCCTCTGAAGTAAAACTGAGATTCAGTTTGTCCAGTTCAGGGTAGCTGAGAGCAGAGATGAAACTCTGCATGGAGCCTGCCTTGCCCAATTAGCCTCCAAAAAGTGGTGATTTTGCAAGGAAACGGGGCCCATGGGACACATGTATCTCCCTCTGCAAGAAGAATCGCCGTCCAGCAGTTCTCCTGGGAACACAGTAATGCTTGTAAGTGAGCAAAGCTGGTCTTTGCAGAATTGCGGTGGGTTGTGGCTGTTCTTGTTCCCCACTCGCACCGCCCTCCGTAGTGGTAAATTTAGCATCCGTTTTGCTGGTAGCCGGAGGGGGGTGAGCCCCCTGGCGTGTTCCAGAAGGCGAGCAAGGACCTCTGGAAGCTCCCCATGCACTTTGGAGTGTCAATGCTTTTGTTTCTTTTTCTGCACCTGTGTTTTTCCCAGCTTGCCTTCTGTCTCCCTCCCTAATCTAAAGCATTTAAAATTTAGCTTGGCCGTATACTTTTGACAACTTAGAGATCATTCCCTTCTATATTAGGCTTCATTTCCACAATATAAGTTTAGACCAAGGGGAAATGAGGGGAAAACCATTTGAACTCACTCAGTGGTGCGTGACTGAGGAGTTAAGCTGGTTAAGAGGAGTTAAGGTTGCCTCTTGCAGTTGAAAAATAGCTGTAACTTTCAGCATTCCTCTCACTCGGGGTGAATTAAGAAGAGGTCCTGGTAGGCATCAGCTCAGGTGCTGCAGGTTGACCACGGCTCTGCGGCAGCTGTCATGAAACAATCAGCGTCTTGCACTCTTGGAATATGGTGAGAAGGCAAACGGAAGGATGCAGCAACGGGAGCCGCAGGCAGCCCACGGAAGGCCTTCTTGTGAACATACCTTTCTCACATATGGAAAACCCCTGTTCAAGCTGAGCCATGGGCAGCTGTCCAATGCAAGCCGGGATCCACATCCAGGGTCCAGCTGGGAGCGCTAACCAGAGCTAAGAAGGATATACTTTATTAAAATTTTTAAACTAAGACTAAAAGAAAACATCAAACATCACAAACATTAACATTGGATTCACTGGGTCAACCGCCTACTACATATTTTTTAACATTGTAATATCAAATTCCAGTTAGTTTATCATAGTTTGAAAAACATCTCTAAGTTTCCGCCAAGTCCCGTTTCTCCAGCCAATTATAAAAAGAGTCCCAAGTTCGATAGAAATCAGTATCCTCTTTATCGTTAAGTTAATCTATCCATTTCTGCACAGTCCAAGATCTTTCTTAGAATCAATCCGTCGGTGGGCAGCTCCTCACTTTTCCAATATTGAGCAAATGTAATCCTCGCCGCTGTAATTAGATGCAACATCAAGTAGATTTCCTGTCTGTTAACATCTTCCAGTATAATGCCTAACAAGAAAACTTTGGGTTTAAAAGCAAAGGGTTTTTGTAATATTTCCTCCATCCATCTATGTATTTTAATCCAGTACTTTTTTGCATTGTCACAAGTCCACCACATATGATAAAAAGTACCCACTTTATGTTTACATGTCCAACATCTATTTGACATATTTGGAAACATCTTAGCTAGTTGACTTGGTGACAAATACCATCTATAGAACATTTTGTATAAGTTTTCTTTATACGAAGTTGCTAAAGTTACTTTAATGTTTCTTTCCCATAGTTTTTGCCACTTTTCTAGTTCAACATTAAATCCAATGTTTTGTGCCCATATTATCATAGTTTCCTAAACCTGTTCTCCTTCCATTTTCCTGTCAAGTAAAAAATCATATAGTCTTTTAATAATTTTCTCATCTGTTTGAAGCACTTGATCAAATTCTGTTAGGTCTCTATAGAACCCCCATGTTTTACAATCCTTAGCATATCTTGATTGCATCTGCACCTTATACCACCAGGAAATATTAAGTCCCTGTTCTTGTATTCCTTGCTCCAGTTTCAGGCCACCATCCTTATCCAGGATATCGCCATATCTTACGATCTTTTCAAAGTTCAATACATTTGGATATACAAAAGCTTCCATAGGTGAAAGCCATCTTGGTAACTTATTACACAGTTTTAGATTTAGTTTTTCCCACACTGACATTAAAGATCTTCTAATAAAATGACTCAGGAAGGACCCATGTGACTTAGCTTTTTCATAGCTAAGAAGGATTTTTCATTGCCCTGTCAAGTCCTCGGCCTCAGCGGGAATCCTTCAGGACGCTTCCTGTTGGAGCGGACCAATAGCGAGCCGGGATGATGGAGTAGGTGCCTTACCTGGGCATCCTTCACTTGCCAGGGAGATGCTGCAACCCACAACCCTAGCGGCTCATGGGAGGCGTGTGCACAGGGCTTTGCAAGCCATTCAAGCCCCATCGAGGCCACTTCCTCTCTCACTCTTCATGTCTGCCTTCTCAGGTGAGGTGGTGTTCTTGATCGCCATGCCTGCGGATGACCCTGGGCTGGTCTGGCAGCCGTTGCCCAATGGAAGAGCGGCTACACCAGCTGCTTCGTTCACCCAACAGGACATCAACGACGGGCTCGTATGGTATCGGCACTCTGGATCTGAGACGGAGAGCGACTCCTTCCGCTTCCAGGCATGTCTCATCTCTGTTACTTATCTGGTGTGCTACCAGAACTCACTTTTTCATTTGCAGAGCTGCTGAAATCGCACGCCAAGGTTAACAAAGGGTCTTGCGGCACCTTAAAATCAAGGTGCATAAGCTTTTGTGGACACAGGACACATCAGTAGATTTATGAAATGTCTGGCCAGATTGACAGATTTGTAGTAACTTGCTGGGGAAATACAGGAAAATGGAGTGCCAAGATTGAAAAAAGTATAGAGAGTGATAATTATTTTAAAAGTTGCCATTCAGGAAGAATTGTTGGGTGATAACAGGCACTTCAGAAATCATTGTACTGGTGAGCGAATTAACATATGTAGTGTGATTTCACATACACACAACACACACACACTTTTTTCCATGCTATGACAAAGGAATCAAAGAGAATCTTGTTATGAATTGTATTTCAATAATTTCATGTTAACCCAAAATGAATTATTAGATTATCTTAATTCTGTTTAACTCACGAACAGCCCATCCTGTCTGGTTTCACACATCATGACTGGGTGCTGGAGGGGGGCGGGGTTGATTATGCAACACAGCAGTAGCCTGTGCCAGGCACGCAACCTGACAAATTGTGGGTTAATTAGGTGCAAACTGAGTTAATTTCTAGCTGCTGCAGGGAAGTTGCTTTTTGGAAGTGGCAAGTCTCCCGTATGTCAAGGTTAGTTGCTACCAAGTCCCTGCAGAAGTTTGTAATTATGTGCTACCAGATCCTTTTCCCAAGAGGCAAAGGTGTGAAGCACTGTCTTCTGCTAAGGCTCTTCCCGCTTGGCCAGAAGGTTCAACCGTCCCTTGAAGGGCTATGCTAACGTGGCTGCTCGTGTGCAATATTTTGTACATGTTGGTTTACTGCGTAGAAGCCATCACTGTAGCACTGGGGAGGCAATTAAGGTAATTTCTGAAGTAATTAACATAAGTGATAATGAGGAAGTGTTGAAGTGCCGGATGGTGAACAAGCTAATCTTTAATTTAATGACTGTGTTGCTGTTAGCTTGTATGCATTTTGCATGACTGAGGGGAGTTGTGGAGTCTTTTTTGCAGTAGCACCTTGTTTGAGCGGCCGTAATTGCATGGTAAACTGTACTGGGGGAAAGAAATCTGAGCTCTGTCACCGAACGATCATCTATCTGCCAGGCCCTTGGTGAATAAATTGGCTCTGCAGAGAAAATGCAGCTGAATTATTTTTGTTTGCATTCTGGGAAGTGTGTTTCCAACACCTCTAATAATATGGATCCTGCAAGTCCATTTATGTGCTCGTTGTTTACTCTTCGGGGGTTTTTTTAATGCCACCCTTTCCCAGGGGATCAGTGAAGCAAAAGAGATATTGTAGAACTGGAAAAGGTGCAGGAGAGGGAAATCAACTGATCAAGGGGCCAGAGCAACTCCCTTACAGCAAAAGGTTGCAGTATTTGGTGCAATGGCATGGAAAAAGAGAGAGCAGTAGGAAGATCGACCAGGACTGTGTAAAATTAAGCATGGTGTTTTTCTCTCTCATAATATTGCAACCTGCGGGCATCACATGGAGATGAAGAGTGAAAGATTCAGGACAAGTAGACTTTGATAACTTAAGTTACAGTGATTATTTCAATGATTTTAAAAGTGGATTAGACAGATACATGGAGGATAAGGTGATGATATTACACTTTTATCCTGCCTTTACTCCTTTTGTGAGGAAGGCAAAGCAGCTTGCATAGACTTCCTTCATTCCATTTTATCTCACAATAACAACAACCTTACCTGTTGCTCCATTTCCCCTTCCCCTCTGGCATTAATACCTTCTGTAATGAATCAAGCCAGCTCATGGATTTTATAACAACATTGTACATACTTTCCAGAGAGAGTGGGAATCTTGAAATTTGTGTAAACGGTGTCATTTTTTTAAAAATTGTTGCAGATCTTGTGACCGTGTGCATGCTCGCAAGTCTGCCCATCCAGGGTTGTATGGATGTTGTAAAATCCATTCTATCAATTCACAGATTGTTCGTTCTTTTTCTTTCAGTCATCCACTCATCCAGAGAATCAGATTTAGTGTCAGCATTTGTGCATATCTGCAGTTACACAAATTTGCACTCTCCAAAATGTGTAATTCCCCCCAATGTATGCAAATTCTTCCTAAATGCAGACTAACTTACGGGGAAAATGCAAGTTTTGGGTATTTTTTATGGCTAAAGTTGCATACAATCACACAAAGTTAAAAAAAAGTTGGCACACCTGCAGAATTGAAAAGGACATCCTGCTGCAGAACCTGCAGGTTGGATTTTTAGAAAATCCAGCTCTTATCTGTAGCAGTCCTACCCACAGAGATATATTCTTTTGTAAGTATCTTTGTCAGTTTTGTTCTCTCCCAGCTTCAAAGAACTTCCTGCCCAGGGGAGTGCCCTGGAGGATGAATGGGGCGGCATAGAAGCCTTCTAAATAAATAAAATAAAGTGTCAAATTCTTTCACAGGTAGGCTCTGCTGGGCTAAACAAAGTCTGCAGCCTGGATGAAATTGGCATGGATATTTTCAAGAGGGGAATATACCTCTGCAGAACTACAAAGCAGACAGGTTGCATTGTGACTTTGTGCATTTGCCCCATTTTTTTAAATTATAAACCTATTGCTGCAAGTGTCAAGATCCCCTTAAGTGGTACAAATTGTAATTTGTATGCATTTTGGAAAACAGGAAAAATGAACAGTATTTTGCCCAAAACGGGGGAGGGAAATCTGCTGCAGTTCAGAATCACTGGAGAACAGAATCAATGGAGAAGCCCATCAGGTTTAAACAAAACAGACATCGCAATGTCACACATCCCTGACTTGAATAAGGACATGAGAAAAGCTTTGCCAGACCAGACTCAAGGTCCATCCGGTGCAGCTTTCAGTTCACAGGGTGGCCAACCAGCTGCTCACATACTGATTGTTTTCTGTTTAATTTCTTATACTGCTCCATAGCTGAAGCTTTCTGGGCAGTTTACAACAGTCCATAAAGAAGCACAATAAATACAGTAGAAATATAAAATCAGAAAAACATGAAGTCTGATTTGATTTGCGTATCCCAAATTTGCCAGTATATATTTTTGCAAATCCTGTTTTTGTGAATGTGGAAGATCCCATAACTGTCCCACTTCTCACCCATATTCCCCAGCAACTGGTGCTATGGCCATGCTGCCCCTGATGAATAGCCTTTAGGACTAGTGCCCATTGCTAGATGTATACTCCATGAATTTGTCCAGTCTTCTTTTAAAGCCATCTGAATAGGTGGACATCACTTCTTCCTGTGGCAGTGAATTCCATAGTTTAACTATGCACTGTGTGTGAAAGTATTTATTTTTATTTTATTTTATTTAGGAAATTTATAGGCCATCCATTACTGTCATCTCTGGATGGCTTACAGAATAGTCTAAATCCAAAACAAAATAAATTAGCTATTCCACATACTGAGCACAAAACTGACATACTTAAAATAAATTAAATCATATACAATTAAAATTAGTTGACGTTAAAATATTAATCAAATAGAAAGGTCTTAACCAGGCACCAAAAAGCATATAATGACGGTGCCAGGCAGACCTCTCTAGGGAGTGCATTCCATAGTCGGGGCGTCACTGCAGAGAAAGCTCTCCTCCGAGTACTCTCTCCTGACCTCTTTCAAAGAGGGTTCCTGGAGGAGGGCCTCTGCTGCCGATCGTAGGGGGTGGGAGGGGAAATAGGGAAAAAAGCGTTCCTTTAGGTATCCGTTTAGGGCTTTATAGGTAATAACCAACACCTTGAATTGAGCCCGGACTTCAATGGGAAGCCAATGGAGCTGATAGAGGACTGGAGTTATGTGAGAATAATGACCAGTCCCTGACAGCATCCTGGCAGATCTATTTTGCACCATCTGAAGTATCTGAACCATCTTCAAGGGCAGCCCCACGTAGAGTGCATTACAGTAGTCCAAGTGGGTTAGGATACTTCCTTTTATCTGTCCCATATCTCCCACCAAACAACTTCATGGGTTAACCACTTTGGGTTCTAGTATTCTCCCTCCTCACTTTCTCCACAATATCCTAATTCTGAACTGCTCTGTCATGTATCTTCTTATTTGGTTCCCCCCCCCACACACACACTAAATTATTCCAGCAGTGTTAGCCATTTTCCATGGAGAGCTGCACCAGCCCCTTGCTCATCTTAATTGCTCTTCTCTGTACTTTTTCCAACTCAGTACTGTCCTTTTAAGGTGCAGTGCAAAGAACTGTACGTGATACTTGAAGTGTGATCAAACCAAAGGTCACACCATCTTGGAAGTTTCTTTTCAAAAGTGCACTCAAGTTTGTAGAAACTAAAGTTGGTAGTATTCATTATATGATGGGGATGTTCAGTTAAGGGTGAAGTTCGTAGTGCATTCGATCAATGGGCCTTCGAAGTCAATCCAGTCAAATCTCATAGAAGTCTTGAAAACTTGCTTTTGGGGTTTTGGACCAAGGTCTTTTCCATCCAATTGCACAAGATCCTTTAACTGAATTTACAAAGAGATCAAACACCAGTCCTTTTGTATGCAGCAGCTGTGCTGTGGCTCAAAGCTAAAATGCCGTTTATCTGCCAATTCATTAATTGCATATCAGGAAAGTGAGCCTTAATCAAATTTTAATGATAGCCTTCAGTGGAGAAAGGGTGCTGTTGACAGCATTATCAATAGAACCAAACGAACAAGAATCTAATGCCCAAAGTCTATGCGCCAAAGCTCAGAATGAAGGTCAGCAATAATTGTGATAGTGTGCATGTTTGTGCATATATACGACGTACAAATGTAGAAACGATTCAGCTTGCAACACAGCAATTTGTATATGTTATCAAAAGGCATCTTCTAAAAATTGCCACGGCAGCAATGTGCAATGGTAAAATCTGTTTGTACGCCAGTGGTTTGTATAAATTAGCACTGTAGTGAGATTTATTGCTGATCCTAATTCTGAGTTTTAAGCATTATCCATCACAGTGATTCAAGGGAGGCACAATGACCAATGAGGGAAAAAAGTATTTTGTCCATTAATGGTTTATATACTAAATAGAAACTGTGTTTTAAAACCTTTTTTGGAGCCAATTAAAATTCTCGGACGGAGCTGAATTCAAAACTCACTGACTAAGGAGTAAGCCCAGCTGAGTACAGCAAGACTTGCTTCTGGGTAAATGTACATAAGATGACACTGTCACCTTTGACCTTGAATCTCATATCAAAACTCCTTTGCTGTTGACATGGACCAGTCAGCAAAAGCAAAATCTTGCCAAATGAATCCTATATTTTTGATCGGAAGCAATGTTTTCTGGGAATTATGTTAAGTATCCTGGTGCTTTACCATTTATGGGGAAAGACAGGGCAACCAAATTTAACTTATTTAATTTAATTAAGGTGCGTTCCTGTGGCCTCCCAACACAGTCTGGGAGGCCAAAGGACTCCTAAGGCTGGGACCCTACCCTGCACCCCTCACAGCCAGTGTGGGGAAAATCATGCTGGATGCCCCTGGCCAAGGTCACAGCTGGAGAGGGCAAAAGTGGAACAGAAAGAGTCCTAGGAGGAAGGAAGGGCAAAGTAATGGGATTCTCTACGGGGCTGATAGAAGGATCATCCCCCATCCCTCTGTGGCAGCCCAGTGGGTTGGATGCTGCCAGGTGAGCATGGATGGAAGGAAAACTTTAACAGAGCCAGTTTCTCTGCAGAGACAATGGGGGCCCTGCTTCTTGCTGCAACCCAACAGAACATTTGGCAGAGTAAGGCTTTGATCTGGCACTTTGCAGTGAAGTCTAGAATCAGTCACGACTGAGATTATCCTTGGAGGAAAAGCATTACGCACCTGTTGATAAAGCACAAGAACTGCATATCTGTCAAGAAGAGGCTGCTCATTGCCTCTTGTTATGTTCACCATCCCAGAATGTATTTGAAATGATGCTGAGGATATTTGAAAAAGTCAGTTTTGGGAGATACACAGATTCGCATCACCTGCTCCGGCAGTCCCAAATAGCACCATGGAGCTGGGAAAACAGGTGTGATGCATTCCGTTTGCCATGCCTCAGCCTCGGTTTGTAATGTCCCCGTTGCAGGTATCCAGCACTGCCTTTCCGCAAGCCCACCTGGAGACGCACCTGCTCAACATTGCCGTCTTGCCGCGCAACCTGGAGTTCCCCGTGTTCTCCCTTGGATCGTCTTTCCACATGACTGTAAGGCCAGCCAGAGGGCACAAATATAATTTCATTGTCTCAAACATGCATGTTCCCTTTTGGAAACTTAGAGACAGCATCCCTTTCTATTTGTCCGTTTCCTGATTTTATCCATGTATAGACAGTTTTTAGTATCGACTCACTTGAATTCAGCAGAAGATATTTTAAAGGATTTTTTTCCCTATGCTTTCAGAATAGCCTAAACAAAAAGCACAGGTTGTGCCATTTAATGTCCCAGACTCATTTAACTTCGTAAAGTTTACTTGAGTGAATCCTTACTTGAAGCGATTGCTTGAAAAATGTGGTTTGGAACCAGTCACGGACTTTCAGTCTAGCCTACTTCACAGGGCTGTTCTTGTAAGGATAAAATGGAGAACCCGCTGAGACACCTGGGTTCCTTGCTAGAGGAGGAAAGGTGGGGAATAAATGTAATGTAATGCAACATAATGTAATATATTTATTTATTTATTTATTTATATCCTGCCTTTTTCCTACAAAGGGCTCAAGGCAGCTTACATCTCCTCCTCCATCATATCCCCACAACAACAACCCTGTGAGGTAGGTTGGGCTGAGAGTCTGTGACTGGCCCAAAGTCACCCAGTTGACTCCATGGCCGAGCGGGGACTTAGAACCCAGATCGTCTGAGTCCCAGTCCCATGCTCTTCACCACTACGCCACACTCGTGGCTGAGAACAGTTGGGATCATCGTTCACTGTTTTTGTGGAGCTCTGGAATGGTTAGGGGTGGCTGAAATTGCCTCCGCTGCCCTTTTCTACCCCACCATCACATCCACCAGGAGCGCCATCCTCTTACTCCAGATCCATGGCTACACTTTTGCTGTGCGCTCTTTGGTGCGATAAGTAGTTTATGCCTTGGCTAAAGTTTGCAGACACACTTCCCTTTCTAAGAATGCTTTGCCTGGAAAAAGCTCCTGACAGTTTAATGGTGTCTGACACCATTTGTAAGATTGCACCATCAACATATAATTTTCAGGAATGTCATTTTCAGAAATGATTGCTCTTTAAAAAATGGAAAAGGAAAAGGAAATCACTTGGATTTTTTCTGATATTTTTACCCTGCATGTCTAACCCAAGGTCATACTATGCATTGCTTATTAAGTAACCTGGAATTCTGTTGGGAAGGTCTGTGTATTACCAACTTTTCTGCAAATCGGCTCCACCCCCTTAATTTCTTCCAGATAATTCTCCTAAGCCTCTCAGTCTTCATGTGTAAAATATCATCTCTTCGTTTCTTTCAGGCCCTAGAAGATCGTGTAACTCCTATAGAGCCTCATCACCTTTCCTTTATCAACACGGCACGTCCAAACGGGAAGGTTGTGTACAATGTGACAGTTCCCTTGCCCCAAAACCAAGGCAAGGAGACCTAATGAAACCTTTTCCTTATTGTTATATTTACCACTGAAACCTGGAGGATGGTAGCCAAGCGGCACGGGGGATGGGATGGACACCAGGTGCACGCCGACCTGGGAAATGTAGTATTCTGGTGCGATACCAGGTGCTGGCGGAGTACGAAAGAAGACAATTGGTCATTTCTCCTCTAGATGAAATTAAAATCTGTGATGAAGTATTTGGGAAGCATAAAGTTCATGTTGTTTTGATGCAATACCAAGATTCTTATTTACAAGTCCTGAAATGTAACGGCATCTCTGCTCAGCTTTTATGGTGCCTTCATACCAACCAGAGTATTCCTGATCTCTTCCATAAAAGGAGATTGTTGTTTGGTCAAAGGCTGAGAGGTGGCAAAGTCAGCAGAGCTGCCCTGTTGTGTTGTGGGGGGAGCATGATGGCAAACCTGGTTAAAACATACTGGTTAAAAACTGTCTGGGAATGTACCTCGTGTTGCACATTACGATGAAGCTCTCCTTCAATCTCTGCAGGCTTTTTGGGACACAGGGATGCCCCATTTCCCCCCGTGAAATACTTTACCCAGGATGACATTGATCATGGCAAAATTGTGTATCATCCCCCCACTGCCGCCCACCATATCAGAGAAATGAAGGAGTTCTCCTTTGCTGGTAAGATCCTTTAAATGAATAAAATGGGTGAACAGTAAGCCCATTCTTTATTGAGGGTAACTTTCCATGTGACAATATGGCAACAGGGGATGTGTCATTTAAGCTTGTCGATCCTGCTAACATCCTGCAAGTGGTACAGTCCTTCCTCCTGGAGAGCACTGTGTGCAAATTCTACACAAGAAAAATTGCTTTCGAGGGTAGCAAATCTAAGTATGTTTATTTACAAGTCAGTCTCATGGAGTTCAGTGGGTCTAACTCCCTAGGAAGCTTGATCAGGATTTTTGAAATATAAGTGTAGTTGTTGTTTTGTAGATATGAATGTATTTATTAAGAGGAAGCAGTTCCATGAAAGCGTGAGCTAATTTAGGCAATAAATATGATGCAATGCAGAAGTAGTTTTGGCGTGTTAAGATGTGCCAGTGACTTGTTAAGCAGCCTATATGGTGGTCTGGCAGCTTCAATGAAAATGCATAATTTCTTGGCAAACTCGCTCCAAGAGAGGTTAGCAAATGTCAGGACCAAAATTCAGTCTTCAGACCGATTCTCACTCACCCCAGATTGTAGGACATGGAGCAATGAACTTAAACTGTAGCATACCAGGTGCAGGCCAGACGCGAGGAAGAATTCCCTGACTGCCGGAGCAGTAGGGCAGTGGAACCAGCTGCCAGGAGAGGTTGTGTGCTCTTCCACACTGGAGACATTCAGGAAGCAACTGGACAGTTAACTGGGTGGACTGATATGATTGGCATCCAGCACTGGCACGGGATTGGACCCAATGGCCTTCTTGGCTCCTTCTGACCCAACTATTCTGTGATTCTATGAGTCCAAGCTCCCCAAAGATTTGTGCAAATCAGTACATTTCAGCTGACTTTCTTTCACGGAATTGTGGCAAGAATGGTTTATCTGGCTGTCCTTGTGACAGGACAGGAAAATCAGCTGGACTGATCCTTCAGAGGAAATGACACTGAGTGAAACGAGGCTTTGAGCAGCTCCGTAGCTGTTGCTGTTGCTTGTGCTGAGTCCAGTACTCTGAGAATTAGGCTTCTGTTTACAAAGGGGTGAGAAAGGGCAGACGGGGGAAGAGTTCAGGGCATAATCCCATGCATTTTTAGGCAGAACATGTGCTAACAACTCCCAGCATCCCTCAGCTGCCTGGGGAATGCTGGGAGTTGTAGGATCTTTTCTAGGTGGATGTGGAAAAAGAGTATTCCTGCAAACCCGGGCACCTTCCTGTCATAGTCGTCCATTCCCTGGGATTAGCGTGGCATCTTTTCCGTCTGCCATGCAATCAGTTCATTATAATTCCTCTCCGTATGATGTGTGGCATTTGTGATGATAAACCCAGTCTCTCATTCTTTGGACTGCATATTCCAAGGCAATGAAATCTAAAAGCAATTATATTACTAAATCATTGGGATTTTACCAGGACATAAAAAAGATCACTTTGTGACAGTCCCTGGCGTGCTATCAAATAGTTCAGCGCATGGGCTATTAAGACGTAGCTCGCTTGGATATATTACAGTGCAAACGGCTGCCATTTTTGAAGGTACAAAGCAATCAAACAAACAAGCCAGTTCTCCCAGTGGGCCTGTGAAATGGCAAACCTACTCTCCGTGCCAGTTTACAGATAGAAAAAAGCAAGACTTGCTGTGCCTGGCAGTCTTGGCATGAGGTACCTGGCGCACGCTGCACCGGGGAATCCTGTGAGTGCTCCATTAAAATGAATAGAAGGTGCAGCACGCAGAGGTCAAGCCTGGCCGTTTCTCAGGAACTGCACCTGGACTGGGATAATTTAGCTGCAATGATCCACACGGAGGAACCTCACCGTTAGAAGGCTGCAATGCGCATGACGTGGGGCTGCAGCTGCACTGGGGCACCGAGCCGTGCCCGCAGATCATCCGGGTTCAAGGACCTGCAGTGGCGCGAATGAGCTACCGAGCCACGGCCAGGAATATCCTACCGTCCCGCAAAGCCCTAAACAGCTAGCAGGCTGCCTTGCCTCACACTCACTCACGACACGTGCCAGTCTGTGGAGAATGAACGAGACGGTTGTGCTTGGTGTGAGTTTCAAGGCCAGGAAAATTTGGACTTTCCAGATGGGGAGGATGGACCCTAGGAAGCGTGGCCTCCAGATGGGAGAAGCAGAGGGATGTAACTCAGGCCACCCTCTCCAGTTTTCAGGAGGATGGTTAGAATAGCCGTGATCTACAATTGCTGGGAGGGGGCGTGGGACAGGCGTTCCCGGAGCCAGGTGCACCTGCATGACCCTTGAGCTCATGATGCAGCACCGGGAGGGAAGGGCTGCCTGCAGAGGCAGCAGTTGGTGGTTAGGGTGCCACAAACTGCTCTGTGCATGCTCAGAGACTCATTCTGTGGTGAGTGTGCTTACTGGGTGGACTTCAGAGAATAGAGCTATTTTGCCAAAGAACGGTCTGCTGCTTTGAATGTGTGAGGGAGGGAATATCTTGCTCCTGATCATCAGAGATGCCCTCGCTGGTCATTCCAAAATTACTGGAATGCCACCATGTAGCAGCCTCGATGGCAGGGCTTGAGATAAGGAGTGGCTCCTAGGGTGGAAAATCCGGCACCTTGCAAGTGCGTCCTGGAAATGCACCGTGCTCCCCCCCGCTTTGTCTGGCCCTGAATTAACTGTGCTATTCCATGCTGCGGCTTCTGTACTGCTCTGTTGTTGTTTTGTTGTTGTTGTTGTTATTGTTGAGTTTTAAATGGTATTCTAAATGTGATTTAATTGTGATTTTAATATTTATATAGGAACCACTGAGGGATATCTCTTAATATTTAGCAGTAAAGAACTAGTACAAATGCATAAACTTCTGGGTTCTTTTTTTAAAAAAACATTCACTTTTAATTATTCAAACTGATCTCAGATGGAAGAGACAAAATTGAGGATTCCCCTCGCTCAGCAGGCTTGTTCAGATCCCAGAATGGATTCAAACTGGAAGAAAATGTGTCTATGTGCTTTGCACACAGCGCTGGTGAATTTGAAGCCGGTGCCAAAATGTTTCTATTTTTAAGGGGTTATTTGTAGAAACTTGGATTGTATAGACAGAAGAGAAAGGGAGAGTGGATTTTCTGCCTTGTAAAGGTGGAGAGAACTCAGAACTACAAACAGGAATGGAATCAGTTCTTTGGGAATTCTCTTCTCCAGCTCCCACTCCTCAAAGACCTTTAGCTGGAAATGCCAGAGGCTGGCTGTGCAGCATGTGCGGCTTTGGAGGAGAGCTGCAGAACTTCGGGCACAGGGGGCAGAGCTGTCCTTCACCCCCTCTGATGGCCGCACCCTTTTCCCCAGCCCCATCTCTTTCCCCAGAACATAAACACTTTGGGGGTTACCTGGCTTTTGTGCACCCCCCCCCATTTTGAGCAGATGGGCACTCTCTCTCCTTGCCCTGCCTTGGCAAGGGGCAACAGCGGTCACTGCCAGGGCCTTACCCAACAGGCCAGGAGACAAAGGGTGGTCCACCTTCAAGCCCCCTTTGGAGCATCGTCTCCAGGCAGCGGATGCCAACAAGCTGCTGGAACCAGCCCACCTGTCAGCTTCTGAAGCCCCCTCCTCAACTCAGCCCATGCCTCCTGCCACGAGTGTCCCAACTGAAGCCGTTTTCCAGGTTTTGGCACATCACACACACGTCCATTCAGAATCTCAGCAGCATCAACAGATCACGTGGTTGGTGGATCAGTTGATTACATGGTACTGTTTCACATGCTGGGAAAAGTTCCTTTCTCTTTGTGCTCTCGCACCCTCTAGGTCTGCCAGAATCAGTCAGCTTCCGTTTTACAGGTATGTGGACATCTGTTGTTCGTTGTCCAGCTTGTGTGCTTGTTTTGCGCTGCACTTGCTGATGGTGGGTTCTTTGAAACAAACAAACAAGGAGCCTTCATGCTGAATCGGACGCTTGGATCAAGGTATGGGCAAGGCTTGATGTAAGTTGGCTGACATGATGAAAGGTCAATCAGAAACTCCAAAAGTAAGTGAGAGAGCAGTGGCGGTACAAAAGATGCCGCCAAACCCATTGACATTTAAAGGGACTTTGAAACCATTACCGTCCTGGTCGCAAAAGTCAGCCCCAAGCCAGCGTGCTTGGCCAGCGTGATCCGCAGCCGGGGCGCGGCACCCAGTGGCCTGGCCCTGGTAGTGGCACACCTGACCCGTGAGGGTCCTGCGGGTAGACTTCTCTGCAGTGAGGTGCTCTGGTCTGCCCTGGTCCCGGTGCATTTGGGGCGTGCTGGTTGGAACCAGCCATTTGGATGGGAGTTACTCATTTATTTCACTGGCGTGGGAAGGACCTCTCGCCTGTAAGGCTGGCACCCTCATGGCAACATTTCCCTTTCAGTGTCGGACGGAGAACGCACAAGTCCTGAGATGGTGTTCACCATCCATTTGCTCGCCACAGACGAACACCCCGCATTGCTGCAGATCTCTGCTCCGGTGCTCCAGGTCAGCCAGGGAGGCCGGGCCACCATCGGTAAGGAGCCAGAACCGAACGCCCGGAACACACGGCCCTTTATGACAGTGCATTTCATCCTGGGTGCCTTCTCCTCCACCAACTGCTGGCCCTTTGTTGGCTGCATCACGTGGAGAGCCAGGAGCCAGACGAAGCAGTGGCTAGGCTCTCGCGAGCGCTCACCCAAGCCTCATCAAGGCCTCAAGATGAGTTTGGAAGAACCAGCTTGCTGCTTGAGACCATAGCCAGTTCTTTTGGCCCTGCAGCTCTTCAAGTGCCAAGGCAGGGGACAGATGCTCAGGAGAGCCCCAGCGGCTGCCCCCTCACTGTGGGGCAGCGGCAGTGGTGGACGTGATGAAGCCTCACCCTGCCTCATGCAAGGGCCAGTCCTGGCCCAGCAGAAGCGGGCGACAGTCCACAGTTGTCGTGTCGTTCACACACGCGGAAGTTCTTTCCATGTATTGCCTGATGGCCACTAAAGGAGCAGAGTAGGGGAACTAGATGCTTGATTAAGAATTCAGTCCTATGTCCTATGAGTCCAAGAGATGGAGAACTCTCCTGTTGGAGCTATTTATCCATCCAGGGACCTGCCAGGCTCCTGCCTGTGCAGCAGAAGGAACGACGGGGTTCTATTTGCCTTCTGGCCCTTCAAAGAGGCAATTTTGACTAGTTGGGCCTCATAAACTATCTAATTCTCCCTCTTTGCTGGATGCAGGAATGGGAGCTGAGAGGGAAGATTCACAGTTGCTCCATTACCCAACACTCCTTTTCCTCCCTTCCTACTTAATTTTGGAGCAACTGCAGAGCTTTCTGCAGTGGCCTGGAAAAGCTAGTTGTGTTAGAGGGAAATGCTCAGCCAGATTCCCTCCCGCAAGGTCAGACCTCAGCCCTGCTGGATTTTATGGCTCCCAGGATGCTGTCTAGGGACCAAGAATTCCTTGGCTCAGATGTCACCACGGACATCTAAGAAGCTGTAGAAGAACACAATTTTGAAGAAAATTACTCTTTCCTTCTGCTTCTTGTACTGCCACTTCCCACCTGTTTTTCTCCTGGCCATGGGAAGCATGTGTCAGAAACCTTGCTGCAGGAAAGCAGCATGGGGAAAAGCGCGCAGGGAAGAAGTCATGGTTGGGAGAAAAGTTAAGCACTGCTTCTCCTCTGCAAATTGACCCTGCTTCCCAGTCTTGCTAGGTGTTCAGAGGAGGAACTTCAGGTTAACTCTCATTGAGCCCTGGGGGTTCCATCAAAAGCAAACTGTATGTGTGTCCATCAGAAATTTTATCTAGTGCACAAATTTTGGATGCATGCTTATGGAACATTAAAAATAACCCAGCCCATACACCGCATCCGTATTTGTGCTGGAGAATATGCACAATCGACAACATAGAGTACATGCATTGCCTGGCCATGAAAGACTATTTTCCACATGGACAATATGGATCCACCCTAACATTCTACAACGTTGCCTGGAGACAATGTGCATTAACTGGATCCTATGCAAAATCCCATTGGTGGTGCTCATTTATACACATTCCCTGTGTTCCAAGCATTTGCACAACTTTTACTTAGACTAACTTGTTCACTGTTCAGCTAAAATTAATCCCTGTTTGTTTATCTATTATTTTGGCTCTTAATGGTCCTTTTAATATGGTTCTCTGTGAATCTTGTCAAATACAGTAGTCCCCCGAAATTCGCGGGGTTGCGTTCCTAGAGCACCCGCAAATTGTGAAAAGCTGTGAATGTGGCGCTGGCGCTGGCCACCAAGGTGGTGCGGGTGGGGGGTGCGAGCTGGGCCGGGCCAGGGGGCGGGCGCATGTGCGCGGCAAGGCAGGGGCAGGGGCGGACGCATGCAGAAATCGTTTTCTCTGAGTGAGTCCAAACCGATCTCCTCGTGAGCAAGCTGCCGCACGGTGAGGCGCTGGCTTTACCCACAAGGAGATTGGTTTGGACTCACTCAGAGAAAATAGTCTCCTTGCAGGCAAGCTGCCGCACGGAAAATTCTGCGAAAGACTGAGGCTGCGAACACTGAACCACGACTTCACGGGGATATACTGTACTGGATCTCGGAACTGGTCCTGTGCGGTTGGCATTGGTGCATCAGCCTCTGTTCACAATGCTGCTTTTGATCACGCACTCTGCTCTTCCTCTTTTACAATCTGTTCATCAATTGTATCTCACTCTGCTCTCTGAGAGGCTAAACACTCACAGAAATGCACTTTATCTCCCACCATGGCTGGCCCTGGGTGGTTCAGGGATACAGCTGACAGTCGGTGATGTCGACACCATTCCTGAGGACCTCTCCTTTGAGGTGGTGGACCCTCCACGCCATGGAGCTCTTCTCAAGCATGGCTCCGGCTTCCCCATCCGCATGAGTGCTGGTAAGCTGGGCAGAAATCGCAGCCCATTAATATGAATGATCATTTTGTATATTGGGAAAAGTGGCTGGGCAGGAGAAATGGGTGGTGTGAGGGGCAAATAACACATGTTTGTTTTGTTGTCCGTGCTGTGTGTGACATCCTCTTAGCCCATGAACGTGTGACAACTGAACCTTCCTACCCAAGTCCACAAATGACCGTGTACAAGTATTTTTCTATACAGGGATTATCTGTGGACTCTGAAAGATCCCGGACAGGCTCTTTTAGTAAGGCCGAGGCCCAGTAGCCACAGGAAATGCAGTTTTCCCAAGACCGACTGCGGGGTCAGCCCAACGGTTGCCAAAGCCTGGTGTCCCACCGCAGTGTTACATGCCAGGAGGGGAAAGGAGAACGGACATGCCTCCCTTTCCCCCTTTCACCACTGGGGGTGCAGCCAGCCCAGCCGAGTCAAGTGGATTTTGAAGGAGATGGGGGTATGGAAGATCAGAGGAGAGGAGAAAGGTGGGAAAGATAGTGCCTGGCTTGGCATCAAGCCACGCTTTTTCTGATGGTGGGAAGGGAAGAGTAGCTTGGCTTATTTTCCAAGCGGTTCCAGCGTGCACCGGTTCTGTGTTGCTGAACAGACAGCATTCTTTCCGCCTCTGCATCCCGCGGGCCAACGCAGAACTCTAGGAGCCTCAGCTCATTATTTGAAAGTGAGACCTCTCTTAGGCATCTGCCACCGAAGCACAGAATTGGGCCGATAGTGTGCTGTGGGGACGTTTTGACCCATCACTTGCTTTTCCACAGATTTATGGAACATGCGGCTTCATTTTAGCCCCAGTCCAAGGCTGAGGTTTCATGTTGCAGCCAGGTCAGGTTTACCTGTGAGGCATCCTTAGCAGCGGGGAAAACAACGGGTTTGAGTTTGTGGAGATCCTGCACATTTTATATCTGAGCTCGGTTCCCTTTGTTCCCATACGTGAGCTTCTTTTTCTTTTCAAACTGCAAAAAGACACAATTCTGTGCATACTTTTAAAGTGTGCGTGCAACATTTGCACCTTCTCTCCATAAACTAAGGCATGGCATTCATTGTTTTAGCTAAATGTTTTTCAAATATTCATGTTCATATTGAGGGTGGTGAATAGGGCATCTTTGAAGAAAAGCTGATGGGAGCAAAATCCTCATGCTCTTCAGGTACATTTTATGATTGTAGGAAAGGGGGACTTGGACTCCCATGGAGCGACGGATGCTTTGTTAAAGGAGGCACTCCTGATTTCAATCTTTTTCTCCGAGAAGGCGATACTTTCACCTATGAGGAGATCATCAGGAATGCTTTGCAGTATATTCATGATGGCTCATCTGCAGCAGAAGATGCGATGGAGATTTCGGTAACCGACGGCACGACCACAGCAACAGCCGTGTTGAAAGTGAGCATGCTGCAGCGGGGCAGCGACGGTCCGAGGGTGGTGCCTGGTTGCCCTTTGGCCATCACCGTGGCCGCTAGACGCTCTGTGATCATCACCCGAGCCCACTTAGCTTATACGGTAAGCATAGCATCCCGTTCTGGTCCCTGTGCTTTACCTGTGAGCCTCAGCATGTGCCAATACGTGCTGGCAGCTCCAACATGCCTCTGTGTGTGCTCAGACTTGGCATGCCAAGCGTTCCAGCTCGGGCCACCAGACTCAACCTCCTCCATCGTTTTCTTGTGCTTAGCAACTTGGGGAGGTGGGATTGAATGTTGGTCTGCCCATTTGCTGGATGGAGAGTGGGTCACCAGCGTGGCTTGTGTAGTGAGTGAACCCAACCGCCATTCTTGGTGGGCATCCCAGAATCCTCATGACCCAGAGTCTGAAGAAGAAGAAGACCTTGAAGACTCCAGTGGGAGTTTTTAAGGCAGAGACGGAGGTGCCCTCAAGGTCACTGCCCACAGCGATGCTTTGGAAGGGACGGGAGGGGTCCAAGAAGGGAAGGAGGGAGAGACCAGCTGCCCAGGAGGTCTTACCAGCTGGCTCTTTACCAGCAGAAGCCACCCTGAGTGTGGCCCAGGTTACTGGGGAGAAGTTTCTAGTTTGGGTTCTACGCTTTTGACATGAGCAGAGGCTTATCTTTCAACTCACTAGAGGGCTTTCAGAATTACTTCGCCTTGTGACTCTGAAGTGCCAAGAAAGATCTGCATTGCAAAGAGGCAGCCTGGTGTCTTGCAGCCGAAGGGCAAGAGTGGGAGGGCAAGCTCCTGTCTTCATAGAAGAGGGTTGCAAAGCAGAAGTCAGCAGCAGATCTTTCCAGGGCGTGGGGGGAAATAGGGTCGGCTGATTTTCTGCTGGAGTTAAAAGAATCGGAGTTCCAAATTGGCAGCCCCAGCTGTAGAGAAGCTGAGATGCAGCTAGAACTGGATCTTGGGGGTGGAGCCAGGACCCCCACAGATCAAGGGATCCTGAATCGCAAATGATGGGGCTGTGACAAACACACCTGTACGCCCATGTTTACCATGACACCAGTGTGTCTGGCATCTTCCTGCTGTTAATTCATGTGCTTCTGACTGTGGCCATCCAATGCTCTAGGAGAGGAAACCTTTCCAAAGACAGCATGCTGGTGTGGAGAGTAGCATCTCTCTTTCTACTCAAGAAATGTAGTTCTGACTCCCGTGAGGCTGGCAGCTTGGCCTGTTCTCCCTGGCATTTCAAGGAGCCGCTAACGAAATCTGGGCACGCAGCCTGCTCTCTTTTCAGGTTTTATTATTCACAGACAAAAGATGATCTTGGGCCAACAGCTGCTTTCTAAAGCAGTAAATGTGTGAGGGAGACTGTTGTAACATAAACTACCAACTTCTCTCTGAATGCTCTTACTTGGCAAAAGTTTTAACCTTTTATGGAGTGTCCTACACCGCGGCTGCCAAAAAAAGAAAAAAGAATTAAAGCAGAGAGAGGAGGGGAATAATGAGTTCTTTCTTTCTAACCAGGTGTTTTGGACTGTATGTGTTACATTGAGGTGAAGGTGAAGTGCAGAGGTAAAATAGAAATTGGGCTAATCCCAGGGTCAGGTGTTGTTCAGCATGTTTCGTTTACTGGGTACTTTAACTCCAGGGGCTTGGTTTAGTCAAGGCTCTTTATTTTATTTTTTATTTATTTATTAAAACATTTTTATGCCGCCCCATTCGCTGAATCCTCGATTTGAGGATGCTTAGGAAGAAATGAGATTGCCTTCGTCAAAGATTCTATACAGTTTATTGAATAAAATGTTGAAATATGGTTGCAGAGAACAAACAAGGCAAAGGATGCTCCTACTCCCCTTCCTGGTGGCCTCCAAAGTCACCTGGGTGAGCAAAGTGTCCATTCTCCTCCCCATGCCAAGAAAAAGACACCACGGAGCTCTTTGCCCCCGCTGTTCAGAAGCTGCCAATACACAGAAACGCCAACCCTCCTCCGTGGGGGAAGTGGGAGGACAAACCTGGTTCAGTGAGGCCAACAGTCTCATTCTCACAGCAAACCAGCCCTTATCCACAGACTGACTGGGGAGGCAGCTATTATCAAGGCCATTCTCTCAGGTGCCTGAAGCGCTCATCCACAGTTGGCACTTGGAGAGCAGGCTGAGCCCGTGAAAAAGTCACCAGGCCACAGTCTTCCCCACCCTGGGGAGGAATGCAGCAGGGGTCTTACGCCCCCACCGATGGCCTTCTGCAAGCAGTGTGTCCTGCTCCCCCGCTTCCATTGCAGAAATGGGACCTGCCACTTGCCCAAGGGAAGTTTAGCGTTTCCTAGGGAAAGTCTGAACCCGAGTGGAAGTGTTCATTGCTGGAAGGAGGTGGGTCAGCAGAGCCCCCTTGCGGAAGCTCCACCACCCCGCTTCCTTCCAGAAACGCGCATTCCCACTCATTCTGGGCTGCTCCAGAAGTGCCACATCAGCACTGCTCAAGCTGTGAAGGCTATTTGTGTAATGGGACGAGTGGGTCGGAAGAGAACCAGCTGGGGTGGCAGTCAGCTCTCCCAAACAGAGGGCTGCCCTATGCAAAGCGGGACACCAAGTCCGCAGTGCCAAGCTCCTTGCCGTGGGCCTGGCGAAGATCTCTCTCCTCCAGCTCTGTGATTTTATGTCAGTGCTATGCAGCACCCTTGGGCGCAAGATCTTGGAAGTCACCGTCAGCGTTCTGTGTCTGTAGGACTTTATATAACAACATTTTAAAAAGTCCTGGGCAGAATACAGAACATCACATAGATGCTTCCACTGCTATTTTTATACTGTTTCCCCCAAAATACCACTTCATCCTGTTCTCTGGCAGTCCAAACTGGGCTTCCAGCTGGCGCACCGAGGTTCTTGGCATCCCTGCTCCATAAATAACTTTGATTTGGGCGGAGAAGTAAACGTCAGAATGAAAACAAAAAATGGAGGGTGTATTAAGGACTCCTAAGTATTAGGAGTTCATAAGAGTAGATGATCTGGCTGTCAGAGAAATATTAATCAGCTAATTGTATCTCTAATAGTTAATTTCCTAATTAATTGCATTTGCATAAGTTTGTACATGAATAAAACATCAGTTGAGTTATTCTTGCATAGGTTTAGAAAATGCAAAGCAAATTCATATCACGGCAGGAGGCAGCTCAGATTAGGTATTCCTTCACCCGCTCATGAGGGGGGACCTGAAGCAGCAGCAGTGTCTCTTCTGATAATTTTCCTGCCTCCCAAGGATAACTAGCCCCAGTTTTAGGTGCTGATATTACTCCACGAAGCCTTAAACCAGGGAGGGGGGACGTTTTGTAGTCCGGGGGCCAATTTCCAAACAGGCATCTTAAGCCGTCTGTGGGATGGAGCTGGACTGAACCACTAGAAGCGTGCCTTCTCCAAAGTACGTCCACTGGCGAGTTGGCAGGGCCTGTGTCTCCAAAGCGTTCGCTGCAGCTCTGCTCCCCAAGCCCACACCAGCGCTCCTTCGATGCAGAGTGAGCTCCCTGCCGGTCAGGCAGCCAGCGCGGGAGGGTTCTGTGGGCGCTACCTTAAACCAGCCCGGCTCACCCACAGCAGGAGAGAAGCACCCTGCGTCCCCACTGCTCTTGCTCTGCTCCCTCTCCTAGGTTAAAGTTCCTACGGGGATGTTCTCCAGAGAAGCTGCTCACCCACTCTCCCTCTTTGGGAGAGTCCCTCATACAAGGGATTGGGCAGCCAAAAGATGCACCTGTCCTCAGGTTGCTTTTCCTTAAAGACTCTGCAGTCCTATGGATATTAGATGGTCATTGAAATGATCAGTTGCTTTTAAATGCAACGTGGCTTGTCCGTTTCTCCTTTAATGGTAATGCCTGGTTTTATGGTTGGCTATTTATGGTTTCATGGTGTCTGATACAATGCATGTACATTTGTTATTTTACTTTGCAACTGTCCTTTTTAGGTTTATTTTACAGAAACTTCCTTGTGAGGGCAGCTGCCCTAGAACGTGGTCTGTAAATATTTAAAATATTTAAATATGAATAATTAGCATGTTTGAAATTTATGAATGAAAGGGCATCTTTTTTCACTGATCAGAATAATTGTAATCCTTTTATCTAGTGCATTAATTAACCTAGAGTTGGTTAGATTCTAGGCCTTTCCAGACTTTGTGCTCTGGCCCACCTTAAAAGAAACTTAATTGAGTTTTTACATTGCCCTAATTGACCATTCTGTCATCAGGCAAGCCAGTGCTGTCATATCCAGAAAAGTTTCATTCTTTTACCTGCATCAAATTATGCCAGTCAGGGGAACTGGGATCATCTCTTTTATTTTGCCTAATTGGATTTTTAATATTTAATATTTTGCATAATTTATTCTGCTTCTGGGACAAAACAGCAGCAAAATGAGTGCAGCAGAAAGATCAAAATGAGGTGGGAACAGGTTTATTCCAGGTGTGTTTGACTGTGTATCTTTCAGAATTGCTAAGAGTGGAGTCTTTGTTCCAGCCCATTTCCCTCATTGTACCGAACGAACATGGGCGCAAATGCTACAACCTCCTCTCCTCTCTCCTCTTAGGATAATAATTCCCCAGATTCCGAGATAAGGATTCAGTTAATTTCTGTTCCCATATATGGCTCTCTTATGCGGATCACCTCTGAAGAACCTTCAGGGGAGTTTTCAGAGGTCTACAATTTCACCATGGAAGATATCAACAATCAACAAATCAGGTAATCCTGGGGAATTCTACCAAACTCAGGTTCATTCAGAAACCCACAGTGCCACCTACAGGGTAAGAAGATAGATACTGTGTACGGATGATGCTTTTACAACCAGACTCTGCAAACACTATTTAATAAACTGTCTATCTTTAGAAATTTTGTGGGGTGAATTACTCTGGCAGGGAAGCACAAACAGAGATTTGTATAGTGGAGAAAGGATGGAACATGAGCAGAAAAGGATAGTTTTTAAAAAAATAATTGTGGCGATAGAACCTCATTCCTACATGAATAAAAGTTTAAGCTGTGGAGAAATTTCAGTTTAGGAAAAAAATGATCGATGTTTGCAGAGGTAGTAGTTGAAATGCCAGTCCTAAGCAAGGTGGGGCAAAGGGTGCGTCCAGGATACCAGATCCACTGCTAAGCTTCTGACATTATACTATATCTCGTTTAGCAGGAGAGGCACGTGGTCATTAGCAAGTCACAGCCAGCGGTCCGGCTCTGATGATCTCCCACTTCATGACCTTACTTATATACACCTCACCTTCACATGCTCCCCTTCCTTTCAGGCAATTGGAAGCTTTTCTTTCCACTTTTAAACAAAGCATTTTAAACAGCCTGAAACTAGAAACTATGCTTTGGTTGTGGTTTCAGAAAATACCAAATTTTAAAACTGGTTTTATTCTGGCTTGTTTTGCTGAACTATGGTTTAAATAAGCCACAGTTATTAGTTCAGCTTTAGCAGGGAACTCAGGTTTGTTTAAAAAGGGAAGCAGAGACAGATTTCCTCTGTTGGGATATGCAACAGCGAGGAGTTGGGATATGCAACCACCTGAGCCTGAGACTAGTTTTTCTTAATTCTGAACTGGACCAACCTGGAAGGGAGATTTCTGCTCATAATACGTACAACATCCCATTTTTGTGTCTGAAACATGGTTGTTGTTGTTGTTGTTATTAATTATTATTATTATATAAATGTAAAAACTTGTTTGACCAGAACAACAGGGGAACAAAAGAAATAAACATGTTAACTCTGTTCCGCATCTCTCGGCTCACCTATCAATTATTGTCCTTCTCTGTCCCACAAAAGGTTACTGCACAATTGTGACAGTTGTCATCAAGTCAGGCTTTTAATTTTGCTCTGGGATCCAAGGCTTTTCCCTCTCAATATGTCTCACTCAGTGACATGAAAATGTAAGTCCCATTTTCGGAGACGGATGAGGCAGAGGTGTTGAAGATTAAATTGTCACTTTGCTGCATGCAGACACGTTCTTAAGCCCAAGATGTGAAAAGCTTTTATCTGCCTGCCACGGCAACTCAATGTCTCTCGTCCGCACTATGCAGATATTTCACAGAGTTTGAAGCCGTGGTTCAGCCAGTCAGAGACATTTTCCACTTCACTGTGTCGGACGCTGATGGCAACCAGCTTGACAATCAGGTGTTCACCGTCACAATCGCAGCTGTCTGGAGCAAGTCTTCAGTTATCACTTTTGCCGACCATATTACGGTATGTGAAGAGCGTGTGTGTGGTGCGAGATGCGCTTAACACTGATCTCTTGACAGAGAAAGAAAATCCATTATAAACTGTGCATGGTGCATAATATATTACTTAGGGAATGGCTAACTGGAACACCGGCAGTTGCTAGCAAGCTTTCCTGTTTAGTCTTGTGCTGTCTGCTTCAGGGGTTCAGAACTTGGGGCATGAGAGCCAAATCTGGCTTTCTTGAGACCCCAGTCCACTGCCTCAGGGTCTCCCCGGTGACTCTCACTTTCCCCTGGCCCTTCCATTTCCTCCAAAGGACCAATTATTCAGTGGTTTCCCCTGCTTTTCTGCAGAGCTCTCCCCATTCCAAAAATCTGAGTGGATTCTGCTAGTATTTAGTCACTGGCAGAAACATCTTGAGGTGACTTCCCGTCTTGACTTCTGTAACGCGCTCTACGTGGGGCTACCCTTGAAGACGGTCCGGATACTTCAATTGGTTCAGAATAGAGCTGCCAGGCTGCTGACGGGGACTGGACGTTATGTTCACATGACGCCAGTTCTCCGTCAGCTTCACTGGCTCCCCATTGAAGTCCGGGCCCAATTCAAGGTGTTGGTAATGACCTATAAAGCCCTAAACGGCTTGGGTCCTGGTTACCTGAAGGAGCGCTTACATCCATATTTGCCCAGTCGCCCCCTGAGATCGGCGGGAGAGGCCCTTCTCCGGGAGCCCTCCGTGAGAGAAATTAGAAGGGTGGCTACTCGGAGAAGGGCTTTCTCAGCGGTGGCGCCTAAGTTATGGAATGCGCTCCCCAGAGAGGTCCGCCTGGCGCCGTCGTTATTTGTTTTTCGGCGCCAGGCTAAGACCTTTTTATTTAAGCAACATTTTAAATGCTAAATACAATTGAATTTTATCTGGCCAGGGCGGCTTATTTTATAATGTGTGTTTTAATTAAGATTATTTTATATGGATTTTAACTTATTGTTTTATCGATGTTGTAAGCCGCCCCGAGGCTTCGGCAAATGGGGCGGCATAAAAATGTTTTAATAAATAATAAATAAATAAATAAATAAATATGGGAGCATTTTGGGGTACTTGGGCCTCTCTGCTTTGCCCTTGGCTCAGCCCTCTTTTGCATTTGGGCATGACCAAGGCTGCAGTGCAGCCCCTGAGAGCATCTCCAAAAAGAAGTTTGTCCCTCAAGGTGGAAGATGCTCAGCACCCTGGTCCACTTATCCTCTCATCCCACTGGCAGTGACTCTCCAGCCGCAGCCTCACTTGCTATCTGACCCTTTCACTCAAGCCCTCTGCAGGATATGTGGCCTTCCAGTTCTCATTGGACCACATTGCCCATCAGCCAAAGCCAGCATAGCCAGTGGTGAGGGACAATGGGGACTAAACCAGGGGACCTTCTGCATGACTATGGAGGCGCCATTTCTCCGATAGCATTGGGGACCAATAGAAGGTTAGGCATATTTTCCCTATGGGTGTCCTCAGAGTAACATTATAGTACAGCATGCAAACCCAGTCTGTCTTTGTTGTGACTAGTCTGGCTGTGGTTGATCCTTTGGGATAAATTTATGAAGGATAATGTGATTTGTCTCTTAATCCCTTAGCTGTGACCAATTGCATGATAAAGGATGGCTGAAATTGAAATACAGAAACTTGCAGTTGCCCTTCATCTGTTGACCTTATGATTCAGCCTGGCAGGAAGCAGCTGATGGTGAAGAGAGGAGAACTTCCTATTCCTGTCCTCCCTCCCCCACGTATTGTTTAGACGAGTGTGTGGATTGTAGCTGTTAAGGCAAGGATTTCATGAGTGGTGGGCTTTAATGAAAGTGGGCAGACTCCATGCTTGTGGAATGCAATTATCATTGTCATCGCCATCATTAGCACTCTCGAGATCCACCAAGTGGGGTCAGGTGTCTCAAAATGGCGGCAGAGGCAACCAGGGCCAAATCCAATGGGAGCTTGGTGTGGAGCCAGTTCCCAGGAACTGTACTGTGGGGTGGCTTGACCCGAGTGACTGGAGATCAGGGATGCTAACGTCTTCACTGCGGTCAGAAGGAAGCCTGTTCATTCTTGCCATGCTAAACTGTTGGAAGTCTGGAACCCTTGATGATCTGCTGCCGATCTCCTGGAGATCGAATGGTGGATGCTGGTTGACCATGGGCCTGTGCTGAGCAACACACTTGGTAAAGCAACCTTCAGATGGAGACCATATCTTTGTTTTTGCACCTCAGGTGGATGAAGGAGGACAGGTGCTGCTTCAGGCTCGCCACACCCTCTCCACTGACTCCGATGCGGCTTGGGAAAGCTCAGTAGTGCAAATCGTAACTTTTCCAAAATATGGGCATATTGAGAACACCAAGACAGGTAAGATAGTAAGCTGATGAGAGGATGGTGTTGCAGGGCAGATTCCCAGGAAAGTCTTAACTTTCTCCACTAGGAATATATAACCCACGTGAGAATGGCTAAGTCATTGCATAGCGGGAAGAACCTAAGCTGCATGGGCAGATGAGGCTGTCCACCGCTTCTCTGCATGATTAACTGCTCCGACTTTGCTTTCAATCAGCTTCTGCTATGGATGAAGCCCTTTAGCAGGTCTTCACACTAAGCTGCTTTGGACATAGCACTAAACCAGGGGTCGGCAACCCGTGGCTCTGGAGCCACATGTGGCTCTTGAATGCCTCTGCTGCGGCTCCGTCGCTCGCGTCACAGCTGCTGCCGATCCAAGGCCCGCGCTGGCACAGCGGCGTGGTGGCAACCGGCGGCGACTGCTGCTGAGCTGAGGCCCGTGCCGGCCAATCCGTGGCCTGTGGCGGTGCGGCCGGCACAGCACTTGGATAAATCGAAGAAAAGAAAAATTTCTGAAGAAAACCAAACATTTAATGATACTTGGGTAGATTCATTTGCTTTTACTGCTGACGAACTTAAGGGGTTTGCTGTTTAATGCATGCAACCCTTTAGCATTGACTTGGACTCTTCAGGAAGCTGTTCTCCTATTCAAAATATATGAAAGGAGTCCTACTAGTTTATAATGTAAGATTAAAAATAACAGTTTTTAGCGACTGAACAAGAGCTGCAGCTAAATCATAATGAAGATATACATAGCATTAAGGTAAAAAACGATATATGCAGTGTTATCTTCATTTTAGATGTCAAAAGGGTTTTGTGGCTTCCGGTGTTTTCTTTTGTGTGGGAAACGGGTCCAAATGGCTCTTTGAGTATTAAAGGTTGCTGAGCCCTGCACTAAACCATAGTTTAGAGAGACAGGAATGAGCTGTGGAGACCATTCACCTTATGTTTCCCGCTTCCAGTGCAACCATGAGAGTTAATTTCAAAGCTTCTGCTTTTCTTTTTAGATCAACTTCGGATCTTTTCATCATGCAAACCTGATCAAATGGTGGGTAATCTTAACTATGGTTAATGGACACAAGCCAGCTTCAAACCAGAGTTTGTGAAGCTGGATTGATTTTACTAACCATAGTTAAAATTAATCACAGTTTAGTCCTGAACATCCTGCTAAACTGAAGTTGTCTACATAAGCGGTCTACATGAAGTCGCTGGTCCACATAACACTTCGTATGTCAGTGCCTGGTCTCCCTATGTTCACCAGCGACATGAACACCCAGCCGTGGTCTAAAAAAAAGGAGTATGTGCAAAGTGCATCGAAGTACTCTTTAAAAAAAGAATGCACATCTCATAAACATAATACCCAACCGGAGTTACTAGATTTTTTTTTCTCATGAACCAGCATGGCTGTCTTTTTAATGTTTTTTTTTTTATGAGCACTTTTTATTGACTTGCAAAAAACCACTCTGAACTACAGCTTAGTTTTGTTTTTGGTCGGGATCTGTGTTCATTGTACACTATTATCTTTTTGGAACATTTCTCAAATGTAAGAGCGGCATCTTCGCACTACTCATAATTAAACTATAGAATTCGATTCTGCAAAGCCTTCTAAGCAATAACAATAAAAGAATTTAACTGCTCTTCCTGCCTGATGGATCAGGATAATTTTGTTTGCCATTAAATAACTTTTCATGTAGATACTGCTATGTTTGCAGGTAGGCGTCTTGGCCCTGGGAGTGCTACAAGCTCAGATCTGTCATTTCCGCTGCAAGATGTTCTGGACAACCGTATTTATTACTTTCAGAGTGTCCATGAAACTGTTGAGCCGTCAATGGACACGTTTAGCTTTTATGTCAGCAATGGCTTCGGCCAGTCAGAAACTAGTAGCGTCAACATCACTATTAAGGTGAGCGAGTCTACTGCATCCTCCGTTCATGTGAAATATCACAATATTATTATTATTATTATTATGAGAGAGGATGTGTAATTACCTCCCAGCAATCTGCCTCCCCTCCTTTGTTTTGCCTGCGCAAAAGAAGGAATCACACAAAGATTAGCGGGAGCATGAATTCAGATTGCTGGCTGGGAATGATGGGGGCCGAAGTTCAACACGTCTGGTGGGAACCAGCTGTGGGAAGGCTGTTTTACGTTCTCCATGATAACTTGAAATTTGAAGAGAGTCCAGGCTCAAATGTAAACTGTTTGAATTTGCTACATTTGCAGAACAAATTATGAGCCAGATAGCATAGCTGTCTTCTGCTTTGGAGTCTTCTTTTTCGGCTCCTGCTGCTGCTGTTTGACTTCTCCTCCTTCTCCTCCTCCTCCTCCTTCCTCCCCTGCCTCCTTCACGCTTTTCCCATTCTGCTGCTCAAGTAATTTTTCTCCCATGACCTCCTGTCTGCTTTTCACAGCATCGCAACGATGAGCCCCCTGAAATGCAGCTGGAGCCCATCCAGGTGCAGGGCAGCAGAGGGGCGGTGATCAGAAATTCCTCCTTACGGGTGAAAGACTTGGACACTCCTGACAACCAGCTGGTCTTCGTAGTGACCAAGAAGCCAACCTCTGGTGAGTTCCATGCCGAAAAAGCTCCCCGGAGCAGCGATGGGTGGACTCTAGAACTCCGCACATCTGGAACTTCAGTTCCCAGATGCCCCTGTGAGGAAAGCCTATGCTTGTGGGTGCTGGGGGTTGTAGTCCGACAGAGCAGGAGATCTGCCTTCTGCCTGCTCTTGTGCTAGACTGCATTTTGATGCCATTGCCCTACTGAAGGCGAGCCCACGTCGCCAGACCATGGCTTGGAGCCGGGAGCAGAATCTCTGTCAGCCTCAAGGCTGGAGTCAGAGCCAGAGCGGCCTCCCGGGGGCCCCACTGCTGTGATGGGGGAACATGCTCCCTGCCGTGCGTGGTGATCCGCAGTACACCATCTCTGCAGTGGAGGCGCACCATTTTTGGCTGCCACATCCATTCGCTTTCAGATGAGTCAGTGTCCTACCTGTTGTGTGATCCTTCTGCAAAACTGCCAGGTTGGTGTCACATCTTGTGCTACTAATTTCCGTGGGTGAATTAGGCATTGGACATGACGCGGCCTTCCCAACGATGGTGGTGTCACACTCCAACTCCCATCAGTCCCGGCCAGCATGGACAATGACCAAGGATGATGGGAGCTATTGTGCAGAACAAGTAGAAGGTGCCAGGTTGGGGAAGGTTTTGTAAGAAATGAATATGTATTGTGGGAAATAAGTAGTGGGATATTCAGGGAGCAGAAAGGAAATAATCTGCATGGGCTCTAACTCAGCAGGGCCAATCCTCTTTCAAAATGCAATTCCTGAGAAACCCTGCAGGCGGTGGAGGGCTCTCCAGGTGGCCTGGCTGAAAGCAGAAATACCCGTGTCTCAAAAATGCCAACTCTTAACTGCCAACTAAGCGAGGTCTGCCTGGCGCCGCCATTATTTGTTTTTCGGCGCCAGGCTAAGACCTTTTTATTTAAACAATATTTTAACAATGTTTAATATTATCTATAGGTTTTACCTTCCAGCCAGAATGAACCGGGGGTTTTTTATTTGTGTAATTTGTATTTTTTGTATTTGTATTGGGCACTATATTGTCTACTTATGTTTATTTATGTAAGCCGTCCCGAGGCGTTAAGCGATGGGACGGCATATAAAAACTCCAAACAAACAAACAAGCAAACACCTGCAGCTCTGCACCCCTGAGCTAACCCATAGTACTTCTCCTATTCCCAGGTTATCTCCTCCAGAGACCATCTCGTTTGGATCCCCTGGAGAATGGGCAAACTCTCTCCGAGGGGTCTACCTTCACCTATCAGGATATCTTGGATGAAAAGATGGTTTACGCATGGGACAGTTCTGGAGTCTGGTCTGATGAGTTCAGCTTTTCACTCTCAGATGGTCTCCACACACAGACTGGGAAGGTGGAGTTTTCGATACAGCTGCCAACAAGTGATCCACCCAGATTAGTCGTGAACAGGGGCCTGCAACTTTCTGCCGGTACACTATGAAAGACTGAATGCCAGGCGTGGATTTTTACAGAGATGGTAGCAGTGCTCCTAGGAAAACTGTAAATTCGGACAGCTCTTGCCCACTTCGTAAAACCTTGCATTTCTTTAAAAAATGCAGTGCCGTAGATGTGCAAAGCTCCACTGCCAAGATTTCTGGAATACCCAAATTTACTGCAAGCATCTCTGTAACACAAGTCTGCAATGGTTTTATGCAACTTTACAGTGATAACTTCCCTGTATATTCATGCAGTGTTTGTAGGTTGATCTGATGCTGAGAACTCTTAAAGATCTTTCTTTGCTCCATGTGATGGAACTACAGTTCCCAGGGTTTCCTCGGAAATTAGGAAGGCTTAGGCCCTGGTGTGCTTATAACTACTCTTCCTGTAAGACCCTGCCATGTACAGATGCTTCTCTGATGCTTACCTGGTCCATGTCTCCAAGGCAACCTGATTCTGCCATAGTTTATTTATTTATTTATTTAAAACATTTCTATGCCACCCCCATCACAACAAAGCCTCGGGGCGGCTCACAACCAAAACAAAAACAAACAAAATCATATAAAAATGTATACACTAAAAATATTAAAACCTGGTGCATCTCGGCTTAATTTTTTTTTAAAATCCTCCATAATAAATTAACACTTAAAATAAGTTTTAAATAAAAAAGTCTTAGCCTGGTGCCGAAAAACAAATAACGACGGCGCCAGGCGGACCTCTCTGGGGAGCGCATTCCATAGGTGATTCTTCTCCCTTGGTCATCCTTAGCCAGTTGCCTCCAGAGGGCTTGGAGTACAGCTCCATCATCCCCACTAGCACAGCTGGGAATGATGGGAAATGTGGCCCAGGTTGAGGAAGAATGGAGCATTTGATTTAGGAGTCTGTAAGCTTTTAATAGGGACTGCAGGTGGCGCAGTGGTTTAAACCGCTGTGCTGCTGGGCTGGTTGATCGAAAGGTCGCCGGTTCGAATCTGCACAACAGGGTGCGTTCCCGTTGCTCCGTCCCAGCTCCTGCCAACCTTGCAGTTCGAAAGCATGCAAATGCAAGTGGATGAAAAGGTACCACTTTGATGGTCAGGTAACAGCGTTCTGTGCACTTCGGTGTTTAGTCATGCCGGCCACATGACCACGAAGACTGTCTGCAGACAAACACTGGCTCCCTCGGCTAGGAAATGGAGATGAGCACCGCCCCCTGGAGTCAGGCATGACTGGACTTCACGTTAAGGGGAAACCTTTACCTTTTTTACCTTTAAGCTTTTAATAAATATTCATTTATTTAATGTATTTTTGGACTGCGTTTCAGGGCAAGAGCCCTCCCATGGTGGGGTAGAACAATGAAACTCACGTAATAAAAGCAGATGTGCTGATAAAAACTAAAAATGGCAACAAGCTTTCTCAAAAAACAAAAGCCAGCAGAAAACTGAACGTGCGACACCCTGGCAGTCGCAGCCACAACCCAGTCCAATGAAACATGATCAGGGGAAGGTACCAGTAGATTCCCCTCATCTCCTCGGCACCCTTCGTTCAGTCCCATTCCCCCATCCAAAATTGCGGTCCTGTTTATCTTGCGTCTGCACCACGGGAACATTTTGGTGGGTCTCCTCAGTCTGTCTTAAGAAATGGTGCTGCATCATATGTATATTTTAAGAATGACCCAGCAGGAAGAGCAACTCCCTTTCTCACTTTGCTCTTTTATCACTTAGGCTCCGTGGCGGCCATTACAGACCAGCACTTAAGAGCCACCGATGATGATTCGGATGACCAAACAATCACGTACCTCATCAAGAAGAACCCCCTCCTTGGAATTCTGCAGTTACACAAAAAGGATTCCTTGGTACAGATCTCTGCTGAGGGATTGGTCAGAGGTTTCACCCAGGCTGAGATAAACAAAGGTGGGCGTTCCTTGTTCTGAGAAGAAAAAGCGATTTCTGGCATTTCAGCCTGGTTCCAGGGCCAGGTTGTATGGCGCTTGGTTGCTTCGCTTCGCATTTAGTGAAACACCAGGGATGTAGATTGTGGAAGCTGTAAGATCTGGGCGAGAAAGAAAGAACAGGGGAATCAAGCGATTGCCTCAGCTGAGATACGTCAGTGAAAGTGGGTCAGTGGAGTCCTGGCACCCAGAACAAGAAGGGGTTTGGGGGAGGAGGTGGTGGAGGGAGGAGAGGTGTGCTTCTCCCTCCCCAGCTTCTGCGCAGTAGTCCTAATCCAAACTGAGGCTGTGCATATTTACTCTGGAGAAAAAGAGGATTTCTTCAGCTACACCTGGCTTAATGTCATGTGCAGTTTGACCTTCAAGGTGAAACAAATCGTCACCCTTGAGCTGTTAGCCATGGATCAAGGATTGCAAAGCACAATCGCCAGCTGAAACACCTGGTGCATAATAATAATTTGGGTTGTACCGCCTGAAACAGCCTTCAAAACTGGAACAGTGACCACCCTCCAAATAGGAAATGAGAATGAGAGCCAGTGTGGCGTAGTGGTGAAGAGCATGGGACTGGGACTCAGGCGATCCGGGTTCTAGTCCCCGCTCAGCCATGGAGCCAACTGGCCAGTCACAGACTCTCAGCCCAACCTACCTCACAGGGTTGCTGTTGTGGGGATAAGCTGGAGGAGGAGAATGATGTAAGCTGCCTTGAGCCCTTTGTAGGAAAAAGGCAGGATATAAATCGATAAATAAATAAATAAATGTCAGTGAGATACTTCAGTTTGGAGGTGGATGATGATGACGACGATGATTGGTCTGGAGCCCTAACCCAGGTTCCCCAGGACAGTGAGAACTTGGCAGTGGACTTCAGAAAATGTAGTGACACAAGCGAAGTGGAGATTCTGCTATTACTTTCCTTCTTTCCCTTCTGCTTTATGGTTACAGGGCAGCTGGAGTACAGCCATGAGAAAGGGGAGCATGGAGGAACAGTGGCTTTTGTTTTTGACGTGGAAGATGTGGAAGGGAACAAAATTGTGGACCAGGCATTTCTGATCAGTATAATAGGTAAGGCCAGGGATCTTGCTGCCGCCTTGCTTTCTTGAGCAAGACAGTTGATTTGGAGTCTGATAATTGGAAAGACGGAAATCGTGGAGAAGGGTTGAACCAAGGAACTCCATTTAAGCAGAGAAGAGAAGGATAGCACCAAACAGGCAGGAGTTACAATTTAATAAACATCTGGGTTAGGGATGTCTCAAAGCACTGTGGAATCCACCCCTCTAGCATCCATCAACATCCTCTCCTTCTTGGCCTGGTCTTAGAAAGAGAGCTGAGTGGAGAGAAAGTCCGCAAACACTGGCAGAACGCCAGCTGTGCAACCGGCATCCATCTTCCACATCACAGGCAGCAACACAAAGTCTGCTGCACATGATGAAGAGAGATGGCACGCATTCTGCACTCATACCGAGCTTGATTCCTGGCGAGTGCCAGGTGACACAGGCCGGGGAGCCAAGCCCAGGGAATTCAGTGGCTTCCCCCGCACCAAAGGGACTCCTCCCACTTCCCTCATTTGGGTGTTAATGACCTAAATTCCTGAGCATGACATCTTAGCCACCCTGCTTAATATTCCTCTGCGTTCCCATTCACCATTAATATGAATCACCTCGGTGTTTGTCCCTTCACCATATATTTGTCAAGGAGCTTTGCGGGTTATTTATGCATTCTAAGAAGAGATACGGGAATACATTTCGGCTGTTTTACCTTCGCCAAGGCATTGCTAAACACTCGCAGCGTGTAGCAAGATGCTGTGAGCGCTGATCACAGAACTGCACATTCGGAACACACTCCCCCCTCCCTGCAGCGCTTCTTGAGCAAACGCAAGGAATTGTGTGCAGGAAGATCCATCGTTCAGATTCTCAGAGTAGCCGTTCACTGCGAGCATGTGAACACAACAACGCAATCATGGTTTAATGTAACGTTAGCATAATTCAGAGGTGTACCTTTCCTCTCCGTTTACTTCTTAGCCATCACCTTTGTGTACATTTCTGCTTTTTTTTTTCTTTTAAATTGTCATGGAATTTAAAGCAATTCCTGCAGCTGGAATTGCTCTGAAAAGGAGCCATCAAAATGGGAATTAATATCTCCCCTTTCTGGAGGAGTTGGAGAATTGGAGGAGAAAACCAAATAAATCAGCTCAGTGCTTCGAATGCAGGGGATCCTACCATCAAGGGGGGTGGAGATGGGACCCCCTCCTTAGGTGTGCCTGCTCCTTTGCCTCCCCTTTCCGCATTTCAATGTTTCCAGCCTGTGCCAGCGGGTCCCTCTTTTTTCCTTTGTCAGGTCTCCCCTGGCGCTTTGCAACCTGACAGGCACTCCCATCTTGTCCATACTTGTAGAGAAAAGCTGGAAGTGTGCATTTGAGAAGAACTCGCAGCAGAGCATTAAATTACACCCCCATTAATGCCTTTTTGAAGCAGTAATGAATGATGGTCCTTCCAATGCGCCATTTGGGCATTGGAAGGAGGGCGGTCATCGGCATTACCATGTCACCCCTGCCAGGTAGCGCTGTGGCTGGTTGCTGCAACCCATCAAAACACCACCATGGTTTGGATGATAGAAGAAGCCGTTGTGGTCAAGGACAGCCTTAAAACAGAGCCTGCTGTGCTAATGAGAGGTTTCCAATCAAATCAGATATAAACAAATATAAAACAAGTTGTAGATTCTCAGGGTGGCTGGTTGTGGGAGAGAGTCGACCTGCAGAAACCATGCCCAGATTGGACAACGTAACTCCACCTGGCTGGCTTACCTGGGGTGGGTTGTCATGTCCCTGATCAGGTGATAGCAGAGTTTAGAACGTTTTTAATGTGAAGGAGAGGAATGTAGCAAAAGGAAGATGAGAAAAAAGGCAGCTCTCCTCTTAGCCTTGTCTTGGGTCCTTCCAGAGGACCGGTTGCCTCCAACCATCACTGTCAACACTGGACTGACACTGGAGGAAAACTCAGCCAAGAAGATCTCCACCCTAGAGTTGTCAGCCACAGATCCAGACAGCGATCCTAGTGACCTCCTGTACAGGATCACCCAGCAGCCCCAGCTGGGTCACCTGGAGCACGTGGCATCCCCAGGTATGCAAACATTCTCTTTTTGGGGGAGCAAAATCAAGGGAAATGCCCCCATCCTCCCTTGAGGTGCTGGATTGTGTGCCTTTGATCTCACGGGCATTTGCATTCTGTTAGGTTTTCGGAAATGTTATCTGCTATCGTGTGATAACACAGGTTCACCTGGTGCCAATGCTTCCTTGCTTTCGGCATCAGGCGAAAACCTTTTTATCTCCCAGTATTTCAATTGTTAACCTGTTTTATTTAGTTTTATATTTTAACACTGGAGGCTGTGCAACTGTTAATCTTATTTCTGTTTTTATTTTATTGTATTAATCTGTTGCAAACCATCCCGAGATGTCTGTGATGGGATGGTATAGAAAAGTTTTACATGAATAAATAAAATCAGAATGCTTGGGTTCAAACTGCTGCTCAGCCTTGAATGTGGTGAGCTCAGGATGCTGAGCAAGCGTGAGTGAGAGGGGCTTGAAATGTGAATGTTTCCCACTTGAAAAATCACACCTCATTCCGTGCTGATCTCAGACCTCCTCAGTTCTAGGGCCATTTTAATAGGGTCATCAGAGAGTAGGAAGGGCCCTCATGGATCAGAAAAAAGTCCATCTGGTCCAGCATTCTGGACACATGGTGGCCAACTACCTATGCCAATGGGAAATCCACAAGTGGGGCAGAACAGCACCCTCCCACCCATGTTCCCCAGCAGCTGGTGTGCCTAGGCACACTGCCTCTGATACCTGAGCTGTCCTGTATAGCCATCAGGACCAGTAGCCACTGCAGATCTTACTGTTCCTGAGTTATAGCATGATGGCACTCCTAGTGCACGGCTCAGTTCCCCCCATCATTGCTCGCAAAAGTACCTTTGCAATTGCAAAGCAGGAAGGGACAGATGGTGCATGGAGGGCTGGACCACGGCTGCAAACAATGCTCCCATTTGGGATTTTTCAGCTTTTCTTTCAAAAGCTTGAAATACACTTCAAGATTTCCAAAGTGTGTGTGTGTGTGAGGGGGGGATTTTTAAAGCTCGACAGTGGTCATGGACAAGCACTGTTCTCACTTTTTTAGTCTCAGCTCCCTACCTGTAAAATGGGCTGAAGACTGACAGATCTGGCAGAGGAATTGTGCCACTGCATGAGATGAGAAATCAGGAGGAAAAGGTCCCGTCCGTAGGTCCCTTCAGTTGCTCTCATTTCTTTCCCTGCTGCTGTTTTTCCACGGTAGGCCACAGGATCAGCTCCTTCAGACAGACGGACCTGATCTCACGCAGCATCCACTACATCCATACCAGTGCAACAGAGATGCATTCTGACTCTTTCGTCTTCTCTGTTTCTGATGGCTCGAGTGAGGTGAGCGGGTTTTCCACAAGCATGCAGTCAGCAGAGTTTGTGTGTGGAAAGATGTCTTTTTCAGTGTTTCCCCCTTTATCGGTGTCCCTCCAAACAGGTGAGCCAGCGTTTTGACATCACCATCAACCCGGTCGATGATGCTCTGCCTGTTGTGCAGAGCCCTGGAATGAGGGTCCAGGAAGGAGTGAAGAAAACCATCTCAGAGTTTGAGCTTAAAGCCACTGATGCTGACACAGAGGTAGAAGAGGGAGGCCTTTACTTGATGCTCCTGCCTGAAAGGCATCAAAGGGGTGGGAAAGGGTTTTTCTGTTTGAGGCAAGACTCCCTTGGGGAAATCTGTTGAATTCATCCTTTCTGTCCAGCCTGCTGTTTGAAGCGGGACCGATTCCTCTTGGCAGGAATCGCTTGCAGAAAGCTTTTGATAACCGGACTGCATGTCCTGGTCTGGCCCTTCCCTTCTGGCCCTCAGGCTTTACAAGGCCAGACGGTCCCTTTGCCATGCAGATCTTTCTCGGCACTTCACAGCTACAAGGCAAAGCAACTCTAAAATCCCTCTGCAAGATAAGCCTTTGCTCATGGCAAGCTGTGGAACCCAGACTGGGAACTTCTCCCCCAAATCCTTCCCCTTCAGTAACACTGGGGGCTCCGCTCTCAGGGCGAAGGGCCAGCTGATGGGACCTACGCACGCCCTTCAGCTGGGCAGCTTGTCTCTCCCGGTGCCTCATCACAGGGCCAGGGACCAGGCAAGGCAACAACTCCCAGTGCTCCCCTTCTTGGATCTTTTCCCTCTCTTCCAGAACCTCTCTGCTCTCCTAGTTGGCCTGGGAACCTGTGGGCAGAGACCCTGCGAGTGCTTCAAAGGCCTCTGCTTCTCCCTGAGTTTCCAAAATTCCTCTTGCCGATTCTTCAAGGCCTCTTCTTTGTCATCTTCTTCATCCTCAGAATCTGGGTCATGAGGACCCAGGGATGCCCACCAAGACTGGTGGCACTACACCACCTAACAGCCGGGCAAGGACCACAGGTTGCCCATGCCTGTGCTGGCGAAATCTGCAAGACCCATTTCACGTAAAGGGACTGTCCTGCTGGGATACTCCAGAAGGTCCAGCCCCAGGCTTCCAGGGCTGTCTAATGAAGAATCCCCTTGGGAGCTTCCCAGTAGGGCATGAAAGTCAGGGCCTTCTGTTGCCATGTGCACCCTCACAGCTAGTATGCAGAGCTTACTGCTGCTGGATGGGGAGGCTCCATCGATAAGCCTGCTTTTAGTGAATTTAGCAAATGTTTTTTCGAAGCCATCTGGGGACAGCTCAGGACAGCTCAATATACTTGACTCTGTAACTGTGCTGTTCCATGATAAAGCGAACACCTGAGACTACAGAGAGACAGACTCAGTAGAGACCTTTCTCTGCCTTCTCCCAGGCTGGCGTCCCCCAGTGCTTTGGTCTCCTCCCATCAGCTCTAGCCAGCTCTAGTGGGAGCAGCCTAGGAGGATTAGCCCAAAACAGCTGGAAGGAGAAGGCTGGTGCTGTGGGGAAACTTTGTGACGGACTCTTTTCAGTAGCAACCTGAAAGTTCAAGTGATTGTTGCGCTCTCGGGACAGGTTTCCAAGAGCTTTCAGAGACAGCTCTCCGTTTGGCTAACTGCCTGTGTTCCCTTCTGTTCACAGGCCAAATTCATCACATTCACCGTTGTGCAACCCCCACGCCATGGCCTGATTGAACATACCGATGACGGGCACCATCACCGGCAGACCCATGCCTTCACCATGGAGGATGTCTACCAGAACCGGATCAGTTACAGCCACGATGGAAGCAACTCACTGGATGACCGCTTCACCTTCACCGTGTCCGATGGGACCAATCCATTTTTTGTTGTGGAGGAGGATGGGAAAGAGGTGGGTGTGGAGACAACAGTGGCTCTAGATCGCAGTCCAAAACAGTTTTCACACGCAGTGGAACGGCACTATGCCACTAATCCTGAGTTGTGCCACTTCAGGTTGCAAGATGAAGGATACAAGTTTAACTTACTCTGAATAGCACAGCGCTCTGTCGGAACGATTTCTAGTTTCTGGGCGAGCTTGGATCCACCATTGCTCCTTGGAAGCCCAGATAGCCGCTGTGGCCAGGAGTGACTTCGCCAGCTTTGGCTGGTGTGATAGCCGAGTTCTTTGTAGGGGAAGGAGGATCAGCTGCAGTGATTCATGTCTTCATTATCTCTCATATAGATTGCTGTTGCGCATTCGCTTGAGGCGGCCCTTAAATATAGTCACCAGTGAACAGACTTGTCTGTAGATGCTACAACTGGGATTTTGGGGGGGAAGAAGATCAATTGCTATGACTTCCGGGTTGCTTCTGGCCAAAAGGATGCACTTACTGCCTGTAATTAAGCCTTCAGAGAGTCATTTCAAACTTTTAGAACAAGGGAAGACTGGCCAAAGCTGGGAAGCTACCAAATGATTGGATTTTGGAGGAAAGGGAATGTCTGGAGAGCCCTAGAGATACGGATTTGGCCCTCAGGTGTGAGCATAGCAACATAAGAAGCTGTCCGACTGAGTTGGAGCCTTGCTCCATCAGTAATGCTGACACTGTCTGGCAGTAGATGCCCAGGGTTTCAGGCAGCCCTAGTGCTAATCGGGATCCTGGAGCCTGCGCTTTCTCTGCGCACACCTGCTGAGCTACGGTTCTGCTTGCGGTCTTGCAGAAGATGATTGCATGGCATGGTAATGGCCACCTCATTTCCTCAGATCGTGACAGCTGTGCCCCAGTGGTTCAGAGTGGAAATTCTTCCTGTGGATGATGGGACCCCAAGAATTGTCACAAACCTGGGCCTCCAATGGCTGGAGTACATGGATGGCAAGGTAGGCTTTACCACTGGTTGCTCTTCAGGTCAGAGCATCCTTTCTGACACATGCAGAAAATAGGAGGAGATGGGTAGTGGCGCAGCAGGGAATGCGCAGCTTTCTAGGTCCTGAGAACTTCAGCGGAAACAAAGAAAGGCTGTCCTCCAGACCTGGGTATTGTTCTCAGCTCCATTCCTGCATTCGGTTTGGAGGCAGGTGGGTATTTGCAGGAAGAGCTCACCTTTTGCCCCACTGCTAAGCAGAGGACAGCCCGGGTCTTCATCAAGCATGGGGACCAGGGAGTCAGTCTTCGTTCTAGGTGGAAGAGCTGCGTGTGACAAGGCACTGCTGCTTGTTTGGGCCTTTTCATGGGCCACCTTGAAGCCTCCAGGCATGGAAAGGCAGGATATACCTGTGCTGAACAAATGACAGATATCCAGGTGTGGATACCCTGGGCTGAACTGGTCGCAGCACACACGGTAGCTGTTGGGGCCCCCAGAAATCAGCCAGAGTAGTGCCACTCACGGAGGAGTGGCTCACGCTCTCTCTCCCCTCCCCTTTCCCTTGTGGGGCAAACGGCAGATTCGCCGGTCGGGGTGGTTGCAGTTGTGAAAATGGCATTTGGGAAATGCTTCCCTCCCAACCCTTGTGCTGTGGCTCTGATTGTCTCGGGAGAAAGGCCCTTGTTCCTGCATGCATTGTGTGTTTGTTTGTTTGTTTGTTTTAAAGCACATGGGAAATCTAGTTGTGAATCTCGTCCCATGATGAGATTTCTTGGTTTATCTGGGTCTGTTACAGTGAGCTAATGAAACGTCTTTCAGATCTGATGTAAAGGGAAAGAGATGGAGCAGTTTGCTCTTCACTCTGGTCCTTCACCTTCGCCAGTCTCCCTCTTCTCCCCTTTCCCAGAACAACCAGCCGTCCGGTGGGTCTTTGGCTTTTGCGTTGGGTTTTCACAAAAGGCTGGCATGCTTCTTCTCAGTGGCAGTAGGTAGGGTTAAGCCCAGAGTCTGTGCAGGAGTTTCTCAAGAAGACGCAGGATTTGATTTTGGTTCAGTCCTGCAGCCGGAGGAGGTGGCTAAGACCTCAAAACACTGGTGCTAGGTGGGAACCCTGCTGGCAGCCCAACAAACCATTCCAGGGTGGTGGGAAAACCAAGCCAAGGCAAAGATGAGAAGGAGAAGGGACTGGGCGGTATTGACCATCAAGTCAAATGTCAAATGAGTGGAAGTCCAAGCGGTTTGCCGCCCAAAAGAGACTGGCTCACTTGCACCTTTTCACAAATGAGTTGGGGTTAGAACCGACAACTTGTCCAGGCTGGAAACAGGGCAGCCTCCCAACACCATAAGAACATCAGCTCAGCATTCGCAACATATACTTGCTTCTTTTGCCTCCAGCCTGTTCCGTGTTGCCTTCAGCTCTGCCTCCCACTGGAATCTGGCTGCTGTGGACTTTCCAAAATCAAACCCAGCCTGCAAGAAGGTCGGCCTGCCTGGCTTGCACAGATCTCTGGGTCAGTGCCCAAACCCCTTGCACGTGAATTCCGTGAACAGTCGGGAAGCACCCAGTGCTCCCGTGCAAGTAGAGCTATGGAGAAATGAAGAAAGCAGACAGGAAGAAAATGGGTGCATTCGAAACATGGTGCTGGAGGAGAGCTTTGCAAATACCCTGAACCAACTGAAGGAGAAACCTACTAATAGTTCTACTAATCTATCTACTAATCTATCAAGTCAGAGCGTTCCCTGGAAGCAAAAATGACAAAACTGAGGCTGCCCTACTTGGGACACATCATGAGAAGGCAAGACTCCTTCGAGAAGACCATCATGCTAGTAGGGAATGTCAAAGGCAGAAGAAGAAAAGGAAGACCAAATACAGATGCAGTGAAGCCATAGAAGAAGCCACAGCCTCAGACTTGGAAGGGCCTGATGGAGCTCTCACGAACGGGACATTTAGAGGCGTTCATCCGCAGGGCAGTCACAGGTCCAAGTTGACTTGGTGGCACATAGTGGATATGGATCCTCCTAGAAACCTCCGTGCATTCTACAGGAAATGCAGGATAGCAGTGTAACTCGCTGCATAGCTATGAAGGCCGGTGAATATCACCCTTCAAAAGTTCCGTCACACGGTAGCTTGACCACAGCACAGAACCTCTCTGTGGAGTTGCACTTAGAGGAGCCGGCTTGGTTCTTCCTTGCTTCAGCCCTGAAACTGGTTTATGCGGGCACACTGCTTCTGATACGAGGAGCAGCACAGAGCCATCTGGGCAGGAGGCCATTGGTAGCCTTTATGAGTTGGTCCGGTCCCCTTTTAAAGCCATCCAGAGTGACGGCCGGTGCTACCTCTTGGGCGAGTGAATTTCACAGCTCAGTGTTGTGTGAAGAACTCCATCCTTTGAGCTGTCCTGTACCTAATCAGCTTCACAGGATGACTCCTTTGGGTTCTGGTCTTGCGAGAGAGAGAGACAAATGTCTCGGTACCCACCATGCATAATTTTGTACATCCCTATAATGTCTCCCTTACTTGCCTGTTTTCCAGGCTAACTGAAATGGATCTCCCGGGTACCACTGTGCATGAGGCGCTCATGTCTTCCGTAAAGGCACATCTCATTGACCAGCTCCTCCAGGGCGTGAAATGTATAAACCTTGCAATTTGGTCTTGACTGCAAAAGGCCAGGCTAGAGCTTGAGTGCTCTTACACGAAAGGGAATTGGTTGAGGGAGGGGGTCTCGTAGTGCTGCCAACTGGTATGATGGATGAACTGGAGCTCTGCTGTTTGTTTCATCTGCAGCTGTGGCTAAACCAACCATCAATCTTGAGCTGTGGGGCTGAGGTCCCTGGCAGTGCGGCTTCCCCGTCCTCCAGCTCGCTCCATGGGCTGCACTCCCTCAGGTCTTACTCTGCTGCGATTGGCATTTGCTTTCCTAAAGTGGGAAGCCCTCCGAGATTAATTGCTGTGATTAATCAAGTAATTCTCCCTTCGCTGATGCAAAGGGCTGGTAATGAAACCAGATTTTCATTGCAAGTCATGCTAGGTGAGTGGGTGTTAATGGCAGTGTTCACATGCGGCTCGTGATATTAAAAGAAAAAAGCTGGCACCGGTACAAAAAATAATCCAGGGACATAAATGGCTTTAGGAGCATTTAATAGGTTAATGGTTGGGGAGTCTGGGGTCTGTCTCCGTTCCTCTTCTGCACTGTCTCCCATTGGGAGTTTGTAATTGCACCCAGTAGGAAAGTGCGAGAGGAGCTGAGCAAGTCAAGGGCCTGGAAAGATGACATTGAGAAATGAGATCAAGATTAGGCAACCCTCAGTTGACAGCTCCCATAATCCCTGTCCATTGGTCATACTGGCTGTGACTGATGGGAACTGCAGTCAGGCATATCTGGAGGACACCAGGCTGCCGTCACTTGATTTACGGAAATAGATACATCCTCCTCCTGGCTAGGGTTGGCGCCCCAGTTTGCTTTGCTCTGGCTCCCTCCTGGCCTGGCTCAGAGGTTTCCTCCCTATTCTGTGCGTTTCTCATTCCCTTGAGTGTTTGGAGGAGCAGAGCTATTGGAGCCCCATCACAGGGAGTGTCAAAGGATGGGCATACGAGCATATCAACGTAGTCCTTCGCTATTAGATTAGACTAATGGCACTTTCCGCAGTCCGGTGTCTGCGGCTACTGCAGCTTTCCACACCCGCGGCCAGCATGGCCAACCCGGCTGGGCAAGAGTGCACAAGCGGGTTTCAGCTTCCAGACTCAAACCTGCAAAGCCGTAACGCTGCCTCTGCTTCATGCTCTATCCAGCCAAAGAACCTGATCACCAAGAAGGAGCTGTTGACGGTGGATCCTGATACAGAAGATAAACAGCTGATCTACGAGATAACAGTGGGGCCGAAACACGGCTACATGGAGAGGAAGCTGCAGCCGGGGACAGCGGTGACCACATTTACGCAAGGTAGGAGGGGCAAGGCGGTGGGATGCATTTCTCTTTATTCATGCTATGCGGCTTTCCTTGGCAGACGCCTGCTTCTCCCTGGCATTGAGAAGACTCGGGCAATACCGAGATCGCTTCTCTTGTCCGATTTTCCCTCATTTGTTGTTGATGATGATGATGTTAGACTGTATTTATGTTTGTTTGTTTCATTTTTATGCTGCCCAAGGGCCAAAGCTCTCTGGGTGGTTAACAAAAGTTAACACACACACACACCAAAGTTAGTATAAGACAGCAAGTCCATAAAAGCTGTTGCAACTGAATCTGCATAGAGGCATGGCAGTAGTGCAGGATAAAATGCAATATTGAAAATAAAGTTTAAAAGTCAAACTGTTAAAATGCTGAGAAAATAGAAAGCTATTTGCCGGCCGTTGCAAAGAATACAGAGTAGGTGCCAGGCTGACCTCTTTGGGCAGCTCATTCTACAGCCGGGGTGCCACAGCCGAAAAGGCCCTCCTCCTGATAGCCACTCACCTCACTTCACACATCCGGTCTTTTTTCCCTCTTGTGGGGAGGCCAAAGAGGTTCACACGGCTGCATTTTATCCTTGCAACAGCAGCTCTTGAGATAGGTTGGGCAGAGTCCATGACTGGTCCAAAGTTATCCAGCGAGCTTCATGGCTGAGTGGGGACTAGAACCCGAACCTCCCAGGTCCCCAGTCCAACATGGGAACCACCACACCACACCAACTGCCCGTCTGTTCCTCCTGCATTCTGCTCCTCACGGCACACCACGGGGACAGAGCAAGAATCCGAACAGCCAAGTTCTTCTGAGGGACTTGAACTGACACCTCTCCACTCCCCAGGGAAGGAGTGAAACTTGCACAGTTGTGGTTCTTTGTTCTTTTTGCAAGCAGAAGTCAGCTGTGGAGATGAAGGGGTGTGTGCAGGAATCTAAGAAAAGCTGGGCAGGGACAGACTAAAGGTGGAACAGCGTGTTTCCCATGGGGGCCAACCAGGCATCCATAGAAAGTCCTCAAGGAGGATATGAGTTCAGTAGTGCCACCCAGCTCATGTTCCCCAGCAGCTGGCATGCAGAGAAATGTACCCCCTGCTCCTGGAGATGATATACCGCCATCTTGACAGATCGCCATTTATAGATGTACCGGTTGTGAATTTGTCTAGTCCCCTTGTTACAGCACAAGGCACTTGCCCTCCAGATGGCCTCGAAAGGTTTGGGACTTTTTGCTGGGGCTTAATGTGTGGGACCAGAGAGAACAAGCGCTGGCTTTGCATTCACATAAACACACGCAACACTTCAGAAGGGAAGGAAAGTTAATTTCTCAGAAAAATAGAGTGGGCGCAAGCTTTTAGTCAGTGTTGCCTAGATAGCAAATATTTCTGTTGCATCCCAGTCTTACTCTATATTTCTAAGAGATAAAGAACATCCTGCCTGAATGAGAGAGAGAGAGCGAGAGAGAGAGCGAGAAGGAGGGAGCGGTGAATTCTGTGCCAGGGATCATTAGTCTGTCTGTCCCAGCTGTGCTCTGGACTGACATTTTCATTGAGCTATTTGCCATGTCCCCAGTTCCCTTTCCTGGCCAGTTAATGCCAATTCAGAACACTTCCGTGCATATGGGAAGTTATTTGTCCCGGTGTGCATCACTTTCCATCGCTTTACTTACACCTACAGGCTGAGAGATCATGAAGATACCTCCAGGCAACATCCATCCAGAGTGGCTCATGTTCCTTGGGATTGTTCTTACTTTGTTCTAATATTATTTGTTTATTATAAGCTGTGTCCAGAAAGAGGCAGGCACAGAGGTTATCTTTATGGCTTATATGTATGAGAAACAAAACAAAAAAAAATCCCTAATTCCTGGATTAGTTCCCTGAAGAGTCTCTTCTTTACAGAGGACGTGAATTTGGGATTGATCCAGTATGTGTTGGATGAAGAGAGAACTCAAGAGACAGAAGATAGTTTTCAGTTTCTGGTAAAGGACAGCAAGCCCAGTATGGTCACTGACAATACCTTCCATATTCAGTGGTCTCTTATCAGCTTTCAGCACACCAGGTAAATAACTTAACTCAGCAATGGCTTTGCTGCCTCATAGCACAGGGAATGAATTCTGTTGCATTTTAGCATGTTGAAGATACTAACTCCTGCCTGCCACTCATGAACTGTCTCAGCCAGTAGCTGAGCTTTGCTGCGATGTCACAGAATGTGCATAAGGCTGGAATGTTGCTTGCTTTTTACAGATTATTGATATAATTGTCTGATCATTATTTTACTAGAAAGGTTCCCAATGGATATTTTAAGTAAATACACGGCAGAGGTCAAAAGGCACTTTGAATGTGAGCAAAACTTCTGGAGCTCAGAGCTGCTAGGCGACAGACAGACAAAATTGAGATTTTGTCCTTGACAGAATGACATTCTGAAGGCTCTTTAGGGAAAAAGCCAAGAGTTTTGTTGGCTGAAAAAAGTGGTTAGAGTAGACTGACAAGGGTGCAGGGAGGAGTCTGAAAAGCAAGGATCTAAAGGAGCAAGAGTGAAGGAAGAACAAGGCAGAGCTTTCAGGATTTGGGAAAGGAAGGAACTGGGGGGTGGGGAGAATTAAAAACCACAAAGGCCCAACACCTGGGAATTGGAAAATGGGGTTCAAAACCTTCTGGTTTGAACTAATCAGCCAAATGATTGCTCACTTTTTCCTACTTCAGCCAGCATTTGTACATTTTCTTAGTCAATACTGTACCACTTGCTTCAGAAAGCGTTAGTTAATTGGACATGCATTTCTGGGCTTCTGCCAAATTAAACTTTGCAGTTGTGTTTTTATTTCTTCACCTCTTCCGGAGCTCAATTAAGCCAATGATATTAAATCAAGTTGCCCCTAATGAAGGCAGACCATACACTGACTAAGAGGAAGGCAAATGCACCAAAGTTGATCAGACTGATCTAAACCGCTGCACAAAGTCTGAATGTGTTGATTTTGAGCACAAGTGGCTGAAAGCCCCCTGGATAGAGAGGGACATGCATTCACCATGAAAAGAGATTTGTTCCCACTGTTTCTTGAGCATCTTCCCTGAGACCTGAAAGCACGACTAGCCTCATCCTTCTTTCTCCAGCTACAATGTCAGTGAAAAGGCTGGTTCCATCAGCGTCACAGTGAAGAGGACAGGAAACCTCAAACAATACGCTATTGTTCTGTGCCGCACCGAGCAGGGAACGGCCACCTCTGGCTCCCGCTCCCGGCCTGGGGAACAGGATTATGTCGAGTATGCAGGCCAGGTGAGTTCAAGTGGGCAAGTCATGAGCGGAGCTGGCTGGAGCCGGGGGTCAGACTAGATGACCCGGGAGGCCGCTTCGGACTGTCTCTGTTTCTGTGTTTCTAAGTGCAGTATAATGCCCAGGAAAAAACGCTCTGGGATGGAGTGGTCTGCTCCATATTAAGGGAACAGCACAAGGTGGGATTGGGTTCAGCCTGGCTTTCATCTGTGGAGGAAAGCTGGACATTGGATTGCTGCTCGATCTTTGCATGACTCTCCTTTTCATGCAGAATGAGCAACAATGACAAATGCGAGCAGGAATCAAGCCTGAGACAACGGGCAAACAGTCCTGGTGAACTTGAATGTCACTTGCTCGCCCCACCACCATACAGGTGCAGTTTGATGAACGGGAGGACACGAAATTCTGTACCATCTTTATCAATGACGACGACGTCTTTGAGAACATGGAGAGCTTTACTGTGGAGCTGAGCATGCCAGCCTATGCCCTGCTGGGAGGCATCACGGAGGCCAAGGTCTTCATCAACGATGCGGAAGATGAGCCCACCCTGCAGTTCGACAAGAAAGTCTACCGTGTCAGTGAGAGCGCCGGCATTATCTCAGTCCCCATTGAAAGAAAAGGTATGTTGAATTGGAGCTTAGAGAGGAAACAAGCCAGCTCTTAGCTCTGCCCCCTTTTGGAACGGTGTTGAGCCTGGGTAGTCAATTATTATTATTATTTTTTGTTTAGTCGCAAAGTTGTGCCCAACCCATCATGAACTCGTGGCCAACATTCCTCCAGGCTCTCCTGTCCTCCATCGTCCCTCGTAGTCCACTCAAGTCCACACCCACTGCCCCAGTGACTCCATCTAGCCACCTCATTCTCTGCTGTCCCTTTCTTCTTTTGCCATCAATTGTTCCCAGCATGAGGGTCTTCTCCAGTGAGTCCTTCCTTTTCATTAGGGGGCTGAAGTATTTGAGTTTCATCTTCAGGATCTGACCTTCAGGGTTGATCTTGTGTAGGACTGACAGGTTTGATCTCCTTGCAGTCCAAGGAACTTACAGGAATCTTCTCCAGCACCACAATTCAAAAGCCTCAATCCTTCGGTGCTCAGCCTTCCTTATGGTCCACCTTTCACAGCCATACATTGCAACTGGGAAAACCATAGCCTTGACTATACGCACTTTCGTTGGCAGGGTGATGTCTCTCTTTTTAGTATGCTGCCTAGTTTTGCCATAGCTTTCTTCCCCAGGAGCAAGCGTCTTTTAATTTCTTGGCTGCAGTCCCCATCTGCAGTGATCTTGGAGCCCAGGAAAATAAAATCTGTCACTCCCTCCATTTCTTCCCCATCTATTTGCCAGGAAGTGAAAGGACCAGATGCCATGATCTTAGTTTTCTTAATGTTGAGTTTCAAGCCAACTTTTGTGCTCTCCTCTTTCACCTGCATCAAGAGGCTCTTTAGTTCCTCTTCACTTTCTTTCATTATGTCAAATGATTGCTCAGGTCCTTTTCTCATGAACAGCAACTCTGATCTGCTGATCTTCAGTTTGCGGGATCCCAACTCAGCCCTCTGAGGTTCCACTGAAGCCCCACCCCCTTTTCCCTACTACCAGCAGATAATTGCAGACCCCTATCCACGACTCGTCTGGGTGGATCCATGGCTGGCGCAGCAACCCTATGGAAAACTTGTGTGTAGAGATCATCCAAGAGTGAAAGCCAGAACTGTACAGTGTGTGAAGCATCCATTCATCCAGGATATTCTCAAAAAGAAGGGTCAAGCCCTCTGGAGCCCATTCTTTGGGAGTCCCAAGCAAGGCTGTCTCTTGAGGAGATAACCTGAGAACAGGGAGAATACTATGGGTTAGGGTCAAGGGTTCAAACCTCAAATCTGGCCGAGCCTGAGTCCCCAGATGGCCATGCCTTTCCCCAGACCTCTTATTTGGTGGTTTCCCAGCTTAGGCACAGTTTTTCCTGCCCAAAAAGCTTGACATTCTTTTCATAAGGCTTAGCAAGAACTTTAAGGTAAAATGAGGTGCAGTTGTGGACTCTCCCCTTCTGTCTGGGGAGAACCACCCACCTATTCTATTCACCTCCTGTTTCCATACACCGCTGGAATGGTGGCCCTGCAGCCTTCTCTGAAATTGAATTCAGCGTGTGGGCAGCAAAAGGTTATGTGCCCCTGGAGCAGACAGTGCCCTGCTAGAAGAACTAATCCTCATCAGCCGTTTAAGTGTGTGCTGCCTTTCCATCATAACCCACCTCCAACGTGATTCTCCGTAAAAGTGCAATCATAGATGCCCTGAGTGATCAGCATTAGGTGAAGCTGAGGATCAAGGGCAGAGCCCGACTTAACAGCCAGGTGATTTGGTGGGGGTCCCATGTACAGAGGAGAGGGGGGATGTGTTCATACCACATCTGAAATCTCTCCCTCGACTCCTGGGGTTTTTTTTGCATTCAGGCAAAATATAAGTGAGCATAGAATCAGCGAGGAATGTAAAGAAATTAAACTCCACGTAAGCCTGCAACCCTGTATTCAAAGTCCCATTGAAATCAGTTGGGTTTTCTTTGGAACAACATGGCGCAGGGTTGAATCATAGGATGGGACAATCCACAAACGGTTCATTCAGACCCTTAGCAAAGATTCTACTTTAGTATACCAGATTAAAAACAAAATGATGTATCAGTCCAAGTTAAATAACCACAAGCCAATAGGAGATCTCATTCAAGCAATTAATGAACTGCTTGTTTTAGGAGAAACCACCAAACATTAAATAAGTCTACAAGCAACTTATCTGTGGTCTGATGCTATGAAGTAGCACAGCATTACAGATTTTTGCAAGTGGTGGCCTTATTCTCTTGCTCAGCCAGTGTGATTCCTGTTCTAGAAAAGAACCGTTGCGAAGTGTTGCTGCGTCTTACGTTGCAGGCGACTCCACCAGCGCCGTGTCTGCGGTTTGCTACACAGTCCCCAAAAGCGCGAAAGGCAGCAGCGCATACGCCTTAGAGTCCGGTTCAGACTTTCAGTCCAGGGGAATGTCCAGCGAAAACCGCGTCGTTCTGGGACCCGGCGTGACAATGACGACCTGCGATGTCAACGTGATCGACGACAGCGAGTACGAGGAGGAGGAGGAATTTGAGGTGGTGCTTGCCGACGCGTCGGAGAATGCCCGCATAGGGGGCATAGCCGCTGCCAAGGTGCTGATCAGCGGGCCAAATGATGCCTCGACGGTTTCCCTTGGGACTGCCACTTTCACGGTCAGCGAAGATGCAGGTAAGACGCAAGGCTTACGGGGGCTCGGTTTACAGTGGTGGTGCCCCTGCAGAGCATGAGAGACCCCAGTCAGATTAAAGAAGATGCTGACCATTCCATTGACAGACATCTGGCTGGCTTAGGTGATGCCCTCCTGATCGGTATTTTAGTAATTTATTTATTATTATGTATTTATTAAAAGCTTCTCCAACCCGTCCCCTACAAATGTCTCAGGACGGCTTACAATAAATAAGTAGAATAAAGCAAACACCACAGCATCCGACAGTTAATATGCTGAAACCCCAGTTAGAATCAGTTGTGGAACAGTCAAGAATATTGGTTCTCGGGCTTGCATGTGAGGTTTTTTTATTTGATGAGGGAGACCAAGGTTTCTTTGACCAGGGAGCATTATTTTGCAAGATGAGAATTTTTATCACTTGCTGACCTTAATCCCAAACACAGAAACAGGGTAAATGCCAGAGCTAACTTGAGGCTACAGCTGACAAACCACGTATCCAGATTCACAGAACTTTGCTCACAAAACGGTGCAGCTGTTGCAACAGGAAGGAAAACACTGGAGTTATTAAAGAAGAGTTGTGCATGTATTTGCTTTGATTCGAAGAACAATAAAGATTTTATTAAATGGTCCACCAAGACCCCCAGCAATTGTCAGCTGGTGGTGGGTCCGAAATTGCTGTCCTAGACAAAATGGCGTTCTAAAGGCCCTGGTTTACTCAATCTCTGTACCACCCTCACCTCTTCCTCCCTTTCCCTTTCCCTTGGGCAGCCATTACAAGCTTTCTATAGAACATGCTTTCTCCATACCTTGCCCCATATGACCAGGAAAGAAAAAACTCTAAGAACTTACCTATCTCCATCATCAGTACAAGCTCCCTTTTGCAGGATAATTGCATCTTCATGCCCTGGCTCCATTTCTTGTTCAAGGACCAATACTTGTTTGGTTGCTAAAGTTTGTACACCAGATTCCTTCCATCGTGAAGCTCTGAATGGTCCCCCTTCCAAGTCTGACCAGAGCCAGACCTGCTTCTTGTCCCAACACCTTAGGAAATATCCAGCACATTCAGCCCTTCTGGATGGGGTTACCTACCAGCTGGTAATGGCTTCCTTGACATGGAGAACACCAATCATTTTACGGATTGCTTAAAGCAGAGAAGCAGCAGCCATTTCTCCCATTTTCCCTTTCCCCTTTTCTTCCCCTGCCCTTCGCTCCATCTTCCTTACCTTCCTTGCAGGGATTATTGAGATTCCAGTCATCAGGTATGGTCCTGATCTCTCTACCCCGACCTCTGTGTGGTGTGCCACTCGGACTGCAGACCCACCTTCTGCTACACCGGGGATGGATTACATACCCAGCTCCAAAAAAGTGGAGTTTCGCCCAGGAAGAACCGAAGAGGTATTGCACTCGGAAACCCCACAGTCCTGAACTAATTCACTGCCATGGGAAGTTGTGATGGAGTTTGGACAGCTTTAAAGGGGGAATGGGAATCCTTGCCCACACACGTGTGTGCATACAAACAGGATGACTAGGTTTTAAATTTTAAGGTGAGAACTTGTATTTCTTGTATCTCTCCTAGTATTGCACCTTGACTATTCTGGATGATGCACAGTCCCCTGTGATCGAAGGAGTAGAAACATTCGTAGTCTACTTGAGTTCACCGCAAGGAGCTGAACTAGCCAAGCCTTTCCAAGCCGTGGTGGCCATTAATGACACCTTCCAGGATGGTAAGTAGGCCAGCGGATCTTTATTTAAATGGACTCCTTCAGAAACACACTGAGGACTAGTGGCCTCCTAGATTGCATGCTCACACTGGATCACCCATGTGGTGGTACACAAGGCTTTCCTTCTTTTAGTGCAGGGTATGGTGGCGTGCAAAGGCTGCATGTGGCAGCTCCCTGCAGATGGGACACCAACAATTTTGAGCGCGGGGATTGGGTGTAGTAGTTCTCATGTCAGAGTTCGTGGCCAAGAGGCCCGCTGTGGCTTCTGTAGCAGCTCCGCATTCACTGAGCCACAAGTTGCTCAACCAGCACATCATTAACCTGTGAGATTCGCTGCCACAGGGTGTGTTGAGGGGAAGGCTGCCTGCTAGACTGGCTTTAAATTTATTTATTTAGAGAATTTGTATGCCGTCCCATCGCATAGCTTCAGAACGGCTTACATAAAATAAAATAAAACATAATACACATAAAATCCAGATCCACCCTGGCTGTAGATTAAAACCTATAAGCTGATATTAAAAGTTATTAAAATATTGTTGAAATAAAAAGGTCTTAGCCTGGCGCCGAAAAACAAATAATGACGGCGCCAGGTGGACCTCTCTGGGGAGCGCATTCCATAGGCGGGGCGCCACCGCAGAGAAGGCCCTCCTCCGGGTCTTTGCCTCCTAATGTGTCTCATGGAGGGTTCCCGGAGGAGGGCCTCTGCTGTCGATCTCAGGGGGCGGGAGGGCAAATATAGAAGAAGGCGTTCCTTTAGGTATCCAGGTCCCAAGCCGTTATAGGTAATAACCAGCACCTTGAATTGAGCCCGGACTTTGATGGGAAGCCTGTGAAGCTGGTAGAGGACTGGGGTTATATGAAAATAATGCCCAGTCCCCGTTAAAGGGGATTAGAGGAATTCACAACGGATGAATTGATCAGTGGCTGCAGGTCGTGATGCAGATGTGCAGCATCCAGACACGGAGGAAGCCTGCCTTGGGATTACCAGTTCCAGGGGGCAACATGGGGAGGGGGCCAGGCTGCTGAGCTGCACTTTGAACTTGAGTTGTCCAGAGCAGATGTTCCATCTGATGGGCTCTGTGGACTCCTTGGCAAGCGTGGCTCTGCTCCTTCAGCAGATTGCAGGCTCACGGGAGTGACTCCATGGTCCTTCTTCTTCTTGTGCCCGCTGCAGTTCCACATATGAAATTTAGCAAAGACGTCTACCCAGTGAAAGAGAAGGACAGGATCCTGTGCATTCCTATAGTCCGTACTGGAGACTTAAGCTATGAGTCCTCCGTTAGGTGTTATACCCAGAGTCAGACAGCAAGAGTCAGGGAAGACTTTGAGGAAAGAAGAAACGCTGAGGAGTCACGTGTCACTTTTCTGAAAGGGGAAAAGGTGAGAGAATCTGGCTGGCAAAGAGCACCTGTCTAAGGCAGGGTGGGCAGCCTGCAGCCCGTCGCCTCTGGGATGAATGCCTCTTTCCCAACAGCCTAGCAGGTGTGGAAGAAAAGAGAGGCAGGGAGAGAAGGGGGTGTCAGAAAGAGAGAAGGAAGGGGGTCTCCCTCTGCCCCTCCCCTTTTCTCAGCCCTGGGTCCACCCAGTGCTGAGTCAGCCCTGTCTCCTACCAATCTGAAGCCTCCAATGGCTTTCTCTCTTGGGAAGGCAACCTTCAACAGAAAAGGGGGTTGGCACCGGTGGTCTGTGAGGAGTACTTGGCTCAGGGCACAATCCAAAGCCCTCTGCCCTTGATGCATGCAAGCCTCTGAATCAGGAGGCTTATACATGCATCCAATGCCTGGCGCAAGCCATGCCAGCTGCCATTTCTGCCACCTTGTTTTCAGGCAAGGAATAAATTTCCCCTGTTATCTTCAAAGTCCTTGACTGGTTAGCATCCTTGGTTCCAGGTGAAAAACTGCACTGTCTTTATTCATGATGACTCTGCATTTGAGCCAGAGGAGAAGTTCCAGGTACACCTGAGCAACCCTCTCGGAAACCACTGGAGCGGGGCTACAATTGGGAAGAACAGCATGGCTACCATTACGATCTCCAACGATGAAGATGGTAAGAGGACTTGGCCGGTATCGAAAGATGCATCAGCCTTAAATGTACTGCCATAGTAGAACCAGGGCTCACAGGGTTAAAGTGCCACAATTTCCCTTTTTTAAGAAACAGGGACGATAATGCAATCTGCCGCCCTCCTCAGAAGTCCCTGCATCCTGCAAGAATATCCACAGTCTTTAAGATAGCTGGTTATCTGTATTTAATCTTGTTAAAACAAAGTCTTGCCACTCAAAACACGCCTGTGATTTCGGCAGTGCAGTCTTATACATGTTCCCCCAGAAGTAAAGGAACATGTATAAGACCGTTCCAGTGAGTTCCCGGAGGCTTACTTCTAAGTCAGTAGGTGCAGAAGAACTGCAGCCGGAATCGAAGCATTGTTCCCATCTGGAGAGAAGGCTGGCTGACCCGGGGCTCTTCCCTTCCTTGTTCCGTGGCTGCAGCACCCACCATCGAGTTCGAAGAAGCTGCCTACCAAGTCCATGAACCTCCTGGACCAGAGGGGGTCGCTTTCCTGAATGTCAAGGTGATCCGGAGAGGGGACCAGAACCGGACCTCCAAAGTTCGATGCAGCACACGCGATGGATCAGCTCAGTCTGGGATTGATTACTATCCCAAAAGTCGAGTCCTCAAGTTTAGCCCTGGTAAGACACGGAGTGCATGCGATGGACAAGAAGTTCCTTTGGATTTGGATTTGTAAAAATAAGCATTCTTCACTGACAAAATGCACCGTATTTTTCCATGTATAGGACGTGCTTTTTCTTAAAAACATTTACTTAGAAATGGAGGTGCGTCTTATACATGGGGGGCACGCTGGTGGGGGGAGACTTGCACGTGCCGGGGGGGGGGGGGGGGGGGGGGGGGCAGCAAGGTGCTGTGGGGGGAGCGGCAGCAGCTTGCTCGCTGGAGATGGGTAGGAAAAGTGGGGGGCATCCTATACATGGGGGTGTCTTATAGATGGAAAAATATGGTATTTGTGGTCACTTACTTGCTGCGTTTACTTCTCATGCTGTCTGGGCAGTGCATGGAAGGGCACTGCCCAAAGCCATAGAGCAAGTGCTGTCAAAAGTGCGAGCAGATACAGAATTAACGATTTATCTGGTTGCACTGGAGACCAAGGCCAAGTTCATCCACACTCTTGCGTTCCCTCTCACCATGCGAAAGCTGGATGGTGAAGAAAGTTGGCAGGTAGAAAACGGAGGCATGTGCAACATGGCGGTGGAGGAGAGCTTTGTGAATATCCTGGGCTGACAGAAAGGCAAGCAAATGGGTCCTGGAGAAAATCAAGCCAGAACGTGCCCTGAAGCAAAAATAGGGAAACTGAGACTGTCCCACGTAGGATGTATCATGCGAAGGCAAGAGTCCCTGAGAGAACAGTGGAAGGCAGAAGAAGCGAAGGAAGGCCAAACAGGGGATGGGTGGACAGACTCCGTCGAGGAAGCCCCAGCCTTGAACTTAGAAGAGCTGAGCAGGGCTGTCATGGGCAGGACATTTTGAAGGACTTGTGTTCATGGGGTCACCATAAGTCGGAGACAGCTTGAGGGTACATAACAAGAAAAGCAACATTTTATCAGTGTATGAAGTTGAGCCATCTCCAGACTCACTTATAACCCTTCCTTCCCACCTGCTCTCTTGCCCCAGAGCTGTCTTGCTCTAATCCCCCTGCAAGATCTTGCTGCAGTTAGACCTCTTCAGTTAGGGTTTGGGCACTCCGTTCAATCTGGGGCAAATTTTCTGGGGCTGTGTTTGAGTGGTGGGCAGGCTGAAAGGCAAGGTGAAATGCAAAAGATGCAAGCATGTTTTGACTCAAGGTTCTTACTGCTAGTAACTAACTTAGGAGAAGCATTTCAACTTTTGTAAATGAAGAAACCAGCTTTGGAAAAGCTGGGAAATGATGAATGCCCGGGGGAGGAGCAAGACTGTCAAAGAACCTCCAAAGGATTGAATCTGCCCTCAAGGCCTGAGGGCCAACACCCCTGCCTCAAAAGTCCCCCTAATTTCAGCAGGAAAGCAAACAACCTTCTCGGATCTTTCCTTTAAACACCACAGACCTTAAGAGTGCTCAGTCCCAGCAGGAAGAAGCGCCCTTGTTTCCTTCCTGCATGTTCTGTGACATTTTTCCCCCTGCTCCTTCCCCTCCTGCTCATCTGCACATAGCTGCCTCACCTGCCCCCCTTACTACCCCCTGCCCCCCCTATTTCCAGTGGCCTCTTTCTTCCCACAGCTGCTGCCATTCTCCACCCCAGTTGTTCCCAAAGTCCATTCTGCACCCCTTTGTCTGACGGGTTTTACTAGCTCTTTTCCAAAGTGTCAAAATCCATTGCAAAATCTCACAGGATCAGCTGTTCTGTGTGTATTGTAAAGCATCAAAGTAGACATGCCTCCAAGCAGGAATATTGGAGATATATTTCGGATCGTAGATTTTTATTAAAGTCAGACAGGCACCATTAATTCTTGCATGGCATTTGTTAGTAAATCTGCCAAGCAATCCATCAGTTTGAATGCTCTATTAAAAAAAAAAGTCTGGTTGGTCGAATCATTGCAGCCAGAGGGGTTCAGATAAAACCTGTGTTTGCTTTTAGCAAGATGGTTTAGTAGGTCCGACCTCAGCATCGCTTCATGGAAGCACTGAGATGACCCGTCGAATGACAGGCTGGTTCAACTCAACCCTCCCTCTTCATTTCGGTTCATGCAGGTGTGTCCCACCTTGTCTTTAAGGTGGAGATTATGTCCAACGAAGACCGGGAATGGCATGAGTCTTTTTCTCTGGTGTTGGGGCCGGATGATCCCATTGAAGCTGTCCTGGGGGAGATCACCACCACAGTCGTGACCATTCTGGACCAAGAAGCTTCTGGAAGCCTGATCTTACCAGCTGCCCCTGTTGTAAGTGGCTTATCTTGAACAATCAGCTCAGGCCAGATTCTTACATGTAAATAAAAGTAGGAACAAAACCAGCACAGCAGAGAACAAACTAGTCTGGAACCTTTGTCCCTGACGTGCTATATTTTTTCTTGCATGGAGGTAGGTTTTTTTGGCTGAAGAGATCACCCACCTGCAGCCTTAAGTGGTATAGTCCTTTCTGCTGTCTCAGGACTCTACCACCTCATTCTGCTGCATGTGTAGACACAAGCCAAGATGTGTAGATTTTATCCCACTGAGATTGTGGGAGGGACTGAGATGTACAGTTGGCTCTGGTTTAGGAAAACATGAGCTCACAAATTGGAGGTAAATTACACAGCAGAACAAATGTGTGTATCTGATGCTTGACAAAAAGGAGTGTATATTTGGCAAAGAGCATGCAGACTGGCGGGCAACTCTGCCAAGCACACTGATGTGGAGTTTTGGGTTGAAATGGAGGTATGATTTGCCTGTCCCCAGAGCCGGCCCACCCTATTCCATCCTGCATCTCTTGGCTTCATCATTGCTCTTTTTTCTTTTCTTTTTTTTTTAGGTAAGTAACTTTATACGTAACATTAAAGAGTTGTATCCAGCATAAATTTAATCAAATGTTTTTCTAGTCTGAAGTACAAATAAAGACAATCATATTGGCCATTTCCACTGCTCAGCTGGAGGTTCTTCAACTAAAGGCTCCCATCGTACCATTTTCCTGGCTAGATGGAGCTCACTTTCCGCCCGTGAAATAACTTCTTCTTATCTGTCCACAACTGATCTTATTTTCCAGTTTTTCCACATCAGGTTCTGTGTTTATCATATGGAACTGATCATTTACCATTTTCTCTGTATACCTCCTATACGCTGCATCTTTTGGAACGTTCTCCAGGGCATTAAGAACGTTTGTATAGAGTATTCTGAAGTTCTCATGTGGCGTCTCAGATGCAGCTGCAAGACCAGTGGTCTTCTTTGGGGCTCCAGCCATTGCAGAAGCTGCATGCTTCAGCATTGCTCCTGGCTCTTGGCCCAAAGTGGAGCCCCGGTCAGCTGCCGCCTTTAAGGAAAGTCCACATGGACAGTAGAATGGGAGGCAGCGGATTGGATCCACAAACCCTCCCCAAATGGACTGTCACTGGGGGCCATTGCCGTCGTCACCGTGCCCTCCGTGCTTATCTCTATTGCAGCTGGAGGACCGGCTGAAATTCCTGCCTGGGGGCCAGATGTGGCTTTAGGGTCCCTGGTTGCTGATTTCTGACATAAAGATTTCACCCCACATAATGAGCTGACATATTCCTGCTGAGAGCAAACAAAACCTTGGGTGACTTGCCCACACACTGGGTGATCCATGGGGTGAATTCAGTTTGGAGGAGAGCTTGGGGGCTGCTTGGGGGTCAGGACCAAAATACCAGTCTGTTGTCGTTTAAGGCCCTTGATCCCAGTGACAAAGTCTTTAGAAGAGGAATGTTAACCTTTTGGGGGGGATGTACCAAAGCAGGGAAGTCCACAAATGATTGACAGTCCGGGGAAAGGGGTGTGGCTATAAGGGGAAAATCAGAGGATGTGATTTGGACCCCGGATGAACTGCAGGTCTGAGGTTTAACACTTGTTACAAAGGGTCCTAGGCCAGTAAGAGAAATGGTTTAGTAGATGGTAAGAATGCACCTCTTCAGGCTCTGCGTTGTACTTCCTTAGATGGAGCAATCGCATAGCAACCTGCTTAGGGATTTCAGGTATGAGCCATCACCTGTAAGGTGACACGGCAGAGTTGTACAAAACCACACATGGGGAGGGAAAGGGAGAGCTTTTTCTCCCTGTGTCATAATTCTACAACTCAAAGGGGTCATCCCATGAGGCTGATTGGAAGGACATCTTCACACCTAAACTGTGGAATACGTTTCATGGAGGAAAAGGCTATAGAGAAACTTCGGGAGCTGCCTCAAATGCTTGGTCCATCCAGTCCAGTACAGTCAGCACTGGCACGCAGCAGCTCTCCAGGGTTTCAAGCAGGTGCTTTTCCTAGACCTACCTGGACTGAACTTGAGACTTATTGCAATGGTGCTTTGCCACGGAGCGATCAGTGGTTACTGGGCTTGGTGGCATCTGCTGCCTCCGGTGTCCAAGGCAATCATGCATTTGCTTATGTTCTCCAGCCGCTGGGGAGCATGGGTTGGAGGAGTGCTGTTGTACTCAAGTCTGGCTGGTGGGCTTCCTGTGAGCAGCTCATTGGTTTTTGTGTGAACAGTATCCTGCACTAGATGGACCTTTGGTCTAATCCAGCTTGGGTCCTTCTGTGGTTTCAGGTAAGGTTGAACCTTGCCTGGTGCAGGAGGGTCCCTCCTGTACCTGTGACAGGGCCCTCCTCTAGCACCTCGACTCTTCTGCTCTCATAGGTGGTCTCGCTGTCAGACTATGACCACGTCGAGGAAGAAACCAAAGAAGGCGCGAAGAAGGCCCCCTCTCCGGGCTATCCATTGGTCTGTGTGACCCCGTGCGATCCTCACTTCCCCAAGTACTCTGCCATGAAGGAGCGCTGCGACGAGGCTGGGATCAACCAGTCCTCCATACAGTTCAGCTGGGAGGTGGCTACCCCCACCGACGGGAACGGAGCCAGGTCCCCCTTTGAAACCATTACGGACAACACCCCATTCACCAGCGTCAATCACATGGTGCGTACAATGGGCAGCATCACATGGTGGAGGCGTTTGTTGGACCGTACCATTGCAAGACCCTACCATTGCAGGTGGAGGGGTGGGGAGCGCCAAGTTTATGCACTCCTCATATTGAACTGCATATAGTGAACTTCGGTGTCAGCGAGAGAAGGAGCCAAACGTGTGGGAATGGGTGGTTTGATGCAGCTGATGGGATCGTGTGGCTTCAGATTCGTTTGCCCAGAAGGGGTTGGGAGGAGATAGTCTTCAGAATCCCATCTCACCACCTGCTCTTAGGAACATAGGAGTCATTCCGCTGCGTTGGACCCAGATCCACCTGGTCCAGCATGCTGTTCTCACAGCTGCCATCCAAGCAGAACATGGGTCCAGCAGCACCAGCTTGTGCGGATAGACTTTCTGTCTCTGGGACTGGATCAGGGCTAGGAGCCATCGATGGCCTTCTCTTCTATGAATTTGTCCCATCTCCTCTTCAAGCTGTCAAATTGGTGGCCGTTGCAACATCCTGCGGCAGTGCATTCCCTAGTTTAGCTGCGCATTCTGTGAACAAGGCCTTCCTGAATGGCACAGCCATTGACTTCATGGGCTCTAGCAAGAAAGGGCGACAAATGTCTCCTGTCCACTTTCACCGTGACAGGCAAAATTCCACCCACCTCTAGCCTTTCTCCCCTTCTCATCTTTTTTCTCAGCTTAAGTGCTCTCTGCTCTTGTCACCGTTCTCCAGAGAGGGGGCGCACTGGCCCTGCCACTAACTTTGCTGTGATTTTGGCCACTGCTGCACTGACACGGGGCTTTTCTGGCGTACTGAGCCAGTCCACTCTGCCGCTCAGCCGGAGGCAGTCAATAACCCAGCGAGATCTCAGGCCTCTTCATGGTGGCCTTTTCCACTGGAATAGACCCGAGGCTGCCTGCTTGTTCCCCTTTACATTTTGAGGCTTAACTTTAATACATTGGCGGTACTGTTTCAGGCCCTTGAAAGTTCATTAATATTAATGAAATTGCCTGTCTGGGTGCTGACTTTAAATAAATATTAATATTTATTTATTTAATATAAAATACATATTTTGTTTTTTGTTTAAACATTTATATGCCGCCTGTCTCGCTATGGCATCTCTAGGTAGCTAACAACAGAAAAAATACTTTGCAAAGCAATAAAAAAATGGCATAAATTAACATAAAACGAGATAAAGTTACATTAAAAACAATACAAGTGGAAGGTTAGATAGTGACTAATGAATATTAAAATGTCTTTTAAAGAGGTAGGTCTTCGCCTGGTGCTGAAAGGAGTATAAAGGAGGCGCCAGGCAAATCTCCTTACGGAGAGTGTAGGGAGAGCATTCCAGATGTGGGGAGCAGCAGCGGAAAAGGCTCTCCTCCAAATGCGGCAGCCACCCGGCTCAGCTCCCTAAGGGAGGGCTCACGCAAGAGAGCCCCCTGCATTGCTCTCCAAGGCTGGGCAGGCATATATGTGCGCAGGCGCTCCTTGAGAGAACCGGGCCCTAAGCCGTCGAGAGCAAAGATGGCCGACAGTGATTCCTGCAGCACAGTAAAAGGCCGGTCACATGTAGCGCGAATTACCAGAAGACGGGGAGCGACAACCGTGCCAAGCTGAGAACACGCCCAGGGCAGCGTGAGGACCAGTGCGGGAGAGGCAGGCAGTGCTCTTGGTGGAAGCTTAGCAGATAAATAAAAAAAGAACGGAAGGCCATGGTGAGATGTTTGAGCCTTATCCAACTGGGTAGGTACCTACCGGGGTTCACAGCCCAGCGAGAGCCTTCCGGGCTCGCTCCTCCTCCTCTTCATGGCCGAACCCAGCTTGTTCTTGCTGCTGGCCTGCTCCGTGGCCTCCTGTCTGCTCTCCCGCAACCGTGTGGTGTGATCGTGAGAGGGAGGAGGAGGAGCACCAGCAGCTGGTGATGCTGGTGGCCAGAAGGACATCTCCTTGAGGGAGGGCCCCAGTGAGTGCTGCGTGGCCGGGGAAGCTGGAGCTGGCCCGGCCCCCAGAATCCTCCTCTCTTTTATCCCAGGTGCTGGACAGCATTTACTTCAGCCGGCGATTCCATGTGCGCTGCGTGGCCAAAGCCGTGGACAAGGTCGGTTATGCGGGCACCCCGCTGAGGAGCAATATTGTCACCATCGGGACGGACAGCGCCATCTGCCACACGCCCGTGGTCGCCGGAACAGCCCGGGGCTTCCAAGCGCAGTCATTCATTGCCACCCTGAAGTATCTGGATGTCAAGCGCAAGGAGCACCCCAATAGGTTAGGGGGCAGGGATCCCCGAGCATGGAGGGGTGGGCTCAGGGAGATTCTGCTCCCCATTGATTTTTACAGGAAGACGAAAGCAAGCAGATAAAGTTTTCTTTGGAATATACCAGGGAGAAAATGCTTTCATTTTTTGTGTAATATCAAATACAAAAGTGCTGGTATTTACTAAATGCCGCTTTATTTCTGCAGGTTCATGGGGGAGAAATTTTAATTCTCAGTTCTCAGTTGTTTACATGCTTTAAAATTGGCATTTCCAAACCTTCGAACATTAGCACATGGCTAACGAAGGGATCTGTGGCTGAAAACAAACGGGAGCCGGGGGGGGGGGGGGTGATAACTTGAGGATAAATGCGAATTCAAGCAAACCTGATTTTTGCAAGCAGTAACACACCAGGAAAAAAAGACGCTTCAGGGATATGAGGGGTTATCTTCATCTCCATGTGCGGTTATGTTGGGGAACGCACATTTCTCCTCCAACACACACATCCTTTGCACCCTTTCAGCAGACACAGACTTCCAGCAAAAAGATCCTGCAGCAGTGTGAACGCAGACTCTACCTTGCCATCAGTGTTGTCTGCGCTGCCTGAAGGGCACTGGATGCTCAGACCTAACTCTGGGTTTTGCTGGAGGGTGGCAGTTGATTTTTATGGGATTGGAGGAGCCAGCCGTGGTCCCTGAGGAGGCATCCCTGGGCCCATGGGAGGGTGCAAGACGCCCAGCTACACCCTTGAGAAGAAGGAATCCTGCTGCATCCTCACAAAGGGGAACAGCAAGGGAGAAAAATTATTGGTGTCATTATTACTTACTTCATTTCTGTAGCCAAAGCTCTCTGGGCAGGTTACAACAATCCATAACGCATGCAATAAAAGGTCATAAAATCAGGGGGGAATCGCTAAGTTAAAACAGAACAAACAAAAGCAAAAAGGGGCATGACAATGATGGAAGGAAAACAGAGATCTGCTCTTTCCACTGGCCATACGGTCCACAGCAGGGAGAGGTATTGAGACGGCTTCCTGGTCGAAAGTAATTGGTAAAGTGGGAAGTCTTACGGTGGCGTGACAGAGGCAGAAACACCTCTTGTTCTGTCTGCCTTGCCCGGCTCTTTTTGGAATGGCTTTGGAGTGGCCAAGGGCTCCTCTCTCAAAGTCCTCAGTCCAAAGGCTATCAGTCCAGGAGGATTAAACCAGCTAAGCGAAAGCTTGTGTTCAGATGCTCCACCTTCTGAATCCAGTTCTAACTCGCTCCTTGTTCTCTAGCTGCAACACGTGTGCCTTTTGTTCCCCTCGCCCTCTTCAATGCCTGCTTCTTTGTGACGTTCCAGAATCCACATCTCGGCACAGATTCCGCACCAGGACGGGATGCTCCCCCTCATTTCCACGATGCCTTTGCACAATCTGCATTTCCTGCTGTCGGAGTCCATCTACAGGCACCAGCACGTCTGTTCCAACCTGGTCAGCATCCAGGACCTGAAAGGCATCTCAGGTGACCAAGGGCTGGCGTCTCTGTGCCGGTGCACAAACTTGTTCCTCAGCCATTTCTCTCCTGGCCTCTTGCAGGCCCAGCCCAGATAAAGAGATGCCGTTCGGTAACTTTAAAAGCTGGATTTAGTGGTGTGACAGTGAGATGACAGAGGGTGCTCCTTTAGCTGTTAAAGTGCATTATCGCCCTTACTTCAATCCATATTAGCATAAAACCTTAAATTGAGCAAGATGAGTCACGAAAATGCAAGATTTTGAGCTCTGCTGATCTCTTCATCGGGCAAGATGGTATAAGAAGCAGGCGGCAGGGCTGGGAATTAGGAGTGAGGGGAAATGCTGAGAAAGTTGCAGCCATGATGCCAATGTGGCCGGCTTCCTCCGGTGCTGCAGAGGGGGAGGGTCCGCAGAAACTGGAATCCAGTCAGATCTGGAGACAGGAATGTTCCGGGGCCTCTGGGTCTGCTCCAGACAAGAATACAGCAGGCAACTGTCGTGCCTCCATTTCTGAAACTCCCGCTGTTAACTCAGAACGGAATAGGATGTCCCATCACATGCTCCCTTTCCAAAACATGGCCAGGAGGACGCATGGGGGACCTGTTAAGCGGCCTTAACCGAATGATGCCTTATCCCTAGCCGGCTTGCACTGTCTGCTTTAGCTCATCCTGTCCTCCCTTTTCCCCTGGTTTCCCAGTGCATGCTACTTCTGCTTGTGGGCCAGTCGTTCCAACTGCTAGGCAACTTTGTGGTGTGCCCTGTAATTGCAGTAGACTTTTTTCTCTAAGGATAGCAAGGTTGGGCCTGGGATTTTGAATTCCCAGCAATAAACCAAGGATGCTGGAAAACACAACACAGCCGATCCCTGGTGAGATATCCAGGAGTGCTTGACACTTCCCGCAGCATGCTAGGACATATATTCTGTACTATGCTGTGGTCGGGCCCTTAGTTGTCCTTCTTTCAGCCAAATTTCAAAAGTCTTCTGCACACAGTCAGTTTGGATCTCCTGTTTCTGGCAGCCTGCTGGCTGGAAGGGAGAGGGAGAGAGAGAAAAGCGGGTGGCAGAAAGGGAGGAAAGGGGCAAGTCACACACACTGGTCCCTCACCCTCCCCACCGTTGACCCTCAGCCAAGAAAAGGTGACCCGCCACACCTCCATGGCTCAGTGGGCTGTTTGGCCCTGTGAAAAGCATGCATTGATTTGCCTGTTGAAGCGGGAAATGTTTTGCAGCAGCAGGATGTTGCTTCTGTACAGGATGGGAAAAGTCTCCTTTGCTTCCATCCAGAAGGTGGATTCTTAGACCAAGTGACCTACAACGACATTGTCCGTGGGCCTGGCTATGATCGACCGTACCAGTTTGACCCCAGCGTGAGGGAACCGAAGACCCTCCAGCTGTACAAACATCTCAACCTAAAGAGCTGCATTTGGACGTTTGATGCTTACTACGACATGACAGAATTAATTGATGTCTGTGGAGGGTCAGTCACTGCAGACTTCCAGGTAACACTCCCTTGTTTTGGGGACAACTCAGGTAATTTTCAGTTGGGGAACATCTTCTCTTGCGTCTCATGGCTTCAGTAGGAAACATTATGGCTGCGGCCCTGGGAGTAGTCCTCACGAGGCTTACTTCTGGGAAGGTACAGGATGCCTTGTAAGAGGAAACAGTTGTAAGACTATATGGATTTCATCTGACCAAAAAAATAAAAAGTGCATGACTTTCCCAGAGCTCTAATTCCACCTATCCTGAGGCCGGGACGCAGGACTCCAGTGCATCTGCCTGGCTGGAGACAGAGATGGGCTTTATTATTATTATTATTATTAATTATATTTCTATACCACCCATAGCCGAAGCTCTCTGGGTGGTTCACAACATTGAAGTCCCCCATCCATATTCCAACCAGGCCTGATCCTGCTTAGCTTCCAAGATGAGGCGTGATCAGGCCCTTCAGGCTGCATGGAAGCTTTAAGAGGCTTATAGGTCTGGCAGATCTGTGGGTTGTCCTTTCCTGTCTCTGCCCACTGGTGTGCCCCTTTCTCCTCCTCCTTCCAAGACTGCGACCCCAACCTCTGCAGAGGAGCCACAGTGGAACATTCTGGTGGTGCCTTGGAGGAACCCTGAGCGGGAAATTTCCCCCTGAAGCGGGAAGACTGTCTACAGCCACGGAGGGGGGAAAACTCCACTGCAAAGGCAGCGGGTCAAGGCCCTTGGATGGCTTTCTAGCGTATGGTGGCTTCAGGAAGTTCGCAGAAGAGAGGTTTCCTACTTCTCTTCTCTGCAGCTAACTGAACCCTTTGAAAAACCTTTGGGGTCTTTTTTGCGGGGGTGTTTCCTCCTGCACAATGCAAGATGGGGCTCAGGGTATGGAGGGGGGTTTCACAAAAATTAGATGAGTTTGTCCTGGGAATATGTGCAGAGTACAAAGAGAATTCAGCAGCTTCTACCTCTAATAATACCTTTAAATAGGAGGCACTTGGGTATTCCTGAAAACAAAGAAACCCAAATTACCCAGTAATGCCAACAGCCCCAGAAAGCTGCTTCGCCCATCACCTCAGTTTCGCCATGCTTTGTTCAGAGGGAAAGATGGAAGGCCCAGGTGTTTGGTCATGCTTGCTCCAATAAGCAGCAATTAAGCCAGGGCCGGCCCTCCTGTGAGGTGGGGTGAATCGCCTGCCCTCAGCAGCTGAGTGGGAGGGGTGGCAGATTTCATGCAGGAGGGTGATGCCGAGCAGGTGTCCCGGCCACTTCCACTGTGGCAAATGCTGGTCTCATTGAGTGACCACCAGGCTCTGCACCTAAGCTTCCACTGAGGATTCTCAGAGCAACTCGGTGCCTGAGCAGCGCAGCTTCTTCAAGAGCAGTGTAGGCAATTAATAAGCTAGGCTACTAAAATTTGCATCAGTAAGAATAAAGGAGAATTTTTATACATTAGTATGGAAATGGTCCTTAGCCCCAGTGAAATTGAATTGCATAGACAGTAAATATTCTAATTTATGTTGGAGATGTGGCTGTGGAGGAGGTACGCATTTTTATAGGTGGTGGGAATGTGAATATATAATGAAGTTCTGGAAAGAGCTTTTTAAAGAGAGTAGTAAAACGCTAAGTTTAAATATTGAAATATGCCCTGAGATTACATTATTTTCAATATTTGATCAGAAACAATGGAGTTAGAATAATAAAGAATTAATAACAAATTTAACAACAGCTGTGAGATGAATCATAGCTAAGAACTCAAAAGTAAATTATGATTACCAATTTTGTAATTGGTATCAAGAAGTCTGGAATATAGCTATTAATGATAAATTAACGTGATTTTAAAGTGAGAAAGGGGGATATAAAGAAAAATAATTTTAATGAGATTTGGGGTGCATTTATTGAATATATGTTTAAAACAAGGAAAGGATTTGAACTTTTTCAAGAGTCACTGATATTTTGGAAGGGGGAAATTTCTTGAAGGAATTTTTGAATGAGTTTTCAACATGTTCTGCATGGGGTACACCTTGTTTTTATGATTTATTTTAATTATATGTTAATGCGACATGTTTTACTGGAAGTTTTTCTTTGAATTGTAGTTAATTGTAACATTAATTAAAAAAATTAGGCTATAAAAATGCTCATTGCCTCCAGGGACATGCCTCCCACATGAGCTGACTCTGGGGAGGGATCCCATCTGAGCCAATGTTCCCAGCCAACTCTCTGGAGAGCTGCACTGACCCCTGGAGCTCTTCAGAGAGCACCTGTAGCAGCAGCGATGTGCAGGTGGGTGGGAAGATGCACAGGGGATGGGAGATGCAGCTCAGCGTGGGATGTGGGTAGGAAATGTGGTACAGGAGAAAACGTGACGGCAGCCGTGGTGGGTGGGCAGCCGTGGCTCATGCAGCAGCCCTGAATAACATTCAAAGGAAAGGCACCCATTTTCTGTGATAGCTTCTCAACTTCCTCTCCAAGAGTTGCAAGAATTGTACAAAGAGGGATCACAGCTCTTGCCTTTTCACATCAGTCAAAGTAGAAAGTATGATATGGATGGAACTGTGTGGTTTGGATCTGCATCTCCCAGAATAGAGCATTCCTAGGTGGCTACCTCAGAATCTGAATCAGAACTGGGAAAAGAGGCAGGATTAGGATTCGTGGTGGAAATGCCAAGGGCAGCCAGGCCCAACATATGCCCGAATGTTGATGAGAATCAAACCATCTCTTGTTCTCAGGTAAACACCATTGAACAGGCAGAGATAGAGGGAGCAGATATAACTTCGTGAGTCCTGGAGTCCAGCATCAGTTCAAAGAAACGGACCAGTTGGGTAGCACCAGGTCTTCCTGTGTTGTGTCTAACGACTTGGAGGAGGCGTTAGCACACGAAAGAGGGCCAGAAGCCCCCAGCGAGGATCAGACTTTAGAGCAGGGAGATTTATACTTGGTGCCCATGGCACAAACCCCCCCCCCCCCCCGGTCACCTGACTCTCAAGTTTTCGAGCAAGTTCCTGGAAATCAGGATGGATAGTTGGTTGCCATGGAGAGTGCCCAGCTGAGGAGGAGACTTCGACGCTTAGACCAATTAGAAGAGAGACAAAGCAAGAGAAGGAGAGAGAGAGACGCTTATCCAGCCCCCGTAGGGACGGACGGACTAGGAGATGAGAAAGGAGGGGGCAACTGTGTTGCTCTACGGTAGCTCCTGCACTATCTGTCGTACACGTAGATCTTGTAGTCATTTGGAAGAAAGGTCTTAGCTTTTATTGCCTGCATCTGTGTGAGTAACTGGGACGTGAGTTATGGCCTCACGACATCCTGCCGTCTGGCCCACAAGTAGTGGAAACTGCCCTGAGGGTGGAGCTAACTCCTTTTGGTTGGGGAAGGAGATGTGCCTGGACCCAACTTCTTAGCAGGAGTCATATTACCCTATTTGGCTGGCCCCCTAACTTCGCTGATGTCTTCTTTTAAGAACCTCTGTAATGCATCTTTTGAATCACAAAGCCAGCCCGGCTAGCCCAGTGCAGCGTACTGAAGAAGTCTCTTGTCTGGATCTGCTTCGAAGGTGGAGGGGAAGGCCGGAGCGTGGATGGTGGAGGGGAAGGCCAGAACAACAGGAGCATGGCTGTTGTTTATCTCTTTTCCTTTCCAAAGAGCTTGGGGAAGAAACCGTGGCCCATTTGCCACGGTTTGGACCAACGAGATGTGGGTGCAGGTCTCACCTCAGCACCAGACTGCTTCGCGTTGTGTGATCCACTGACCCCGTTCCCCACTGCTTGGGTCAAAAGAGAGGCGCCTTCTGCGCGTGGCTGGTGGAGGCACTGAAGTATTTCTCTCTGCCTCTGCGATAGGTCCGAGATTCAGCCCAGTCCTTCCTGACAGTCCACGTGCCTCTGTACGTCTCCTACATTTACGTGACGGCACCCAGAGGATGGGCTTCCCTTGAACATCACACTGAGATGGAGTTTTCCTTCTTCTATGACACTGTTCTGTGGAGGACAGGTAGGTGGCCAGGCCGTTTCAGAGGCAGCTGGTACCTCTGTGAGGCTAAGCAGGGCTGAATCTGGCCAAAAGCCTGGATGGGGGTCTGCCTGGGAACTCCACGCAGGGTATTTAGTCTACACTTGGTTATATTGCAGTCCCACTTTCCCTGCAAGGGGCCAAAGGCTGTATATATGAATCTTCACTGCATTTCATCCTCAGAACAACCCAGGGAGGCAGGTTAGGCGGTGAGTCAGTGACTGGTCCAAAGTCAGCCAGTGAGCTTCATGGCTGAGTTGTGACTCGAACCCAGGTCCTCCAAGACCCAGACTGACATGTTAACCACCGTGCCGCACCTGCATTGGATTATTCTTCAGTGAAAGTCAAGCGGCAAGCAGGGATCGCTAGCTTGCTGCACTGCACCGGTGGCCTGCAGTCATGCAAACCTAGCAAACCAGCAGGGCCAGTCCATGCCTCTTCACCCAGGAGCCGCTGTGGTCAGTGAGGCTTACTAGCAGGTGTGTTTAGGATTGTGGGCCAAATAGAAAAGTGAGCTTTGTCAGAAACAAAAGGTAGCAAAGTGGAGGAAGGGAATCTACTGGTCGCAAGACAGGTAGTTCATAGGTTCGGCAACCTATGAGCACAATCCTACAGGGATGCCTGACACCCTCCAAATTCCAGGATTACAGGCCTATGCAGGGTGGGAGGAGGTGAAGATTGTGCTCCTTCTGCTCTGCAAAACAGGCAGGTGGCTGATTGCAGTTGTCTTAGCTGCAGTGCTTCAAAGGGGGGGGAGGCCAAAGGGCTGCCATGACAGAGGTCTCTTCCTTGCCTCCAGAACATCCACCGGACCTCTTCTCCGAGGTCCCTTTTGCCACCTCAGCGAAGCAGCTAGCACAGCTTGTTCAGGCTGGAAGTTTTAAGATGTTGCTCACCCCGAGCAGGATTGCTCCCCGACATTCCTTGATTCCTCCAATGGCTTGTTTCATGTCCTGCAGGTATCCAGACAGACAGCGTCCTTTCTGCCCGGCTGCAGATCATAAGGATTTACATCCGAGAGGATGGCCGGCTGGTCATTGAGTTCAAGACCCATGCCAAGTTCAGAGGTAACGCATTCCCCAATGAACAATGCTGCAGTGAAGCCCTTTGGAAGAACATGGTGGTTTCTGCCCCAGAATCCCCAGCCTAAGTCCAGATGTGCACAGAGGTTTTTCCAGGGTGGGAAAGGGGAGCTCTGCACAGCTTCAGAGGTACTCCTCTTTGGTGTTTCTTTGCTAGTCCAAGGGTTAAGCCCAGAGGTGGCCCAGAGGGTGAGTCCCACTACTCCTGGCTTAAGCTAAATCCTGGAAGCAGAGTGGTGATGGGGATCAGAGGGATCTCTAGACTGCTGGCGTGTGCCAAAATGCGGAGACCACAGGGTATTGCCTGCCTGCCTTCCATGCATCCTGCTGCCTCTATGTCTCTTGAGATCCAGGGCCAGTCTCCCGATGGTGCCGCTCTCCATCGCAGTGGAGGCTTTTAGCCGGGCAGGTTGGTGCAGCGCAGGCCAAGACATCCTGGGCTGCTCAAGAGTAGGCCCAGAACCTACCAGAAAGTAGCTGGTCTTGGGCAGATGCTGCAGATGCATCCGTTCTTGCTCGAAGCCATAGCACAACTCCAGATTCTGGTTGGGTGCAGCTCTGCTCTGCTCCAAATAGATGTTCAAAGCTGCAAAGGATCATGTGCCGGGGAGGAGGAGGAGGGAGGTGCCTTGTTAATACAATAAGCCAGATTTGTAATCCAAGAACTGGCAGACACCAAGTTGGAGGACATTCCTGTGTATATTGCTGAGATAACACCCGGACCCTCCAGATGTTTTGTGCTTCAGGTCCTGTCAGTCACAGGCACCCTGGCCAGAGGCCTGGGGGAGTGAATATTTGGATGGGTGAGGAGATGAGCCTTCCCCAGCCTGGTGCCTTCCAGATGTTTTGCACTGCAGGCTTCCGCATGCCTGACGGTTGTCCACACCATGAATATGTTGTGTTACGAATATACTTGCCTCCTGTCTTCACAGGGCACTTTGTGATGGAGCACCACACCCTGCCGGATGCAAAGTCTTTCATCATGACTCCTGATCACCTCGGAGGGATCGAGTTTGACCTGCAGCTGTTGTGGAGCGGCCAGACTTTTGACTCGCCTTATCAGCTCTGGAGAGCAACCAGCTCATATAGCAGGTCAGAAGCAACGCTATTGGCTGCCGCCGAAGCCGCTGGCAGCGTTAGCCCGTCCTCTGTTCCAGTCAAAGGATCACGTGGAGCAAGCAGGGCGGAGGAAGGCCGGAGCATAACATGCCTCACCCTGGGACGGTGGAGGAAGTGCAACAGGCTGACCCTTGCTAGCGTCTTGCTCTGGGGTTCCTCCTTTCACACATGCAGAACTCAGGTTTTTCTTGCAAAACGTTCTTTATTGACTGACGTGATTTCCAGAGGCACAAACACCCAGAAGGAACCCCAGAGCATGCACAGAGCGGTTTGTTGAACCCAATCTGCTATCCACCTCCAAGGGCTTTCCTTGTGAGCATGCCTGGGGCCCTTCCCTTCGGGAGGGACCTTTTGGAAATGAGCATGCTTTCTCGCTGAATGCCGATCATTTAATTGGGCTGCCCTCCTCTGCTGACACTGGATCATGGGCTCGAGAGCTGTGTGCGCCTCGTCTGTCTTTCAGAAAGTCCCCTGTTCCAAGCCCCCTCCCAGTGGCTGCACATCTTGGCTATTCTCAGAGGCCACCTGTGCACCTGGCAAGTCTGGTGGTAAGAGAAGCGCCTCTCCTTCTCTGCATCTCAACCTCTGGAATTGTCCCACATGCCCAGACCTCCTCCTGCTCTTCCTCCGAGTTCCAGTCAGGTGGTCTTGGGAAGGCATGCCAGGAGCAACTGTCTTTCTCACGCCCAACAGCTAGGGATCCAAATTAGGGATTTGGAGACCAGGACATTTTTTAGGGTCTGTAGGACATCTGTGGGACTGAGGGCAATTCATCCCCATCGACTGACCACATTACTCAGCAGCACCCTTCGATCACTAGAAGTTGTGGTGATGGAAGAACCAGCTCTACCTGGGTGCTCTTTTAGAGTCCAGATTTGTCACGTGACCTGTCAGCCTCCCAGGGGTTCAGAGGGCGTTCAGGCCAATTGCTAATCCTCAACCCTGTTTCCGTGCTGGCGTTTTACTCTCTTTGAAGTAGCAGCCATTTTGTCCCATAAGCAACGCTTTTTAGGTTATAAATAGCTTGCAAATCAATCCTGTTACTATGGTGCCTCCTTTCTGTTTCCAGGAAGGACTACTCGGGAGAATACACCATCTACTTAATACCATGTACAGTGCAGCCTACGCAGTCCTGGGTTGATCCGGGAGACAAGCCCTTACCCTGCACTGCTCATGCTCCAGAAAAGTAAGGAGATTTTTGCAGCTTGCTCCTCCTGCAGGGAATATTTATCACTTTGCAGTAGTATATTGATTGATGATTTATTGTTATTTGCATTGTTATAGAATGCCCTTCCTTGTCCAGTCACAGAAAAGTGTGAAGAGTGCATTTAAATGACAGTTCAGCTGCAATACAATGATCAACAACAACAACTTAACTGAGTTAAAACTGGAATTAGTTTTAATTAAAATTAATGCTTGGGTATGCAGGTCAGTTGGCAAGAGTACACCATCCGTGGTGCCTGCAGTGGGAGAATTGCGAAGGTGGGGCACCACGGCTGGAAAGACCCTCCCCTGCCAGATGTACTTGTGGGAGGCCTGTACACAGAATCTCAGTGAAGGGACAGGTTGATCTGGGAGAAGGGGGAGGGAAATAAAGAAGTGTAAAGAGAACCTGCTCCTCTCTCCATACAAGCTAAAAGCAGTTGCTTCCTGTTCTGACCAAGAACTGGTTCCTTCAGGACAGATTGGGTGGGATTGGATATCCGTGTCTGAGGACGTTTGGATGGGGAGCAACCTAACAACAAGCACCCCAATGTCCCCAGTGCATCCCTTTAACTTGAAGATGCCAGATGTTCCGGGGAAGGTGGTGGAGGTGGCGAAGAAGCTTTTATACACAAAGAGCGTGGCACCTTCGGGATTTCTTAGGAATTACAAGCCCTCCTCCTCCATGCATGGATGCCTGCACTCAACCTTAATGATGGATATCTTTCTAGCGTCTAATAATCAATAAGGTTCATTCAAACACAAGCTTTGAAAAAATACTATTTTGTGGCCTACCAGGTAGTCCTGTCTCGTTGCAAAACTGCTTGTTTACAGATATTCTTGCTCGTATGTGGCACTGTTTCTGTGTTCGCTAACAGACAAATTACTGATGTAAAAAAGCAAATCATGGTTTGTTGGTTTGTTCATGCAAGCAGATGACAAGAACAAGGGAAGGAGACTATAAACCCTTCTGCTCAAGGCGCAAGAACATTACACTTCCTGCAATATATAATGTTCTTTTCCTTGCTTCCACTTCGAAGGGAACTATGGGCAGAGGAGCCTTGTTAGCTGCCGTGCCAATTTGCTCACCCCAAACCGAGCCTTTGACAATATTCCTTCAAAGACATCTTGCTGTCGGTCTAACGGTGGTGCTGAAAAGCCAGCACCGTGCAGGACAAGAGGGGCTGAGAGCTGTGATCTTGGGATCACGGCAGCCTAAGCACCGCTTTGGATGATACGCAGAGACATGGCGGATGCTGGACACCGTTGGCACGTCGGCAGCCCGCTCCAAAATGCGGCAGGGAGGAGGAACGTCTGCTAACAATTTAGCATCATCGTGGAGCTCTCTGGATGAAGCTCTTTTCCCAGAAGAGTAATGATGCTGAGCAAGTCCAGTTACAGATCAACACAAAGGGGTAGAAGGAATAGAAGTAGAAATAGAATAAAGAAGATACGTCTTGTCCTTATTTCTTACGGTCTTTGCATGCCTCACATAATCTTCAATTTGGTTTCTTAGTCGGCTCGGGCAGAGTAGATAAACCTGAGCTAGTGCTGCTGTGTAAGTTGTTCTTGTTCCTCGACATTGCAACAAAGGCTTGTATAATATTTCCAAGAATTTGCAGATCTGAGATACAGTGTCTTTTGTAGGAGGCTTGATTTTAAAACACTACTAGATAAGAATAAGAATTAAAATGAATAACTAAGCAGATAATAAAAATAAACTAAAACTGAGGTTGCTCAACAGAGAGGCTGTTGCTCTGTTGCCATCTTGGAATCTCCAGGGGAATTTCTGCAGGGGAAAGACCTGCAGGGGTTGCCAACTGCTCTTCAGGCTCAGTTCAAGGTGTGCTTCTACCTTTACGGCACAATCCTATACAGAAAGACCTACACCCCCCAGCGTTCTCCAGCCAGCCTTGTAAGGAGGTTTTCTCTGGCGAGACATGACAAAGTTGCACCCTAAATATGCATCGAGTTGCACCATTAATGGACCCGCCCATCTGTCTCACCATGAATCTGCTGGATCATTAGATCTGCAGAAGAGGCTCCATTACGCAAAGAGGACTCTGTTGGCCTTGCTAGAAAATCTTCTTCTGTATGGCTCTCAGACTGTGGGATGCACTCCCGCAAGACCCACGATCGGTTCTCCATCCCTTAGCTTTTACAAAGGCTGTGAAGACACTTTTTTCTAAATTACCCTTTCTCTAGTTGTATGCTATTTGTAGTATTTGCATTTTTGTTGTGTTAGGTAGTGTCACCTTAAATTGTTGTTTACTGCTTTGATGTCTTTTTAGCAAATCAAGCAATATGCACACATCAACAATAAATGAATGGCTGTTTATTTATTTCCCAAATACATTGTGGGAGGTCTGAGCATTCATTCACTTATGGCCAAAAAGTGAATGGGGGAAGGAACCCCAGGCAACCTGGTATCTTCCAGGTGTTTTGAATGGCATGTCTTGTCATCCCGGAGCATTGATTATGCTGGCCGGGGATTATGGGAGTGATGGGCCAAAATATCTGGAGGACACAAATCGGCTTATTATGTCTTGTGGACCATGTGCCCACTCTTGGAATAAAGCCAACTGAGGTGTATCTGTATAATCTGAAATTTCTGTCTGGAAGCTTGCCTGCCTCAATTGTTTTCCTTAAGGAGGGGACCCTGAAGCTGAGGGCTGGGCAGAGTCAAGGATTCTTGTATTGAATGAACCCTACAGAAAAATGACTAGGAGATTAAGATTCAGCAGGTAGTGTATTGTACTTGCCCAGTTTCCAAAGGCCAGGATAGGTTCTTGAAGCCATAGCAAGACCTAAGGAGGAGCACCAGATGATTGCTGCCTTCCCCAGTCAGCCTGTAGATAAGGGCTGCTTTGCTGTGAGAACAAAACTGTTTGACTTCTTGAGATAGCTTCACCCCACCCACAGCCTGTTTTCTAGGAAGGGGAATTGGATCTTTTGTACCTATTAGCAGGCTCTGCAATAGTGGGAGAGAAGAACTTTATAAAATCTGTGGCAAGAGGCCCTGTTTTTTGTTCTCCACACAGGGAGAGGAATTGATGCCATTTTGGAAGTCCACAGAGCATTCCCTGGCCAATAAGGCCACAGGGAAGCCGTGGGGGGGGGGGGGGCGTGTTGTAGGCTTGCTTGCTTTTGTTTATACGTTGCAGCCATATTTTTTCCTTGTATTCAATAAACTGTATGTCATCATTCACACAGGCAGTTTAATTTGTAATGGCTGCCCACAAAACATGTCGCTAACAGGCAACTTATAAATACAGTAAATAAATAAATCCTAAATATTGTCCAAGCTGAAGTGAGGTGCCTCAGCTAAACCAGCCTTCCCACCCCACCAGCATTAAAACGCCCTAGCTGATAGATGATTTTATTTCTGAGTTCCCTGAGAAATACACAACAGCACATAACACACGGTAAAATACAGTGTAAAATGCAGTCATAGCATTTCACTGGGGAATGTATGCAGACAACTGAAATAGCTAGCATGAGTTGAAGCAAGGCCTGTGATCAGCCGGCAGACTAATTAGGGTTGCTCACTGCCTTGTCCCAGAGGGCATTTGCCACAGTGCCAGTTGGAGGAGAGCCCTGAATATTGATCAGAGTGTCCAGACGGTGGCTGGGAGAGGCGTCTCAGCAGGTGCTGTGATCCCAAGGCACCCCACCCTTCCCCAGGCAGGCACCTTCCAGATGCTTCCAGATGCTTGGGACTACAGTGGGGATTGGAATCCAGATTGTCTGGAGGGCACCAGATTAAGGGGGGCTGAAGTCGGCCATAAGAAATGGTGGTGCCATGCAGCCCAAGAAGATAAAAATCAGAATGTGAAGCAGCCACCTTGGCAAAGGCCGTGTAGAGTTGCACAGAGGGCGGGGAAAGTGTGACTGACACGCTGCCTTCGTTTTGAGGTTGTTTCATTGTCCCCCCTTTCTCTCTTTCTTTCTTCCCCATTTAGATTTTTGATTCCAATTGCCTTTCAGCAAACAAACCGTCCGGTTCCTGTCGTGTACTCCCTGAACACCGAGTTTCAGCTCTGCAACAACGAGAAAGTGTTTCTGATGGATCCCACCACACTGGAAATGTCCATGGCGGAGATGGACTACAAGGGGGCTTTTTCAAAGGGTACGGTGTCCGCTTTCCCACTGGATTGGGGTGCTGTTGTTTTAGGTATTCCTTTTCCTAACAGAATTACGCACTGGGGTTTAATGCCCTATCCGTGAGATTGTAGTCTTGACTAAACAGAATGTGAGTTGGACACGTCTCCTGCCAGAAGCCAGTTTTATAGCTAGGCAAGTATCAGAAAGTGATGTGTCAGCCTGGAGTGAAAGTACAAGGAGGTGTTTGCTATTGAGCAAAAGTGCTCATCTTAAATTGCAGCTGGGGCATAAAGGTGGGCCAAGATGTAGCCATAGGCCTATGTGTCCTGCGGTCAATTTGGCCTAGAAAAGGCAAACCATTCATGTACACAGTGGCTCACTCACAGTCCAGAACGTCCTGCAAAGGTTCCATTCAAGCACCAGCTACATCACGCATCCCTGTGGACGCTGAACATGGCTGGTAGCTTCTTTTAGAGCCAAGGTGTTGCCTTTCTTATCCAGAACCTTGGAATTCAAATCCTACAAGAAAAAGGTGGAAGGACGCCCTAAGGACATCCTTCCAGAACCAGAGGTATTGGGCTGCAACTCCTGTTACTTCTTGGCCATGATGGCTGGGCATGATGGGAATTGCAGTCTAACCTCCAAAGCACACCACGTCCAGGAGGGCTTCCCAGCAATTGATATAGTGGCACCCAAAAGAACGATAGAATCCCAAAGGCCATCGCTTGGCCATGTGAGTGGCAAGGAGCCATAGAGGTTAAACCCTTGTAATGTGCATATACTGTAAGACATGGTTGTAGAAGCTTGTGGAGATGCCTTTTTATAATTTAAAAATGTGTAAGATTTGTGAAGTTCTCATGAATATTCACTTTCCTTCAGGGTCTCCCTATACTTTCCTTTCCATCAAGCCCCAGAGCTAGGAGTCAAAAAAAATATTAAGCCCATGAAATATAGATAGATCCCCTCCCCACTTCTTTCTCTCTTTCTCCTTCTCTCACCAGCCAAACATTGCTTCATTTTCTTGGATCCATAATTAGTTCCGCCAGTCCAGACCAATCTGGACATGCAAGCAGTCCTTATGCCAATCCTATAGGGGTGCCAGTGATGTAGTACCAAATCGAAGAATTGCATCAACCAGACTCTTTGTGTATTTACTTTCCTAGGTCAGATCCTCTATGGCCGGGTCATGTGGAACCCTGAACAAAACCTCAACTCTGCCTACAAACTGCAGCTGGAAAAAGTGTATCTTTGCACTGGGAAAGATGGCTATGTGCCGTTCTTTGACCCAACCGGAACCATATATAATGAGGGACCCCAGTATGGCTGCATCCAACCCAGCAAGCTCCTGAAGCACAGATTTCTACTGCTGGTATATAATATATTTGTAGCATCCTTAAAGAGGTGCTTTGAACTGTCTCTTCCTTGGACTTGGGATGGGTACAGACCGTCACTGAACCACATGTTTGGCTGGGTGGTACAGAAGACGATTGCAGACTTTTAACAAGTGGTACCTTACCAGACTGCAAAATCAATTATTTGCTAAACCATAGGCCCACTTCACCATTAGGTAAAGTGAAGCCATCTCTCTCAGGTGGCAGATTTGGGAGTATTCATTAAATACCAACATTGTGAGCCCCTCCTTTTAAGCAGAACAGGACAGAAGCTTTCTCACTAATAGCCGTTTATGTTAATACTGACCAGACAGGCCTGTTCTGTGATACAAAAGAAGAGTCTTGCAGAAAGTTACAAGAGACACAAGCCTGGTTAGAATGTGACTTAAGATATGAAGTGGATTCCAGGCTGAATCCAAGTAGATTCCCCTCCTTCCTTCCCAACTAAAAGAGCTGACTTCACTTTCAAAGTAGATCCTGCTGCATATCAGCCAATCACCTGGGACACCTGACACTTCCCAGTTGGTCCGCCCTCTTGACTAGATGCTCACAGAGCACATTGGTCCCTCCCACTTCAACTTGTGCACTCAACTTTCCCACGGAGTTCGGAATGGTCTGATCCTTGGCAAAAGCCTTACTTATCTCTAGGTCCATCGGCTTGGAAAATCAACTGAGACTTCCAGTTGTTCCTCCACTTCTAAAACAGAATCCCACGTCAATGATCTTTGAGAGCTGCATTATAGGAGTACTGGGCACAATCCCTGCAGGAAGTGATGGTGCTAGTGATGTTTTACTGATGTGGCATTACAAGGGCAGCGGGACCATTTGGGTTTTCCGCTGCGAGCAGGAAAAAGTGTTGGACTGATTCTGGTAAGCTAGTTCTGGATATCATTCCGTCAAGTACTTGTTCACAAAGCAGCTACACCAGATGCCTAGTCAGCTACATCCAGCTGACTTCAGAAGTTAAAAGGTATGTGAGGAATTGTAGAGGCCTCAAAACTGGAACTCAGCTTTAAAAGCTCATTTTCTGGGGTCAACATGCAAAGGAATCAAATTCAGATCCTAGAACAGCAGTTTAGGGCAAGGGCAAAAACAGAGATGGCTAGATTATGAACTTATGCATATGACCTGCAGGTATGGAATTTGCCATTTGTGACTGGTTATTTTTGGGAAAGCGAGCTTCCTGAAGTTCCTTAGACCATGTACTTAGTGTGGTCCTGGGTTCCATCTCCTAGGAAGCTACTCTGGCTCAAAACTGTTCTACCCTGGCTAGAAGTATCCATGCAGAAATTCAGAGGGGAGATTTGCAATGGCCCCGAGTTCCTGGTGAGCCTTTGCAAGGCGCTTGCCGGGAACCAAGCCCTGCACACTGCGCAAGCAACGCCCTCTTCCGCAGCACCTGCAGCAGCTCAAGCAGCCGCTACACGTGGTGTGGAAGAGGAGCGCTGCCCGTGGTTGCATGGGGGCCCATGCCTGGTGAGCGCCACACACCGCTGACAACATCCCTCTGCCGTGCCACTGCATCTGATGTGGAAGAAGGTCGCTTCTCGGACCAGCTTCGTCCCACGGACGTTCATGGACCGCTCCGCTTGGCTTGCTTTGCAAGATGTGGCCAAGCATGAGGGGAAGTCTGTGAAATGCTAGAGGAGCAGAGGGCACTGGGCTCCCTCCCAGCCCTGCCTCTGAGCTCTGAGCCCCTGCAGTTAAAAGGACCGCCAGTAACTTCTCTTGAGACCTTGGAGGACTTTGGCCTGTCAGCGGCGCACAATGCTAGGCTGGGATGGCCAGTGGACGGGCCCCATTTTCTCAGGTCCCTCTGCTCCCCAGTGTGCTTAAGTGCAGCAGGGACGGAATTAGGGGGAGTGACAAGGTCAGGCTGCACCTTTCTGACGATGGAAACATAGACCATAAAATCATAGCGTTGTCCCAGATAAAGACTCGCCGCCAGCTAGCTAGTCCTCGATTTGAATACTTGCGCTACACAAATCTTGGCTGATTGCAGTAAAAGCACAAGCCTCCCAATATTTGGAGAAAGTATTCTTTTAAAGAAAGCATAGCTTTTATGAGAATTGTCTGCATCCCAAGTGTCCCAGCAGCATTGCTGAGTCACTTTAGGATCAGGGGGAACCACGGTTGCAGTGGGAAGAAAGCACATGCAGTGCAGTCGGGGTTTAGGTGCAATGCCCCCCCCCCGCCCCCCGGTCAGGCTGGTAAAGACAGAGGTAAAGAACTTCTTTGAGAGTGGGACAATTAATCTGGAATAAAAGCCATAGATTAGAATAGGGCAATTGCCCCAAATCTGAGATCGGAACACAGTAGATCGGTAGGGTGCCAGCTGACTTCCCTCTGCCAAGCAATGTTATATTTCTATGTGGCCTGGAAAGGTTGGCTCTTGTCCCCAGGGCAGAGCATGTGGGGTCACCCATGGGCCTTTTTCTCACATGCTGTTTTCTTCAAATGGCAGGACCGGAATCAACCAGAAGTGACTGATAAATATTTCCATGACGTACCTTTTGATGCCTATTTTGCCTCCGAGTTACCTGATTTCCACCTGGTCAGCAGCATGCCTGGAGTCGATGGCTTTACCATGAAGGTGGATGCACTTTATAAGGTCTGTAGGATACAAGTTTTCATCCCAATTACATTTCGTTGTTTAAATTCAAGTGAAATTCAGTCTCGTCCAGCTAATGTTTGATGTGAAGAATTCAGACACAGGGAGAGGCATCCTGCCTCTGTCCACAGGCGTCTTCACCAGTATTAGATGAAGCGACACGGGAGTGCAGTGAGGAGGTGACGCGTCTTCCCAGGGATGCACTGCACCTCCCGTGCCCTGGTTCTTCTTCCTCCATGTTCCCAGCGGAGGCTCCTCCTTGTTCCATCTGGGCCGCTGATGTGCAAGCCGCTTCTGTAGCTCAGGATGTCTTTTAGCACCTTGCCAATATGCCCTTTGACACTATTTGGAAAACGACAGCCTGGCCGTAGTCGCCCACCCTCTGGTAGCTTGCGTGTTAGACTTCAGAAAGGAGGTATAGATCGGTCTGCCTTTGAAGACCATTGAGAGGCTGCTGTTAAGGCAGAACATGACACTTAAATCTGAACTGGAGCTTAGCATTACATTGGCATCCCAACTGCACTGGTGCCCAGTCCACTTTTTCCCCTTCAGTCCTTCAGTTTTAGGACCAGGGTGTTTTAGAGATGAGCTCCATGTATAGAGTTACCTACATGTTAAGATCTTCAGTGGAAGGGCTTTCACATGAGACAGGGAAGACAACAACTACAGGCAGGGCCTTCCTGGTGGTGGCCCAGTGGTGGCATGCGGACCCCAGGAACAGGTTCACCATGTATCTTCCTCGTTGTCCTTTCAGCACCAAGCAAATTTGTTTCATTTTTCCTTGGAGATACAATATTAAACATACAGGGTTGGATCCAAACCTCGTGCAAGGGGACTTGCACTTGCGTAGCTGGACTACTCCATCCTCTCACTCTACTACAGCCCCTTCCATGTGGCCCAGAGGGTTCTTCAGCTCTGGGGCAGATGGGGGAACATGGAGCTGCAAAAGAGAGGGGGAAATCCATTCCCTCAGCCGTGTCCTCCCCCTCTCAGGAAAGCACCATTGGATGTAACCCATAGGGCTTTGGGGCCTCCTTCCTCCATTTTCCTTTCCACTGTTCTTTCTTGTAAATGGGCCTAGAAGTACAATTGAAGGGTAATACCTACAATAAATAGTTATTTTTCATTGAATTGTTTTAGGGCTGAGTCCCATAACTGAAAAATTAGGCTTGGGGTCTAAGAGGAAGGCATTTTAGTCAAAGCAGCCCTTACAGTCCTTAGTTTTTGTGACTTTTCCGCCTCTCTGAACAGGTGGAAACTGGCCACCAGTGGTATCTTCAGGTGATCTACATCATTGGCCCGGAGACCATTGCGGGCCCCCGGGTGCCACGTTCTCTCATTCACCGTCTGAAACGCGACCGCCGGGATCTTGCAGGCCACAGAGGCAGCCCGAGCCTGGACGACTCCTTGATCTATGACAACGAAGGGGATCAGGTCAAGAACGGCACGAACATGAAGTCTGTCCACCTGGAGCGCCAGGAGGCCGTCGCCGCCACCTCCCTGTCCCAGACGGGGGCCTCCATCGGCAGTGCCTTCGCGGCCACCATGCTGCTGCTGCTCCTCCTCTTGGTCCTCTGTTTCGTGACCCGGAAGTGCCGGAAACACAGAAAAAAGAAAAAAGCCGCCAAGGACATCACGGAGCCATACCCCCTCAACAGCACGGTGGAGGCGGCCAAGAAGAAGAACGTAAACAGACAGTACTGCACTGTGAAAACCCTGAACATTCTCCGTGAAAATGAAGGCGCCTGCAAGGTCAAAGGGGCAAAGGTCAAGCAGGTGAACCTGGAGGTGAAAGTTCACAACAATTTACACGACGGGACAGAAGTTTAGTGGTGTGCACACTTTTCTTGCTTTTGCTTTGGTAATACATCTTTTTATAAATTGTAAAAAAGGAAAGAAAGAAAAACTTCTATAAAATTTTTTAAGAAAACATCCTGGTATTTTTATAACAATCTCGCGGAGAAAGGAAAGCGCAAACCGTTTTTGTGTTGATGTGCTTGAGTGATGAGTGAGCAACGTGTCTCCGCACACTTCCACTCTACAACAGAGCTACCTCATTGAGAGCAAAACTGCATGAGGCTCCCGAGCTGAGAGATGCCGAATCGCGTTTCTTGGATCACCTTAGAGGAGGTCCCTCCGCCCAACCTGTGCAGCTCCCAGATCTCATCCTTTCTCTGCTTGCTGCACTGCAGAACAGTTCATTAAAAATGAGACGGATGCCACATGCAAATGAGGCTTCACTGGAGGTAGAAGATACACAAAATAACTATTGTGTGTGGGAGAGCAACCTTTCCCCAGGATGTTTCCTCCATACAGTTGGCCGCTGTTGGATTTGAACTTCCTCAGCAGCCTCTGTCGGGCCAGTTATTCCAGACCTGTTACGATGCAGCATTTATACACCGGTTGCTCCTCTGTTTCTAGGAATGAGCAGCATGTTGTAGCACAAATGGAAGCAAGAAGCAACTGAATCACTTTTAAGTCAGCTTGCACACGATTGTCAGCCCAGGCAACGGCCTCAGGCCTGCAGGGTCTCTCTGCCAGACCGTGTCACGCAGAGATGCCCTTTGTGTGACATGAAAGCTCTGTGCAGGTGTGTAGCACGGCTGAGTCACTCTTCTCTGAATGCATCATGGACACACGGGTCACATCCTCATGGAGGCCCCGGTTCACACAAATGTCACCTTCACTGGGAGCTTCCTCCCAACTGAGAAGTCCCACCATAATGTGCAAAACCCAAGGCAGCAGGGTTGTTAGTGTTTGCCTCCATTGGTCCATCTACTGTCGACTCGGACTAGCAGTGGTTGTCCAGAGTTCCAGTCAGGAATTTATTCAGATCAAGTAATAACTGTGGATAAGGGTGGTTATATGAGCACAAATGGTTCTATAGATCAACTCTTGAGCACAGACCTTTGATCAATGGAGGCAAGCTAATCCAATCGATTAATGTTATCGGGTGACCTACTGTCCCCTTGATGGATTGTGTGAACTGGCTGAACGAAACCAGAGTTCTTGTCTCGTTATCCATTGTGGGAATTCCACTTTATTAATAAACAATGAAGTGAAGATCAAGCAGAAGGTTGTTTCATTTTTGTCTTGATTTGGTCCCAAATGCTGGTTTGAAACAGATCCTTTAAAATGTTTCTGTTAAGAATGTATTTATAAAACAGCCACTGACTTTGGAAGCAAAAACCTTTGGTGCCAAAATGGTTTGCAAAGTTCCTTTGATAGTATAATGGTATCTGGGACTTGTATCCCCAGGGAGCATCATCAGCCTCAAGTCTACAAACCAAGTTGGGTGTAGGCCACAATCATTATAGGCATGTGCAGCAAAAGTGATTATCGGGTTGGGTTCTTTAGGTCACGATTCACGCAGGGATCGTGTTTACTCAGACACTTGATCTGAACATGTCCACTTGACCATCACTTGGTGGTTGGAACTAAATAATCTTTCCTCAGCAGATTTTGGCACTCCAAACCACTCTTGCGAATGCTTAGAGCATCCTTCCCCAAATGGGGTCTTCCAGGTGCATTACCTACAACTCCCAACATTCCCTGCCGGCTGAGAATGATGAAAGTTGCAGTCCAGCATTTCTGGAGGGCACCTGCTTAAGAAAACTGTTTTAGATGCTCCTCAAGATTGTACTCATACAGCATCAAAATACAAGCTACTTTCTGGAGGGTATTCCAGGTGAGGGGAGACAGGAACTAGGTGCATGTTAAAGCATCCACAAGGCTGGTTCAACATTCCAAGAAACAGAATCCTTGGAAACCGTGTCTGTTGGCCATATGAAGAACAGCGGTGTAGGAATCAGCTGTTATTTCAGGTTAACAGAAACATAGAAACAGAGTGAGTCAGAAGGGGCCTCCTAGGCCATCTAGGCTGACCCCAGCTCCAGCCAGCTCTGGTTAAGGTTAAGGTCAAGATCCTGTTCTCATGGAACACTGAGCCGTTTCTTGAGGTCTCGCTTGCTGTTTCCATGGATATCACTAATGTGCTATAGGTCAGATTTGTACCACTCTAAAAAGAAATTAATTCCTTCCAGTAGAGCAGTCCTGTTCCAGGTGATGATGTCTTGTGTGAAACTGATCTAAAAACCACCATTTTAGTTTCTGTCTATCTGCTCTTTTTCCCTTCATCTATTCGCAGTGCAGGACCATGTGTTAAGCCAAACGTATAACATAGGGCCTATCTAGTTTCCGCAAAGTGTTGTGTGCTGGTAAATCAATTTCTGCTGAAGGAGAGGTCTCTTCCTCATGAGACTTTTGTACAAACCCTTGCTGAAGGTTAAATTTTAACTGTCTGAGCATCTACTCTGTGGCACACTTGCTTCCAGTTCAGAACTAGGTCACTTCTGAATAGGCCAACATGGGATCAGGCTGCACATCTCTACGGACACGATTCCAGAGTAAGAACCATCTGATTGGAGAATCACTGGAAGTGATTTAAAATGCCAATCTCATTGATTCTGTGTTTTGGTTTTCTTCAAAAAGCTTGGACACAAATTTGTCACTACATCTTTGGCGTAACGATGAAGCAGACAGTGTGGTGGAATCCTCCACTTGCCCGTGTTGCCAGAATCTTATTTGTGGTTGCACACACTTGTAAATATCGAAGCCCTGAAGAATCATTACTTACTTGGTTTGATTCACACAATCACTCCTTCTTGGACTGATGCCAACTGATAGGTAGTTCTGGGTTTCCATCATTTACACAGGCCAGGTATGCCCATCTAAGGGAAGGTGTTTTTTTTTACTCATGTTGGTCTGTTGTGTTTTCCAAACTGAACTGGAGAATAATAGCACGGTACATTTGGGTTCCAGGAACCACAGAAAGGGCAGGTCTGCATGATGGTATTTCACCATTGTTAGTCTGTTGTGTTGTCCAGACTCTCTGGTGGTATTTCAGTGTGGTACGGTTGGCCTTTAGAAACCATGAACAGGAACAAGAGCCTGTTCTTTTGTTTCTCTGCACCACAATGTCTTCTGGCTTTTGTCATCCAAACACAGGAAATGCAACTCATTGTGGTACAAGAGCCAGACCCAGAGCGGCAACGGCCAAGCGGCAAGGCAGAGGGTGCTTCTGAAAGCTGCTGTCGGAGGCCCCTGTTCTGCCTGAAGGTCTAATTTGGGGTAGAAGCAGACGGTGAGTTGGGCCGTGCTGCAGAGAGGAGTAGCTTATTCCGTCACCGCTCCTCCACACACGTGCCATGCTCACACGCAGCAGAGGGGCACAAATCAGCTACGCAACGGTGCCTGATTGGGTGTGGGTGCCAGGCTGGAATGCCTCCCTCACAAGCTCCAGCATCCTGTCCTGCATTTCAGGGCATGAGCCTCTTTGCGCAGCAGAGAATGCCTATCAGCCACTGCGAGCCACACTTATTTATTTTTATTTATTTATTAAAACATTTTTATGCCACCCCATTCGCCGAAGCCTCGGGGCGGCTTACAACAAATAAGTTAAATAACATTTTAAAATATATACATTAAAATAAATTACAAATATACAATATAAAATAAGCTGCCCTGGCCAGAAAAATTCAATAATATTAACATTTAAAATGCTGCTTGAATAAGAATAGCGACGGCACCAGGCGGACCTCTCTGGGGACTTGGCCTCCAGTCACAGCCGTCAAAGAGACTCCTTCCCCGTGGTGTCTCCTGGAATACCGCCTGGACAACAGAGGGGAAAAGATGGCGGGACGTAGCTGACTGGACACCACGAGTCCGGTTGTTTGTCAGGCACATCCAAGTAAAAGACTATGAACAGACGCTTGCTCCTTGGGAGGAAAGCTATGGCAAATCTAGACAACATACTAAAAAATAGAGACATCACCTTGCAAACAAAAGTTCATACAGTCAAAGCTATGGCTTTCCCAGTTGTAATGTATGGATGAGAGAGTTGGACCGTAAGGCGGGCTAAGTGCAGAAGAATCGATGCCTTTGAATTACAGTGCTGGAGAGTCCCTTGGACTGCAAAGAGATCATACCAGTCAATCTTAAAAGAAATCAACCCTGACTGCTCTTTAGAAGGCCAGATGCTAAAGATTAAACTCAAATACTCAGGCCACCTAATGAGAAGGAAGGACTCCCTGGAGAAGGCCCTGATGCTGGGAACGATTGACTGCAAAAGGAGAAGAGGACAGCAGAGGTTGAGGTGGCTGGATGGAGTCACTGGGGCAGTGGGTGTGAGCTTGGGTGGACTCCGGGGGATGGTGGAGGACAGGAGAGCCTGGGGGAGTGTTGTCCATGGGGTTGTGAAGAGTCGGGCACGACTTTGTGACTGAACAACAACATAACGTGCTTCACTGAGGCTTCTTGTGATGTCCAGACCAGGAGTTCCATTTTTGTATTTGTGGTGAAAAAGGCACAGAAGGGCAGCTGCAACAGGGGCTACTCCAGGCATCCGATCTCTGCTGTTGACAGAGCTTCCTATCCACAGGCACCCACCCCGGCACTCGCTTTGCCTCTACCGGCTGAGTGGTGTGCCCGTCACCCTGCTTGCTTTCTGCCAAAGAGAAAGCAGGTAAATGCACAAATGGGGAAAGGGAATCGCAGCATAAATGTTTATTTGAATATTTTTTAAAAACCCTTTGGGGGCTGAATGAGCTAGGAAGGGTTAAAAGTGATGGAGGTACAATCAGTAGGGAAAAGGGGGAGAAGCCTCCTCAAAACTTTCCATGGGCAACCCAAAAGGAAAGATGTCAGTGTCAACCTCAGCACATACAACAGGGGTGACCAAACTGAGGCTCGTGGGCCACATGTGACTCTGAGTTTATTTTGCAACTCGGAGAGGGGCTGAAAAAACCTATAGCAGTGATGGCCAACCTTTTAGAGACTGAGTGCCCGAACTGCAACACAAAACCCACTTATTTATCGGAAAGTGCCAACACTGCAGTAAAACCTGGATACTGAAGTTTTAGTTTAGAAAAAAACAACTCGCAGCCAGTCCAAGCAAATATATATATATATCCTTGGCAGCGCACTGACCGGCCCTGCGAAAGCTCGGATGAGTCATGGCTAATGAGTCGCGGCTCGTGACATCGCCTGGCCTACGCCGAAAGGTTTTTAGACATTTTGGCTTGAAAGCATATCGGTACCCTAACAAGTTTACTCAGCGAAAAGTCCTACCATGTGTGGTGGAGCTTACTTCTAGGTAAGTGTGCATAGGTCTGTCCTAGCTGAAATACATGTTAATTGATCAGTCAAGCGATCTGGTCAGAAATTTTCAGCAACTTGCAGCCAAAGTGGAGACTCACAAGAGCTACAGGCAGCAACAAGTCTGATAATTGCAACAATGTCTGATTGTTTCTATTTACTTACTTATTTGATGAGTAAAAATGAAGGAGTGTGGTCATGTTTTGTGGCTCTCAAACTGACATTTATCATATGTGGCTCTTGCACTGACATATAACCATCATGCCAATTGTAAGCAAAGCTTGAGGTACAGTATCACAGCCCGGGGTCCTAACCCAGAGCCCTGTGTGTCACAACAGGTGCTGCACTTGTGGATTACGCTGTCTAGCGCAGTGATGGGGCAGCCTCATAGCCGCCAAAGGGCACTTCTGGGTAAAGGCGATCAGAGCACGGATCTCGGCTGCCCTCCTGACAGCACATGGCTGGATTTGACTTCAGGAAACATGATGTGACGAAGTTACCTTGACTTGGTTGTTTCCCTGCTTGGCCACATGAAGAAAAGTTACGTTAGCTGCAATTTTTAGCTAATGTAGTTAGTTAAAATAGTTAACTAATTTTTAGTTTTCAAAAAGGATGAAAAGCTAATGCATAAATGATGCTGGAAGGGTATTACTGAGACAGGACAGGCAGAAATGACCTAATACTGGCCAGCAGCATGTTTTATGCAATGTGTTACTGCAACCACGTGGAAACCAAGAAAAATCCATCTCGGTGGTATAAACAATAGTCCTGCGTGTTTGTGGTGTCTTATAAGTAATGCTTAGACAAAATGGTAGGGCAACAAGTAACTAAACACGTAATTTCTGGTAAGCTGCACAAGCGTTGGCTCGTGGGTGTCCTATCTCTTTATTACAGATGCCAGTTCTTTGAGTTTGCTCTGCTTTCAGTTTGCACGAACCATTTCAAGAATCCCCTTTGGTTGCTTTGGGTCGAACCCACAACCTCTTTTCTCGAATCTCACTGTTGGATGCACTTTGGAGCATTGGGCAATTGTCCCAGAGCCAATGGCGGATATTTCCCGATTTTGCTGCTGCTGCTGCTAATAAACAACCGTTGGTCACTTTTTCATTCCGTGATGTCTCATCTCCTCTCGTCTCTTCTCGACGGGGCAACCAGAGCTACACAGATGTGTTTTCTTATTTATTTAAAGTTTTTCTATGCCGTCCCAACACTAAAAGTCTCTGGACGGCTTACAAAAAAGCAAAAGGCAAAAAACAAAGCAACCATATACAAGCTAGGCGCCCCTGGTGGCGAGGGCCATCCCAAGTTCTGGAAACGCTGGAAATTGCGCGTTCCTGCTCGGCTGTGCCGCCCACCTGCTCGCCTCTCCCGCTTCTCCCTCCGGGCACGGACGCCTCCCGCAGCGAGAGCCACCGCGGCCCGCTGTTCTGCGCGGTAGCCCGGCGAGGCGCAGGGCCAGGGCTGCAGGAGCGCTTTTCCTGTGGAATACCTGCCTGCCTCCCCACCCGCGGCCCCGACGCTGCGGGAACGCGCCGCCGCCGTGCGCGGAGCGGGGCGGCCCGCCAACCACAGGCAGAAGGCGTGCGCTCAGCCTCCCTCGCCGCGGGGCAGGTGGGGCCGGCCGAGGGCGCGGTTGCTCCTGAGCGTCGCTGCTTTCCTGGGGCGAGTCCGCGGCTCGTGGGGCGCCTGCTTTCGGTAGGTAAGCTGCGGAAGGGGGCGTCCCCGGCGGGAGGGCTGCGCTCCCGCACCCGCCCGCCCGCCCCTCTCTCCTTCCAGCCTCCGCGCTTGGGCGCACCAGTAACCCACCCGGACCGCTTCCCGTCGAGGGCCTCTCCTGCTCTGGGGCGGCGAGGACCGCCCCCCCCTCCCGCTGGGCAGGCTTCCTTGGGAACCTAAGGGGAGTGGGGGGGGTATTGTGGGGGGGTCTACAACTCCTTTCCTCTCTCCGGTGGCTGCGCGTAAAACTTCGCCCGCTGAAGGATTCTGCAGAATCCGGAAGCCCGGAGCAAAGCTTGCTCGCGCTTTTGTGAAGGGGGGGCGCGGGTGCCCGCGTGTCTGGGGCCAAGCTCAGTCTCTGGCGTGGCCTGCCGGGGTCGAGGCTCCCCCTGCGCTGCCCGGCGGGGGGTGGGCAGCTCCAGGTCCTTCCCGCACCGCCCCGGCCGCGCGCTCCGCTCCCTCTCCAGGTGTGGAGAAGTGAGGGCGAAGGAGGATCGGGCCCTTTCCCTTTCCCAGGCCGCCTACCGGGAAGTCCGGAGACTTCGCAAAAAGGGTTTATTTTTAATACAGAAAGGAGGACCACCCCAGTGGGCTCACTGCTTCTCAGCCTAATCTACCTCACAGGGTTGTTGTGAGGTTGAGATGGAGAAGGAGACACACGTGGAAGCCACCTTGGGTTCCTTGGAAGACAAACAGTTGCAATTTGAATGTAACAAGTAAAAAATTTAGGAGCAAAAATGGGGGAGCAGTGCTGAATACCTAGGTATTCCTTTTGCTCTTAAAAATAACTTCCCAGACCCACAACTTGGCTGTTTGTGTGGCTAAGGGCTAAACTCATCATGTTAAATACTCAGTATGTAAGTTACTCTCAGCATAATGTCTTCCTCGGAGAAAATGAGTGGGGTCCAATTTGGGACCACCACACAGAGATAGGAAAGGTTTAACTCTTCCACCCAGCCTCTTCTCTTTCCACAATTCACCCATCTTACTATAAAAGGAGACAGAAATGTCCCTGTGCTTCACAATTTCCATAGCTTCAGGATGGGTGGGAACAACTGCTCCCAAACAAAGCAGTAAGTGAAAAGTTTGCATTGAAAATAACATCCAGTTTTAGGGCCTGAGTCAAGATTCCTTTCCGCTTTTGCCTCTTTGGGCTGACAAGTCTCCAAAGAACTCCTTTCTCTGGGTAAACATTTCCCTGGGTGGAGAAATTTGGTTCAGAACATAGTCACTCTGTGCCTCCCCCGCTTCCAGCTATTTTGAAGGAGGCTCTGATGTATTAGGAGCAATTCAGGTTCCCAAAGAGCTTGAGAGAATGAGAGAGAGAAGAATTTACAGGAAGCAGCAGCAATTCTGAAGGTGCTTAGACTCTTCCCCTTTGCAGCTGGGCTTTGGGATGTGAAAGGCTTACATGCACCGCTCTTCACATGCAAGGGGGAATTAAAAGCACCTGCTTCTAGTTGGCAGCAAATCACAGTTTGCTCTTGTGTCTGAATTCAGCAAACAGTGGTTTGTACAAACTGTTCTTCTTAAATCAGCATCTGAAAGTAGTTTGAGAGCAAGCCTTCGTTTGCACAGGTGTGGGGATAGAAAGACTGGAGTGTCTTAATTGGTGGCACTGTTAAATTCCTGAGACAGTGGTATCTGGAAAGCACACTTTATGACAATGGAATGTGACCAGTGCCTGATCTGATGAATGCCTGATTGTTTTTGCAGAGTCTTGCTTAGAGAAGATAGTCATGGCTTCCGTTTGGGTGAGTTTAAAAGAACCTTCCATTATGCCATTGGAGGTGTTTTTCCTAAACTTAACTGCCCCGGGGTGTGTATGAAAGGGTGAATGAAAAAGCCTGGGTTATCTGTTCATACTCATTGCAAATTAAAGAAAAATTGAAGAGACGGGAACACGATGCAAGTTAAGAAAGCCATTTGTTTTCTTTTGCGTGATTTCAATGCAGAATTAATAAGCTGGCTTTGTCCTTTAAATCACTTGCAGCAAATATTTTTCAAGTGGCTGCACCATGGGACTGTGGTGCTTCCTCCTCACAAGGAGTCTCCACCGCATAATCTTGCCTCAGGTTTCCTTAAGCAGCCAAGACCGTTTTTAGTCTGTTAGTGGATCAGGAAGTCGGAGGTGGAAATTGCAGTGTATGACTTCAACCAGACTAACATCCTTCTGACATCCTTCTAAAGCCAGCAAATGCTCTGGGCTTGTTTGTAGAAAGCATTCAGTCACACCCATTTGCTGAACTTCCCTTATTCACTGCCTGTCTGGCTTCGGTCCCATTTGTTCTCTGTAGACACAAGCTTGATTGTCGCTTTGCTATTTGTCTGCGCTTGTTCTCATAGAATGCGCTTCTCCTGGCTATGCACAATGCACATGGTTGCGCCAGTAGCACATGCCATTCTGGGCAATCTCAGGAATGTGCTGGCTGTGTGTATCTTGTTATTCCTGCTACCAGTTGGATTTGAAATTGTTTTATTTATGATGTTGGAAGCCGTTCCGAGGCTCATGCGAATGGGACAGCATGCAAAAATGCCAAATGAATAAATAATAAATAAATTTGAGTATGCTCAGAAGCCACCCTCTGGAAGCAGGAGTTTAGTAAAAGGGAAATTCCTTTGCTTTTTAAATAGAGGAAGTGTCAACATTCCTGAAAAGCTGAGCTCATATAAGCTTGAGATTTATCTTTGTCCTCCACACCCAAGTGAATTTCCCCATCCCTCTCCAACTAGATCCGATGCTATCAGCAAAAGGCAAAGACTTAAATTTGTTTGTATGTTTTGCAAAACGGAGCCGTAGCATTCAGATACGGAGCCGTAACGGATTCAGCCTTTTCGGAAAGGAGCATATCTGATTGTATTTAAATAGCTTATTTTGTGAGTGGCATATTTCAGTAAAAATGCTCATGTTTCTAGCCGTCACGATTATGGGAAGGAAAACTTGAAAATGAGTTCCTTGTCAGACTTTGGTGGTGGATGGTATAACAAAGTATTTAATAAATAAAATAAATACATTGTCAGTGCAGCTAAATTTCATGAAGGCTTAAATAAGTCATGGTTGGATTGGCAGTGCTGTCTGGAAGTTATCTGGCTTCCATGCTCTCTAGCCATCTTTTTTCTCTCTGACAATTAAGTTGGACTTTGCTGAAAAATGAAAAAGACTGGAGAATAGATTTGAAACTTTTCCTGTCAACTTGTCAGTCTTGGGCAGGTGTGCTTCCAGTCTTCCCCTTGAAAATGATATTTTCTTTTTTCAAGGTTTATATTCCCTTTTCTGCCCCCATTCCAATCACCAGGGTGGTGTAGGATCTCCGAAAGACCCCACTGGTATAGTATTCAGGCCCTAGGTTGAGATTAAAGTACAGTTCAGTATTATTAATAGCCATAACTCATCACAATATAATAGAAAATATCCAAGTATAATAGAAAATATCCAAACTATTATAAAAGTAAAAATGTATAAGACAGACCAAAGAAAGGTACTAATAATTTGGCGCTAATGATAAAAATGACCTGATACTGAATTCCAATTTTTATAAAAGTGTCTCTTGTCCAAACCAAAATAAAACATAGAACACTAAATTCAATTTTAACCAGTTCTCAATCTGGCCAATTTCATCTGATTTATTAAGTCTTTTGTGGATTTAGCCCGTGCCATGAGGAACGTGGAGATTCTTCTCAAATTCATTATGTCCTTGTAAAGCGAAAAGTCTGTCTTCTGGCAAACTGACTAACTTGCTCCAAAGGTTAACAAGCCAATGAGCTATTTTTGCCAAAGAACAATTGGATGCAGTGTGGCATAGTCGGTGGAGTGTTGGACTGGGACTCAGGAGATCCGGGTTCAAGTCTCCACTCAGCCATGGAACTCCCTGGGTGCCTTTGGGCCAGTCACAGACTCTCAGCCCAGTCTACCTCACAGGGTTGGTGCGGTGAGGATAAACGGAGAGGAGGACGACCTTGTAAGCCACTCTGAGTTCATTGCTAGCACATGAGTATAAAAACAATGTTCCTTGAGTCAGAAGAGCTGAGCAGGGCTGCCATGGATCGGGCATTTAAGAATTTAAAAATGCAGTCTTGTGTGTGTTTGGACAGAAAAGACACATGGCTGGCTGGGGAATGCTGGAGTTGTGGGACTTTCTCTGTCTAAACATGCATAGGATTGCCTCCTGAGGAGATGAGAACCGCTGCGTGAGTGTGCTTGAAGGCACTGCTGTTTGATGTAAGAGATTTTCTAGACGATGCAAAGCTGGGTCCATCTGCCATTATGATTATTATGATTATGATTATTATTATTATAACATTTCTATGCCGCCCCTTGCCGAAGCCTCGGGACGGCTTGCAACACAATAAAATACATTGAAATACAATAGAACATAATAAATTACCATTAAATACAAAAATACAAAAAATACATTGAGTTACAAACATAATAATATAAAATTAAAATTATCAGTATAAAATAAGTAAATAAATAATATAGGAGGAGAAAAGAGAAGGAAGAAGAAGTTGCCCTGGCCAGATCATATATTTTAACAATTAAAATGATGTTTAAATAAAAAGGTCTTTACCTGGCGCCGAAAAACCAGTAACGACGGTGCCAGGCGGACCTCTTTGGGGAGTGAATTCCATAGGTTGGGCGCCACCGCAGAGAAAGCCCTCCTCCGAGTACTTACATTAAGGACATTAAGGACATAGGAAGAGCCATGCTGGATCAGCCCTGCATTGCGTTCCCTCAGGGGCCAGGCTGATGCCCACAAGCAGGAGCTGAGCATTTTATGAGCCTCTTCCTTGGCAGCTGGTATGCAGAGGCATCTTGCCTGGGATGCTGATAACCTTCCCCACCATGGCTTTGCTGAATTTGAGGGCTCAGACTTTGTCCTAACCTGCTCCCTGCAGTCTCGGAGATACTGGTGCAGACCTTAGACACACACAGCATCTGAGCGACAGCCCTTCTTCTGTTAATTTGCACTTGGTGGGACTCTCAAGCCTAAAACCAATTGCTTTTGTGTTCACTACAAGGGACCCTTTTCTATGATTTCTTGTTGTTCACAGGGAAATCTGGCAGTTGAATCAAAGCAGGAACAGGGTATAACTTTGGATAGCTCCAAGCGGGTGCTGCTGACTGGACTCTCTTTTGTGGGGCAACAGGAGAACGTTGTCTTAGCAGGAAGCCGAAGCCTCATGTAGGCTGATGAGCCCTGTAGTGTGATCAGCGGCACCCTTTTTGGAGGCCCCTCACTGATTTTGTAGGCTGAGGCTTCTGTGAGGCTTGGGAGATTTTCCTGGAATTCATTCCCTAGGCCAGAGGATGATGGCAGGACCGTGTCTTCTGGCCAGGAAGGCCCACTAAATCCTCTGTTGCACATTGGAAGATATGAAGGCTGGGAGTCGAACGATGTGACACGGACCTTCCATCTGTTTTAGGTTGGTGCTAGGGGAACAGTGCGGGATTACCCTGGCTTTAATGCATCAAGGGATGCGGAGGCAATCCGGAAAGCGATTAGGGGATTAGGTAAGTGCTCTTCTTGGCCCTTCACCCAATAATGAATTGCAGGGGGGATAGAAGGATGGCTACCTATCAGGGATGTGGGAGCACAGGATTCCCCGTGTCGGCGGTGGTGCAGGGTGTGCATTAGGTAAATGACTCCTTCCGACTCCTCAGTTCCGTGTTCTTCCCGTTGTGGCTAAGAGCTTTTGAACAAGCCTCTCCGTTTGCTGGCTGGTCCTTTCAAAAGCCGCCTAGCCTGGACACACTCACGGAAGCACTGACTAGCTTCTGTTTCTGCCAACGCTGCAGTGTTGTCCCATCAGGAGATGAATAACATGCGGTCCTTGTTCACCCAGAATGACCATTGTGAAGAGCAGGTTGATAAGGAAAACGTGGCCGTGGGTATAAACAATGGAGAGACTGCAGTATTGTTCCAGTTTGTGATGGGTTTATGGCTCATTATTGGGGTGCCAGGCTTTTAATTTGGGAGCTCAGCCACTCTTTAGTTGTCTTCTTTTTTCCTTTATGGGGAGCTAAATTGTGTTTTTGCTTTTAGGCACAGATGAAAAAACTCTGATCGACATCCTTACTGGGAGATCAAATGCGCAGCGGCAGCTGATTGCTAAAGAGTACAAGGCAGTGGCCGGAAAGGTGAGGGTGGGGAAGCGCCACCAGATCGCAAAAGGCCGGTGCCTCTCGCTTGGAGGCCAGGCTCAGTCTAACTGCAGCGGCTTCCTTGTCATAATGACGGGCGTGACCACCTTGGCGCTTCTCCTGGGAACCAGCGTATCTCTAGAGGAGGAGGATGCAGCTGCTCTTCAGAGAGAGGACAGGAGCAGGAAGAAGCAGTCTGTGTGGCATCGCTCGGCCTTCTCCCAGCTGTAGGCCTCCCAGGGTGTTGGAGTGAACTCTCATCATCCCCAGTCAGCTTGGCCATTGGCCATCTGACACATCCGGAGGGTGCAGCTGGCTGGCTGGCTGGCTGGGAAGGCTAGAAGCTGAGGTCTGGCAACTCTTGAGCACAGCAGGTGGCGCAAGACCCAAGCAGTTGATAGGACGTCAAAGGAGGGGCCCATGACCAAAGTTCTGCCCCGCTCCGGCTTGTGCAGGGTCGTGTCCTCTCACCCACTAGCACATCTTTGTACAAAGTATGCAAAGTACCTAATCATTTGTGTGAAAGGTGCAAACCACAGAATTGTCTGTACAGAACGCACAAGCGATGTAAGTCTTTGTGCTAAGTACACAAAGCCTTGGAAGCAGAAATCTGTCTGAACTTGCTTCTTACTGGGTGCCCAGGCAAATGCTCAGTGTCGGGCGGACTTTGTGAAAAGTGAAAGCAGGACTGAGTCCAGGGCGCTGAGCAGAGGAAATCCAGTGGATTCTTCACACATCCTTATCCAGAGGCACCTTGCAAAGTGTTTTTTACAGAGCTAACCTCCTCATCTTGAGAGGAGCGAGGCATTGTATGGCACTTAGCACCATGGTAGGCCTTGTGAAGATGGGGCTCCACAGAAGGGGCAGCAACGGACCCAGGGCTGAATCGACGCCACCTGCATTTCTGCTGGCCGTTTTTGGGGTGCTGCGTGGCCACGTGTGGATTCGCATGGGATGGGAATGGCCGGGCGCTTTGGTCCGGTGGGTGGCAGTGGTCGCGCCCTTGCCGTGTCTGTGCCGCTCCATTTTAGAGTGGCTGAGGACTCACAGGATGAATTGCTCCTCCATGTATGCAGGCTCCACCCCATTTCCCTTGTTGGAAAGAACAGCTCTCCTTGGCAGCTAGTTTTCTGAGTTCAGGGAACCTGCGAGAATAGAGTAGAATCAGGAATGTGATACAGCCTCACCTTCTCCCCAAACATTATCCCCCTGAGAACTTGAAAGGGAGGTTGTCTCGGGAGCAAAGTTTCAACGGCTGGATAGAACTTCAGGCAGTGCAAACTGCTGACATCTCTGTTTCTTTTTCAAAGGAACTGAAAGATGCTTTGAAAGGTGATCTGTCGGGCAATTTGGAGCGTGTTATGGTGGCTCTTGTTACACCTCCAGCGGTGTTTGATGCCAAGCAACTCAAGAAATCCATGAAAGTAAGTCTCCAAAGATGCCACTGATTTTTGTCCACCCACTGGCCAGTCTAGCCTGTCACATGTTCTCCTCTGGGAATGAAGATTGCTCTGTTATATTGAGTGTGTGTGTGTGTGTGTGTTTATTGGATTTGTTTGAAAGCCATCCCTTAGCATCATGCTCTCTGGGCAGCTGTTACAATAAAATACTGATAAATAACATGGGTAAAATAATACAATTCGAATATCATGATAAATGAAACAGGGTAGAGTCACAATAAATATTATTAAATAAAATTAAGACATGAATTAATGTATTAAAACCAGTGACATTGATATACATAGTCTAAAAAGGTGCACCTGCAAAGAGAGGTTTTTGCTAGGTGCCTGCAACTCAACAAAGTAGGTGCCTGGCGAATCTCTGGCGGTAGAGCATTCCACAATTGAGGTGCCACCACAGAAAAGGCCCTCAACCTTGCAGCCTTCCCCTTTGCATCCTTGGGGAGAGGGGCTCGTAGGAGGGCCTCCGTTGATGATCTTAGGCAGTGGGCAGGAATAGACGGAGCAAGGCGCTCCCGAAGAGAATGTTCCGTCTTGAATTGAACTGTCCTGAAGCCAGTCTCTTCGAGTTGTGACTCCCCACCTTCCCCTGCAGGGAGGTGCACGGATTGGAGAGATGCGGCTCCAGGCACGGCTGGTCCTCTGCTTGCCCTTCTCTTCCCAGCAGTCCTCGTACCACTGCATGCAGCTGGGCTCTTTGGCGACAGCAGCAGCTGCAGAGGAAGCCGCGAGCAACGTGGCAGCTCTCCATTTCTTCTGTCTGTTCATCCTTCCTTTGGACGCCTCTGACACTGAGCCCCTAGTAGACACACAGGTGGTGTGATGCACACCTGGGATTTTGTTCACGCAGGGACAGTCCCTTTCATGCCAGCGAGGTGCAGTTTGTCACATGTCCTGTAACAATAATATTTTGGGGTCAACATCAGCCGCACTGAATCTGCCACAGAAAGCAGCTCAACTTTAAAATCTGTGTTGATTAATTGCCCGGAGCTTTCGGCCCCCATTTCTAACAGTTTCCACCACGAACCAACAGTTATCTGGTGCCTAACCAGGATAGGTACAATCAGGTGATTGTTAGTTTCAGTTATTTCAAAATACTGTTCACCACAATATTATGCATATTTAGACAGGAATCAAGTCCTGCAAATCAAGTCCTGCAAGTCCTGCTGAGGAAGTTGTGGCACATGTTTCTGCCCAAGCATCCAGAAGTTCTCCTATTGAAATTGCTTTAAGAAGGGGAAAATTCTTAGCTTGGCTGGATTGTGTGCGTGTGTGTGTCCTCTCAAGTTTCTGATGTTTATTTCCTTTTTCAGCATTTTCTGCTTGCTTTAAGCACTTCCTTAGACTGCAGGCACTGCTTCTTTTCCAGGTTGCTAAGTGACGTACTTCCAAAGAACCTTGTAATAAAATCTCCTCTCAACATGGCACTTCTTGCTCCTCTTCTAGGGATCTGGAACGGATGAGAAGGCTCTGATTGAGATCCTTGCCTCCCGGACCAGCCGGCAAATGAAAGAAGTCTCCCAGGCATATTATACAGGTAACAATAGTTTTGACGGGGTGAAGATGAGTCACCCTGCTCACAGCCGCCTGGAAAGTTAATAACGGGGGCGGGGGGGGCTGAGCTGCTGTGGGTTCGTTTCCCTCCTTGCCCGCTGCTGGGATTCGCTTAATCTGCCCCCCCGCCCCGCATGGTCATGAGTTGCCCTGACATCTGACCTCAATAAGGATAGTTGGTGTGGTTTGCAAGCCACCCTGGAACCCCAGAATAATCCAGGATAACTAAGCACCAGCATAACTAAGAAGCTGGCCGGGGGGGGGGGGCACGCTGGGCCAATATGCTTAATTACCCCCACTGGCATGGCTTAACGTGTTGGCCACACCTGCACAGGTACGTGGCTCACGAATACTCAGAAACTCCCGTTTGTTAACTGTGTGGTGATGGAGTGACACCCGCCCCCCCCCCCCCCGCTCTCCAGCCGTGCTGCAGTGCCAGTCCCATGCCCAGCCAATGTGCATAATTCCCTTCACTGATCGTGGCTTCCCAGGACATCTGAACCCAGCGAAACTGAGTGGCTAGCTTACCATGCAGCAATCCTGCAGCAACCTGTGGATTCTGGGTGGTTGGTTAAACCTGACTATCCCAGGCATTCCTCCTTGCTGGGTTCACAACAAGTTCACACAAGCCAGGATAATTATGTTAACTGGCCAGCAAGTCACCGGCCATGATGTCTTATTAACCACCTTGTGATCGTGCAAATCAACCCACTTGAGAACTACGGCTAAACTCGGGGAACAGGCAAACCCGAGGCAGTGACAGATGACAGCTGCACAATATCGCACAGTCAAGGACTGAGTGTTGGCTGTTGTTGAACTGTAGGTTGTTGAAATGTGGGTTACGGTATTGCATGAGCCCAGGTATGTTAACAAGCCATGGCTTGGTAACCACAAAGAACCCACAGAGAGAAAGCATGGCTTGTTGTTGGGTTGGGTACTGTGGGTTCAGACAATATTACAGCAACCCATGGTTCACTGACAATCTGCAGTGTTATTTGAACCCAGCTTCTGTTAACATCCTTTCTAATCATGAACTTTGAGCACTTCAGCCCTGGTGCCCCTGGGGTCTTCTCTGCATGAGGGATTTGACCTGCTGCTTTCCTGAAGTGGCATCTTCTGTTCTCATGGTGGAAGGAAAAATGTCCCCTTTTCATGGGATGTTCTCCCAGAGTTTGTATTTCTCTGTTTTTCAATATTAACCAACATCCAGTAGAGCTGTGCCATGCAAAAGCCTTTTTTCTGGTGTGTTGTGATTTACAGTTTAATACCAGACTTTTCTTGCTAAAGATAGGAAAGGTTCTGGAGGGTGACCCCATCATGCAAAGGCCCTACAAGCGCCTGTGAACAGGGAACACGAGAACAAATGCGTGCCGTGTGCAGAGAAGCTTAAAGAGCACTGGTCATGCATCTCTCTTCTTGGTGGTTTCAGCCTGCAACAGCAGCCAGCTTGCTTTGGTGCAAGCCAACACCGAGCAGGCCTTCTCTAGCTAGACATAATCATGACTCACGTGAGCCTAACTCAGGACGTATCGCTGAGCTAGTGAGAAGCTGAGTAAGATGGATTGGAAAGCTTAGTGCTGCCCACCCGGTGAAGTCTGTATTTGGGAGTAAGAGCAGCTCTCGTGTAGCACTGGCGCGCTGGCTCTGATTAATGTCCTGAAGATTTATGGCTGTGTTTCTGTTGAGATAACTGCAGCCCGGCACTGGGAGTAGATTTCTCTCTGCACTCTGGTGCCTTGTATTCTAATGGGAGCCTCACCTGCAGAGCAGAGCAAATAAGCCAAGTCCAAAGAACAGGCTCATAGAGCCTCATTAGACCTGTTTAGAAGCCTCATTAGCTGACTGGCGTTCTGAGCCAGGTACCACCCGTTCATTGCTGGCGGCACCCTCTAAAGTCGCTCTGATGTAACACGCTGGACTATAAGAGTATGTTTGACCCCTGCCCGTATTTGCATAGCACTTTCCCTAGTTTGGGGCATTTTGTATGCTTCGTGTTGGATCCAGGGCCTGCCTTGGTCTCCTGTGAAATGTTCTTATTCTTGATTAACTTTCCTAGTTCCTTCACTGCCGCATTTCCAAGTGTCGCTGTTCTGCTAATTCCTTGGCTGCAGTCTCTCTTTGAATGGATGATTGAGCCAAAGCATGAAAAATCTTCTACAATTTCCATTTCTGCTTTGTTGGCATTGCAGTTTTGTAAGTCTTCTGCAGTCATATATTTCTTAAAGGGCAGCTGCGATCCTGCTTTTGGACTTTCTTACTGAACTTTCATCAGGAGTCATTCACTGTTGCTTTCTGCCACTAATATGGCATCATCTACATATGTGAATTATTGTTCTATTTTCCCCTCCACACCCTGCTTAAACTTTTCCACATTTTGTCATGTTACAGTGCTTAAAAAGGGGGTTGGATAAATTCCTGGAGGAGAAGGCTCTGGGAAAAGGGCACCGATTTCTTGTTTGTCTGGCTTCTTTCGCTGGTTTTAGTTTACAAGAAGAGCCTTGGGGATGACATCAGCTCCGACACGTCCGGGGACTTCCAAAAAGCCCTGCTAACGCTGGCAGATGTAAGAGATCCTATGGCAGATCCTCACAATGCACCATCTGGATTGGGATCGCCGTTCCCAAGTCCGCTGATTTCTTTGTCGAATGCATTCGTAGCTGTTCTCAGCTGGTCCTGGATACTCATTCCCTCAAGCTAGTATGTCTGGAAGTGTGAACTGGGAAGGCTGACACTGTAGAAGAAAGATTATGGCCAGTAATAATTGGGAGGACCTTGCACTAGAACACGGGTGCAGAACCTTGGCCCAGGGGCCAAATCCAAATTGGACCCTCCAGCCTCCCATCTGGCCATGGCACCTTAGCTTCTGCCTTTTATTTCTTAGTGATATTCTGGTTTTTGTGCAGTTTTGTTCACCATTCTAAAGGTCGAAATGCCTCTCCTAAGGCTGGGTTATAGCTGCTCCTGGAATTAGCACTAACACTGCATTGTTAATAATAATATCATTTTTATTCCACCCAATAACTAAAGCTTGCCAAGCAGTTCAAAGTAATTTGTAAAATTACAAACCGCAAGTAATAAAATTGCACATGCAGTTTCAGTATGCAAAATTTAAAGCAATTTGCACAACTAAAATTATTCATAAGAATATTTGAGTTTTTAATGCAAGTGCTTTCAGCTGGAACCTGCTGGCACTTTTGGTCCTGCCCCACTGCCCTTGGGACCAGCCCTCCAGGAAGGGGCTCCCAAGAGCTTCTTGGAAACGGACCGCAGTCCTTAGGCCCAAAGAAGTGCAACACGCCTGTGATGCGTATTTCATTTTTATGCCACCCAATAGCCAAAGGCTGCCTGGGCTGCACACAAAAGTTAAAAAGATCTCACAAGAAAACAAAAACCATGTAAGAAGAATGAAGCAATAGGACAATAAGGCAATAAAATTGCAGTTGCAACCAGATTTGGTACAGAGCTCTTGGTACTGCATAAAATGCAGTATTAAAACTAATATTAAAAGGTTATATATTGAAATATTGGGGGAATAAAAAGGATTTCATGCCAGGGTTGAAGGCTGCTGCTTGGGGATTCCTAGAAATTGCTTTTAGTGGAACAGCTGGACTTGGCCACTGCCATGTGTGGAATGGGATTGTGGGGCTGCAACCCTCACAAAGAGGACAGCGTGAATGCTGTGCCATGTCTTACTTCGCTTGCCAAGTGCTCTGAGAGAACAGCAGGTTTCCTTCAGTCAGACCTTCACTCACCCACCCGGCCCTGCGTCTGCTGCAGCATTTATTTATTAGATTTATATTCCACTTTTTCCTTATGAACTCGAAGTGGCTTACAAAATTCTCTTCTCCCTCTCAGTCTTATCCCCACAACAACCACCCGGTGAGGTGGGTTGGGCTGACAGTCTGTGACTGGCCCAAGTCACCCACTGGACTCCCTGGCCAAGTGCGGACTAGAGTCCAGGTCACCCGAGTCCCAGGCCTGTGCTCTTGACCAGGGCCCCGCACTGGCTCAGCCACATCAGGCCTGGCCCAAAGCAAGTCTCCACCACCCACCTGCAAGCGTGTAAATAACCGGAACGTCCCAGAAAGGCTGCACATCTCCTGCGCAGTGGAAATGGTGGCTGTTGTCACCTTCCTGTTCACTTGAGATTCAGGACAGAGCCAAGGGGAACCTACCTGATTGGAGCTTTCCTTGGGCATGAACCTCTCCCTGCCTCCCAATGTTATTGCAGAGCCGAAGGGATGAAAGTCAGAGAGTGGATGAACAGGCTGCAAAGAAGGATGCGCAGGTAAGAGCCGTGCCTGCAAAGTTGCTTTTCCTTCCAGAATTTGAATGGCTGCAGAGCTGCAAGTGTTTTGTGGGTGCATCCTTTGAAAAACATGGGGTCTTTACCTCCCCCAAATCCCCATGGAGTTGGGAAGAAGCGCAGAAGCAAAATGGCTGTGAGTCAGAACGCCTTCCAGATGACCAAACGCCAGAGCATTTGAGGAGCTTTTCCTAAGGGGTTAAAGAAACCTGTTTGCTATCCTGTACAAACCTGGCTAGCAGTCAGCTCTACTGGAAGCAATAGAACTTGCAGCTGAGTAAACATGGATATGATCATGTTGTAAAGACTGATAAAACCTTGATAGAAGTTCATAAGCTTAGTATGAATTGTGGTGAAAATACACAGTTTCTCCTTTTTCTGTAATGGTTTTGCCTGGGGTCAGAACCTGAAGTGGACTGGCAGGACAGAGACTTCCATATGAACCTGCCCATAATTTCTGGGCACCATGGAAATTGTCTTGTATGTCCCACCAAGTAGTGAGGCTTGGTTGCTGGGTATCCAAGACAGGGCCTTGCTGGTAGCCGCCCCCTGATTACCGAATTCCCTGCCAAGCAAGGGGAAATTGGCTCCTTTATTTTGCCTTAGGTGGGCAGTGGCAAATTTTGAGCAGCCCTTTGTGCACAGCTTTAGATCATCCCTTCTTCCGTCCTTCTTTCTAGATCCTGTACAACGCTGGTGAGAAGAGGTGGGGAACAGATGAAGATAAATTCATCGAAGTTCTGTGCTTCAGCAGCTTCCCTCAACTGAAACTGAGTAAGAGACTAGCTGGGATCCACTGCATTTGAGAAGTTCAGCAATTTTGAGGGTTGTTCAGACAAAGAGGTGTCTTGTGCACATTTGAGAAGATTTGGACGTGCTGTTGCCCCGGCAGCTTTGGGCACTCCTGTCTGCTGGTTCTGTCTCCTGCTGCAGCCCCAAAGCCAGTGAGCAGCAGCAAGGAGCTATTGCTTGGAGCATATGACCTGGGGCCGCAAACTAGAATAGGAGGGACGTGCGTCCTTCCTGCAACTCTGCTTCATGGCCCCCGTGCGGCCCAGGCCCTGGGGACACAGCAACAAAGAACTCCAGGCAAATACGTTGCCGTGGGAAAGCTTGCATGCAGCACTGACCCCCCTGGCAAGAAGCCACAGAGAACTGGTGGTGTAGACAGACCACGGGGTACCCAACGGTTGGCGGGGCTTACTGGGGATTGTTCGCCCCCTCCCCCCCCCCCCGATCCTTCCAGGGGTGTCCCCTGGGTGCTTGCAGCAAGGCCGAATTGTCTACCCTTCCCTGTGCCACCTTAATCACAGGCTGATCTTGACTCACTGTGCGTTGTTTACTCTTTACTGATAGGTGCACATTGACCGTGCAGAAAGGCAGGGGCACCCGGCTGGTGCTGGTAGCCACAGGCGCTGCTTGGGCGCTTTGGATGGCTGGCACGGGCAACGGCAGGGCAAGCTGGGTTGCCACCCACGGCAAATGGCTCACTTGCCCATTCCCTTCCCCCGTGATGTGGATGGTTGCCTGAGTTCAGACAATTTGCCAACCAGACTGGGTGGAACAACCTCCTAGGGCAAGCTGCGGGCTGTCAGGGTGGCTTCTTGCCCTCCAACAAGCTGCCCTGTGGGGATTGATCTGGGTTTGCATGGCAGGACCTCATGGGTTGTCAAGTTGTACAGAGCTGTTCTCGGACTCCTTTTCCTTTGCACTGTGCAGGTGGGGGGAATGCAAATTCACCTGATTCCATATGTGAAAGGGGGAAAGGATTCTGCATCAAGGGAGAAACGCTTAACAATTGTCCCCCACATGCAACCAGATGCAGTGGGACTGAGGAGGAGGAAATGGCAAAATTAAGCTTTGGCAAGAGCAGCAAAACAGCAGCGAAACCTTTGGCCCCATCCCTCTGCCTGCCGCCATTTGCAAACAGCATAATGATGGCAGAGCACTGCAGCCCTTCCCCTGGCATAGTCAGCGCCCTCTTTTTCAACTCTGCATTTGCAATCCCAAGGACTAGAATCTTGCTTTTAGGAAAAGCAATGAAAAGTTAGATTTTTCAGATGCTGTCTTCTACCGTCTACATACATACTTGCTCATGGGCTCTAAACTATATTGTAAAGGATATAAGACAGCTTTGAGTGTGGAAATAAAAATGCCTTTAACCATTCAGTTTAAATATCGTAACGCGTGTGCCTTTTTGTGTCGGTGCTCCTATTTTTTTCCATGCCTAAGCCTTTGATGAATACAGAAACATCAGCGGAAAGAAAATAGAAGACAGTATACAAAGCGAACTGTCAGGAAGTTTTGAAGACTTACTGCTGGCCATCGGTAAGGAGAGCTTGAGCTAGGCCGCTGTGCCTGCATGATGTATTATCCTCCTAATTATTTTTCAGTCTTGCAGTGCAATAGAGCCCTTTGTTCGTATGCAGCTCTCTGCTTTTTTCCAACTGAGGAAGAACAGTGCATCTCAAAATGCATTGGTCACAGTAAGAGTTCTTTGCAGCCTTGTTCATAAATATAATTTCCCACTCCTCGATTCTTGCCTCCCTTTTCCTGGATATATTTGTCACTGACCTGGTCTGGTCCACCATGCTGTGGACTTTCCACACAACACATTTCTGGTGTCCCTGCCTTTCCCTTCTGGTTCTTTATGCATTGCTTTGGCAATGTTATGAACTTCCAGATTCTCTTCTGTATCTAAAGAACGCTTTTGGCAAGATTTTTTGAGGAGGAAGTTAAATGAGCTACTCACTTGTAAAAGCATCAGAATATACTTTTTCATGTGTGTTTATGGTGTTCTGCACTGTGTTAGCCAGAGATCACGTAACAGAAAATCAGGAAAGGAAATGCTCTTTGTGTTGTTCTCTGATCTCAGTTCTGCAGTGAAACTGAAAGGCCGCGATGCAGCCAAGTATAGAAAAACTCTAAAATGCGGAAGGTAATTAGCAGAAAGTTGCCCAACTGTTTTTTATCTATGTTGATGGTTACCATTAGTGCCTCTAGGTCATGTACTGTAACATTTAGCAGTGTTTTTACTTCTGTTTAACAGTGCTTGCTAGTTCTACAGAGGGCTTTAAAAACGTCTTAAAAATGAGGGCAAAATTGGAAAAAAATACTGGACATGTAAATGTAACATATTTTGGGATCCTTGGATCTCTGAGTGTAGATAGTTGAAATCCAAATTCTTAGGTGCTTTTTTGTGCTTGGATGCCTGTGTAAAAAGCTGATGGAAGGGTTGTTTTCCTCCTCTCCTCTCCATACAAACCCTCAAATTTGCCACTGGGAGTGTCACCCCCTGGAGTTGATGCCCAGTGCTGATATCTCTTTTTATTAAGAAGTGGTGTTCTTGCTGTACGTTCTCATTCTTTCTTTTGTAGGCAGAATACTTTGGTTTGATTCCAGCATCTAAAAGAATCCAGTTTTGTCCTTAGACAAAAATGGAGTTTATTAGACTTCCCTGGACTTTGAATTGGATCGTCAAAGGAAGCCTGCGAAAGCAGTTATGCAAATAGAGTAATACATTTACTCACAAGGGGGCAGTGGTGAGAAAAAAATTGCTGCCAAAGGTGTAGGGCGTTTGCAAGCTCGGTTTCCTACCAGTGTATGATGGTTTCAGTAAACCTTTTCCTACTTGGGCTTGCATTTCCCTGGCTGAGAAAGTGCAGGGGTCTTACCTCCTAACCCTTCTTTCTTTTCCTTTGGATAGTGAAATGTGCCAACAACACTCCGGCATTCTTTGCGGAAAGGCTGAACAAGAGTCTGAAGGTAGGGATGTGGGGTATTTTGTTGCCCTTGTTGGGGCTGGAGAACAGCTGGCCTGCCAGATGTTGGACTGTAGCTGGCATCTTGCCCCGTCACTGGCTGTGTTGGGCGAGACTGATGGGAGCTACAGTGCCCATCGTTGGGCTAAACTGGTAGGCGATCATGGTGTGGAACCTACTGGCTCCTTCCAGCACTTTGCTGGTAAAATCGTCCACCTCTGGCATGGCTCTGGCCATGTGACACATATCCTCCTGTCCATTTGCTGGCTTCCTGTCTGAGCTGAACCTCTCGGTCTGGGGGCCACATGCTGCTTTGGAGACCACGTGGGGACCGTTTCAGTGGTGGGTGGGGCTTAAAGCAGAAAGGTGCCGGGCCAGAATGCTCATGTGTTTTTGTGTAGTGTTTTTAATGCCAGTAAATAAGTCTTAGGAGAGGCTGTGAGAAAGGTTGCACAAAAGCTGGGAAACAGCCACATGATAGGTGGGTTGTGGGCAAGGCCGGTGGGAGGGGGCTTTGCCATCTGGGAGACTCCAAATAGGGTCCCCAGGCCTACACCCTGCATTAGGGCCTTACTGCTCATCCTTCTGCACTTCGGACCCCACACCCCCGCCCCTGCTCCTGCATCTCCACCATCCTGTCATCTAAAGTACTGTTTCTCCTGGAAACAACTCCACCCATTATCCCCTGCTGCCCTTCATGCTTGGAACTGCCTCCCTGAACACCTTAGTGCAACCCCCTCTAAAGCCACTCCTCTAAAATTCCCCTTTCCAGGAAGCCTCTGAATCGTCTTCTAGGCCAGTGGTGGCGAACCTGTGGCATGTGTACCGTAGCGGGCACGCAGAGCCCCCTCTGTCGCCACGCAGGCCAAGTCACCCCAGCATCCCCCCAGCAGCCGAGCATTGGATGCCAGCAGGCACGCGGGCCATGCGCATGCTCGGAAAGGAGTAGTGTTGCCAGGCGATACGTCACAAGCCACGACACATTAGCTGCAACTCATCCGATCTTTTGTATGGCTGGTCAATGTGCTGCCAAGGAGAGAGAGAGAGAGAGAGTTGCTTGGACTGACTGTTTTCAGGTTATATTGCAGTGTTGGCACTTTGAGATAAGTGGGTTTTCGGTTGCAGTTTGGGCACTTGGTATCTAAAAGGTCCCCCATCACTGGGTTAGGGTTAGAAAAAGGAGGTGTCCTGGCATGATTTTGATGGTTGGAATGTGTTCGGAATGGATAGAACAGATGAGCTGTGCAGAAAAAGCTCCTCAAGGAAGGCTCTTTCAAAATCACCCTCTTTTCAATGGAACTTTACCCCTCTATTAGGGTTAGTGGTGTGCTCCAGGGTAGCGTTAGGGTTAGAAAAAGGAGGTGTCCTGGCAGAATTTTGATGGTTGGAATGTGTTGAGAATGGGCAGACGTGATGAGCTGTGCAGAGAAAGCTCCTCCAGGAAGGCTTTTTCAAAATTGCCCTCTCTTCAGTGGAACTTTACTCCTGTATTAGGGTTAGGGGTGTGCACCAGGGTAGGGTTAGGCCAGTGGTGGCGAACCTATGGCACAGCGGGAACGCAGAGCCCTCTCTGTTGGCACGCGAGCCAAGTCTCCCCATCATTGTCCCGGCAGCTGAGCATCGGATAACAGCTCACATAGGGGCCATGCACATGCTCGGAAAGGAGTGGCGGCGCCAGGTGATGACATCATGAGCCGCGACTCATTAGCCGTGACTCGTGCGAGCTTTCGCATGGCTTGTCAGTGCACTGCCAAGGATATTTATATATTTACTTGGACTGGCTATCAGTTGTTTTTTCTAAACTAAAACCTCAGTTTTCAGGTTTTATTGTAGTAGTGTTGGCACTTTGTGATAAATTAGTGGGTTTTGGGTTGCAGTTTGGGTGCTCGGTCTCTAGAAGGTTTGCCTTCACCGTTCTAGGCCATATACCTGAGTGTACCTAAGCCAGGGACACATCCCCACCTTTGCTGCCCCTTTCCTCCATTTCCTGCAGCCTCTGTGGTTTCCCGGTGCCTGTTTCACATTGTAAGCCCCCGAGGGGCAGGCACTGCTCTTGCATATTCCTTGCAAAGCACCAGATATGAGATGGCATTGTAAACATCATAACTAGCGACCAGAATTGGTGCTCTGCATTGGGGTAGGCAACTTCCAGGTGTGGGGGACACATTGCCCCCCTGTTTTCACCATGCTGCTGGAATTTAATGGCGTACGGCCCCAGCAAGGGAAAATAGAGTGTTCTTAAAGGCTGGAATTGCAGTGTGCTGCTGAAATTTGGTGGAGTGGATCTGGAAAAATGGTTCAACTTCAAAGCAAAAGAGCCTTTTTTCCCTGTGTGCAGGGAAATTGCAGTGTGCTGCTGAATTCTGGCAACCAAACAGAAAAGCAGGCTGTTCTCCCTTGCTGTTGTCAGATATCAGTGGCCAATTCAGCAGCGCTGAACTGGCTGGTGATGCATTTAATGCTGCCGTCTCAACATTTTCTACTCTTTCCACATATTTGTAAAAACCTGAATTGTTTTATTACTGTTGGTGCCATGAGAATGTGTATGTATAGTAATCTGGTTGTAGTAGAACTCGCTTTGTTGAAGCACTTCGCCTGAAAAAGGAAGGCAAATGGCATGAGAACTTCGAATGAATAAATGTTCACCAGCAACCCATTTGGGAACCGAGCTAGGGGCCAGTCTGACTGGTGGTGGTCAATGCCGCAGCTGTTTGGTCTAGAATTTAGGGAGCAGTTTTTCGCCTCTTGGGATCATCGGGGGGTGGGTGGCCTTACAATTATTCAGAGTCGTAGCGCTGAGGTCCCAGCTGGGGCTGCAAAAGCAGCGCCCGTGCGCCCACACAGCTAGTGCGGAAGGGACCATGCCAGCTGCCTCTCCGAGGCTGGACATCGACATCGGAGAGGGTGCAAGAGGCATAGCAGGGCTGGAGAGGAGGGTGGGGCCGGGGACTGAAGTGGCATCCAGATGGTGCCTCGCCCCCTCCTGTGCCGCTTCATCAAGGCAGCCGGGGGCACACGGTGCAGGGGCAGAGGATGCCGCAGCTTGTGCCCTGCATGGGTCTACACGCTCAGATTCTTTTGTGAATTGAAAGTGGGCCGTGCTGGATCCTGCCTCTGTTTGTTCAAAGGAGTTAGAAGCGACTGTTTGGGTAAACCCCTTCCAAGGTGGCATGTAAGAAAACTTTAAAGAAACTGTACAAAACATAATCAAACAACTAAAGCAATAGCAGAAGGAGCAATACAATAAAAATTAATGGTTAAAACAGGTGGGACTCAACAGGTGTGGTAAAATCCTAGCTCAGTTTATAAGCCAAGGTAAACGAGACTGCTTGACTTGTATGCAGGATGGGAATACTGTGCTTGCTTTATGCATTTTGAAATGAAATCTTCTGTATATTGTGTTTGAGATGGACAACGGCAGTTTAAAGGCTGAAATAAAAATGAATGATTTGCCCCATCTCCTCATTAATAGGGAGCAGGGACTGATGAATTCACACTGAACAGAATCCTGGTGACAAGATCAGAAATCGACCTTTTGGATATCCGCGCTGAATATAAGAAGCTCTACGGTGTCTCTTTGTATTCTGCTATTAATGTAAGTCACTGAATAATTTCTTCAGCATGTTCCACACAAAGGCAAGTTCACATGTGCTTATCTCCTGAACTGCGAGCAGGAAAGCTCCTGTCCACATTCACACACAGCATTGATCCAGGATTCGGGAGAAACCTTGCTGTGAATGAAACATGGCATCCCACCTTGCTTCTGGCTGTAGCAGGAGCAGCTGCACAAATCAGGGATGGTTAATTTCACTTACCATCCGAATTGGGGATCTTGGCTTGTCCACACTATAAAGTGGGGCTTGTCCTTGGCTTATGTATCCTGGCTTGTTTGGTGGCAACAAGCCAAAATCCCTGGTTTGGATGACATGCTAAAGAAACCCATCTTGATTTGTCCTTGATTTCTCAAGGATCCTGGCTTACTATCTTCTACAAATACAGGCAGTGACAGAAAGATGGGAGAGAACTGGGTTAGGTGAGTTTCTGGGGAAGCTTTGTTCTTCCGCACTGCAGAAATATCGAACAGCCTTCATGATCCTGCAGCAAGGGCTGTTGTAGCATCAGCAAGTGACGGATCAGTCTCTCCTGTCTGCATGCGTGAACTTCTAAGCTATAAATGGCAAGCCGGCGCATGCTGCCCATTTTAAACATTCGGTTTGGTTGCCTTTCGTGCTAGTCGTTGAATAAAGCTGTACCTTGGGGATTTATGTAAGGCTCTGAAATGCTACAGCCAAAACATGGTTTTAGTAGCACAGGCAACGCTGTTCTAGAAGTGGAGAGGAACCCAGGCAAAACTAGCCCCCAAACATCCCCTTTCCATTTCCATTTCCTTGGCCTTTTCTGCTGCCACCAGGAGGAAAACATTTTCTCTTCACCAGCCATCTGCAAAGCTCTCTAGCTCTCAGCACCTGCTTCGGGCAGTATGCTTCCTGGCTGTCAGGTCTAGGGTGGGTCACCCAGAGCTCTGAGGCTCAGATAACAAAATGCAAACACTGACTGACGGGAAAGACTAATAGGGAAACTTTCCAAAATCTGGAGGGATACACCTGTAAAACGTCCGCTCTGCCTGGAGGTCATAGGATTTTTCTCCCCAGCCCAGAAGATCCTGAAGCTGAATTTAGATCCTAAAGGTTAAATGTGGAAATGGAATCCTGTTCTTGCATACCTTGGTTGGGCTTGCAGGGCCACCTGGACCAGACCGCCTCAGTCTGGCTTGGGGGTGCCGACTCCGTGGGAAGGGCTTCTCCGTGGGAAGGGCCCCCACCTGTGGAACAGCCTCCCCACTGCAGCCCAGCGGTTGCGGAATTGGTCCTTTTTGAGTCCCAGGTCTAGACGTTCCTCTTTTCTGAGGTCTCTGCAGACATGCTTGGCCACCCGGGGGCTTCAGGGGGATTCCCTGTCCCAGGTGCTCTGCACTCATCCTTTGCTTCTGTCTGTTTTAGCTGTTTGAAACGTTTTTTTCTGATGTTGCGGTATTTTAATTGCCTGTTATATGCATTGTTGTAAAGCGCACAGAGAGCTTCAGTTGTGGGGCAGTATTGAAATGCAATTCATCATCATCTTCATCACTGTTGCAGTTACCCCCGCCTGCAGGGTGCTTGGCAGGTGAGGGGGTGCTCCCTGGCTCAGCTGCACCATGCCCGCCCCCCCCCATCTTCCCTCGTGGAGGGCACTGCAGGAGCCCTGGGATTTCCCCCCTCCCTACCCGCACTTGCCCACGAGGGGGAGCAGGGATGCTGGTGGCCCTCGCCCTGGCATGGGGGTCGGTCCCACTAGGTGCTGAGCTCAGCACCACCGCCGCTCTGCTGGGCTCCTTGGCACCGTGCCTGGCGCTCAGCAGCAGCACTGGATGGGGCCGCCGTGAGCACAGGGCAGGGGAAGCTCCGGACGGCTCCCCAAGTGCCACTTGGGTGCCGAGTGGTTGGAGCGGCCAGAACGTTCGTCCCTCTTGTTGAGTCTCCCTGTAGCCTTTGGGCTCCCCTTGGACTTGTCACGTCACCCGAGTTTGGACCGTGTGGCAAGCCCGGGGTGGCTACCAAAGCAAACAGCAAAACTCGGCCTGTCCGTGTGGGTTACCTGCCCAGAAGGTGAATTTCTCAGCCATGTGGCAGTTCATGTGCCACATACAAGCCAGGGGGACGTGAGACGACACGTGACTCCAGTCACTGGTGGCTTGGGAATGCAGGCAGACACAGGCGCCAGCATTTTTCCACACTGGGCAGTGAGTAAGATCTCCATTTCATTTCTGCACATTACATCTCTGGCTCTCTGTCAGGCAATAGCCTTAATATTGTCCCGGTAGAATAGGCGAAAGCCTCGCATTTGGAGTGGTCGTTTGCTGTCTTGGGCAGGATATAAATGTTCTAAATAAACAACGCAGTTTTTAGGCTAAGCAAATAAAGATGCCCTCAGGTGAAGAGCACAGGCAAAGAAATCATGGGCCAAAATAATGAGGTTTGTACGGATGCTGAGCACTTTACTCGAAATGGGGAAACGGGGGTTAGTGTGAAACTGCAGATGCCCCGGGGAAAGGAGGCTGCTGGCCAGATGTTTGCTGATAATGAGTCCCTCTCGGCTCTTCTGCTGGTTGTTAGGGGATCCAGGTGTCGTCCCTCAAGACAGCATTTTCCCAGCATCCTGAAGAGCAGGGCTGTTCTGCTGCACAGGAAAGCCATTGTGCGGTTTAAAGGGCCCCTTTGTGGGCAGGGACAAGTGGTAGAGCCTGGTGAGCTTACTGGTAATCGGGCCCAAGTAACGCACTGCAGGTTTGAAAACTCAGCCATTGCTTTCAGCACTAAGTCAGTTTCCATCTGAATAGAGTGAAGGATGACTCTTTAATGCCACTTCCCCTCCCTGTTTTCCTTTGCAGTCGGACACTTCTGGAGATTACGGGACCACGTTGCTCCGTCTCTGCGGCGGAGACGACTGATGGGAACCAACCCGGGCAGAAGCTCCGAAGCACGTTCTACCTAAGTGCACTCCGCCGATCTCATTTTTCTGCAGAGCTTTTAACTATGTAAGCCAGTTTGAATGGTCACCACTCTTCTGATTGGTTTCTCATGAAGCATCGTGACAGACAGATGCTTCTTTGAGCATCTCCCTGCCTTTGGTGGCGCTCCTTTCACCCCACACTGTGATCCTGTGGATAAGACCTGTGCCTGAAATGGTATGCGCCAAACCTGCCAGCCTTACAAAAACCGCAGGCTTCTGCTTGGATCATTAAAAGGTATCGAAGCAATGAGCCAAACGTATGCAGCCTCTTTCTTTAGGAATGCCCACAATTCGAGCTGAAGCTTCTTTTAATGCTGCTCCCAGTTAGTGTTTTCCATTTTTGTTTGATTCTTTGTTTAAGAAGTTGCAATTTGCGTATTTTCTGCAGCAGCATCTAAGGCAGAGAAGGAACCAGCTTGCAAAGATGCCCCATCTGGTTCTGGAAGCTTCTTTCTAGAACTCTTCCCTCACCAGCTGGATCTCCATTCCCAGAGTAATGGAAAGGCAACCTTTTTTTCGCTCGGGGAGAGCGAACTGCACATGTTCTCTCCAGTCACGGATTGGGGATAGCAGCAGGCTCCCTCGACCAGCACAAGGGGAAAACTGCTTTTCTGTAGTACTGATGGGAACTGCAGTTTCTTCGCTCTGTGTAAGGAGCAGGGGGTCCTTGACACCCTGTCCCTGCATGGGGTGATTGCTCTGGGCCTTTCGCTGTAGGGAGGACGAGACCCCTCTGAGATCTGGGGCCATGACCCTGTGGGACAGGAAGGCTTCCGCATGAAGGGGCTCCCCCGCTAGTGACATGGCCTAGAGCTCAGACAAGCTGTATTCCAGAATGCCTCAGTATAAACACTCCGTTAACTACAACCCACCCCTACACCCTGGCTACTTTCTCCAGACCACTGTTCAGGGTTTGTGCCACAAATCCAGAGCTTTGTGTTGCTAGCTGCAACTGTGTGTTGGTGCATCAAATGCAGGTCTGTAGCGAACACCAAGGCAACATTATGGTGTTGCCTCCGGTTCTTTGTGCCAGTGCGGTTTTGTGCTGCAAATCCGGGTTTCTGGGCTTCTTCCATCAGCTTGGAAATGACATACCCTTTGTTGGCCCTTCACGAAGGTAGAGAAATTCACATGTTTGTACACCTCCAAACATACACCGTTTTGTGCTCTTTGTGTACTTTTGTACTACCACCAAAATGTGAACATGGCATGCCATCTTGGAGTGAGAGGTGAATGCTAAAAATCACGGAACAGTAGAGTTGGAAGAGGCCATGAAGGTGATCAGGTCCAACCTCCTGCTCTTGCAGGACACCAAGTTACACCATCCCACTCAGATGGCTGCCCAATTTCTTTTTGAATGTCTCCAGTGTGGGAGAGCCCCCCCCCCCCAGGCAGCTGGTTCCACTGTCAAATTGCTCTGACAGGAAGCTTTTCTTGATGTCCAGCCTGAATCTTGATTGTCAACTTGAATTGATTATTCTGTGTCCTGCACTCTGGCATCAGCAAGAAGAGATCTTGACCTTCCTCTTTGTGACAGCTTTTGAGGTACTTATAGAAGGATATTATGTCCCCCCTCAGTCTTCTCTTCTCAAGGCTGAACATGCCCAGTTCTTTCAGTCTCTCCTCACAGGGCAGTGTTTCCAAACCCTGGGTCATTTTTGTTGCCCTTCTCTGGACCCTTTCTAATTTTTCTGCATCTTTCTTAAATCTTGGTGCCTAGAACTGGATACAGTATTCCAGGTGAGGTCTGACTAGTGAGGAGTATAGGGGAACTATTACCAGTTGTGATTTGGAAGTAATATGTAATGCCTAACCTACAGCCTGGCCTCCTATAGTTAGCATCCTGCTATTAAATATGCCCTGTTCAGTTTATTCAGCAAAGCCAAGGGCTAAAACTTTCAAGAGTCTTCTGCTAACTCAGTTCAGTCCTTGGTAAGTATGATTTAGCCCTTCCCCAGCAGACAGCTGGATCAGGGTGGAAAGCAGAGCAAGAAAAGATGGTGATTCCACTCCCTTTTGGCCGCAGACCACAAAAATTAGTCCTGAGGGAATGCAGCCTGTGAGAGGAAAGGAAGATTCCTAACCCTGTGCTAGAAGAAGCTGAACCAAGAGAAGAACAATTCATGGTGAACTCGGAGCAACACTGCGCAAGGAAGAAATGGCTCCTCTTGACCCGTGTGCAAACACTCCATTGTAGCCAAGATCATCAGCTTCTCGGAAATGAGAAAGTTGCTTAAATCAGGCTGGGCTTAATAGAAAACGCAAGCGCAGCCTTCCTAAAATTCACTCAAGTGCCAAAATTTCAGATCTGGAATGGCTGTAGCAAGGATGTGGCCAAAGTCCTATTGACCTTATCGCCAAGGAACCGCAAGGCCAAGCGCAGCAACTCTGTTTTGCGCTCTGTTGGCCCTTAATTTAGAAAATAAGGACAGCACTTGAAGAGGTAAATTCCTGCTGAGGACTGACGGTTCAACAGGAGCCTCCAGGGGTGCTGAGCTGGCAACTGCAATGCTTTTTCTGAGAGTTGCTATGAACTTAATCCAAGATTCCTCTGTCCTTTTTCTCCCAAATGCATGTTACCAACTTCCCTGTCCCTTGCTTCCTGTGATCTGCAAAAAGCAGAAATTCTAATCACTTCAGTTAAACTTCTCTTTTTGTTATTTTGCATTTTACGCTTCCTCCTTTTGCAGCTGTGCCTCCCTGACCTTTGGTTAGTTCTGAACTGTTAGCACTGTGAAACACCGGGGAAAAGTTTTACTGTTCTAGTAAATTTGGGGGATTTTCTTTGTGCTTTGCCACCTCTCACCACCCCACATTGTTCCTGCTTTCCCTCCCAAATTTCCATTCCACCCAGAACAGGCTTCCCCAACCTTGTGCCTTCCAGAAGCATTTGGACTGCAACACTCAGCATTCCCAGCCAACAGCTGTGCAGGATGGGGATTCTGGGAGTTGTGGTCCAAATGCCTCTGAAGGCCACCAGGTTGGGGAAGGTTGACCTAGAAGAATTAGAGCAAGGTTTGGAAGTAGCAAATACTTCATATTTGCTGATAATGTCAAATGAATGTGTCAGCAAGTGGGCTGGCTGTACAGCCCTTCCATAAATTGCCACCAGGTGGCAGTGTGCTAATAGAAACCTATTTTTTATATATTCAGACACTGGTATATTCAGCAAAGCCAAGTGCTGAAGTTTTTCCTAGATGGTACCGCTTTGGGCACTCGGTGGGGTGTTCATTTCTGAATGTTCCACCTGAAAAAAAACTATTTCTAGATGGACTATAGTTCTCTCTCTGGAGTGTTGCATATGTGTGAGAAGTTTCTGGATGCTTTCCATGGTGGGGGAAATCCCATGGAAAGCCAGCGTTAGTGACGTCTGAAGTGGTACAGTTTAGGCAAGACTGTCTGGCTGCTGCCGGATGCATAAACCAGACTCGGACTGAAAGGCGGGAGTCTCACAAAAGTGTGGCGTAGTGGTTAAGAGCGCAGGACTGGGACTCAGGCGATCCAGGTTCGAGTCCCCGCTCGGCCATGGAGCCAGCTGGGTGACTTTGGGCCAGTCACAGACTCTCAGCCCAACCTACCCCACAGGGTTGTTGTTGTGGAGATAAGATGGAGGAGGAGAATGATGTAAGCTGCCTTGAGCCCTTTGTAGGAAAAAGGCAGGATATAAATCAAATAAATAAATAAATAAAAGATAGATGCCACCGTGCTGCAAATACTGTGGGCCTTCTCCCTTTCTTGGGGTCGTGAGATTGGAAAGGGGTGCCCCCTCCCGCGTTTTAACGCATCCCTCTCTTTCTCCTGGCTAGATAAATGGCACGGTAATCAGTAGCTATACATATTTGTGGAGTGAAGTTGTACTCAAGGAGTTGTTAAATGGCTGCACATTTTTCATGGGTGCTGTCAGTGTGCTTGGAAATTTCAGAGTTATGTAGGCAAAAATGAGATCCCTGCGCCCTGGGAGAATAAAATCTAAAGGAAAACAATGGGGAAAGTAATTGGGGTTATGCTGAATAAAAAGGGCTCCTTCTGATAATCCTTTTTATTTTCTGCAATTTCTGGTACAGAACATCATTTAAAACGGAGGCTGAACAGCATGGCCAATTCACTGGCATGGAAAAAGCATTTTGGAAATGGCACAGAGCAATAGGGGCTCTTGCTGGTTTCTTCATGCAATTGATGATGAATGTAAGGATTTTGCTGCCATAAGGAGAATAACTTGCTGCCATCCAGCTTAGATGGCTTTGAAAGGGACCGGGCACATTTATGGATTTGCCCCCTGCAATTCGCCGACTAGCTAAACAGAACCTCCCTGGTCCGTCTCAGGGTACCTCTTCAGCAGCAGCCGCTGGGGACAAATGAAGGGTGTTGGCCATCCCTTCTGCAGCCTGTTTGCGAGCTTTCTGGAGTGTCCGTGCTGCCTGTGTAGAGTGTAAGAGAAGCTCTGCTGGATCAGCCCAGAATTCTGCCTCGGCCTTCCCCAAAGTGGAGCCCTCCATGTTTGGACTTCACCTCTCATCAGCCCGCTGGTAATGGCCAGGAAAGCGGGATGGTGCCGCTCCAGTTGGGGAAGGGTATGCTAGCTTGTCCAGCAGTGATGGGCAACCTTCTTGAGCATAACTCCAAAATCTAGCAGCTGGAGCACGGAGCAAAAGCTGCTGAAGGTTCCTTCCAACTGTAGAGAAGGCCACCAACTGGATGCCACCCATTTGGGGGTAGGAGAGAGCTTTGTCCTTTGCATTGCTACCTGTTGTTGTTAGTTGCGAAGTCGCATCCGACCCATCACAACCCCATGGACCACATTCCTCCAGGCCTTCCCGTTCTCCACCATCCCCCGGAGTCCACTCAAGCTCACACCGACTGCTTCAGTGACTCCATCCAGCCACCTCATCCTCTGCCCTCCCCTTCTTTCACTGTCTATTGTTCCCAGCATTAGGCTCTTCTCCAGGGAGTCCTTCCTTCTCATTAGGTGGCCAAAGTATTTGAGTTCCATCTTCAGGATCTGGCCTTCTCAAGAGCAGTCAGGGCTGATCTCCTCTAGGACTGACCGGTTTGATCGCCTTGCGGTCCAAGGGGCTCGCAGGAGTCTCCACCAGCACCACAGTTCAAAGGCCTCAATCCTTCGGCGCTCAGCCTTCCTTATGGTCCAGCTTTCACAGCCAGACATTGCGATACCTGTAGTTCCAAAAAAAAAAAAAAAAGCCTTGGGCCTTCTCTGCAGGTGTCCTTTAGTTTTGCCTGGGGTGACACGAG